TAAATTTAAAATACCGCACATGTACTCTGGGTGCTCTTATCAGACTCTGCACAAACTGCATACAAATCAGGCAAGGATCACACAGCACAGCAAAGGTCTCCATGTAAAAGGCTGGCTAATTACTAATTGGGTCGCAAGGTCTGAAGCAGTCTCAGCTAACAAGAATTTAAAAACACGGGGGCGCCTCATGCCTGTGAAGTGGCTTGGCTTCATGGTGATATGCCCCAGAGCAGAAACACTGACAAACACTACTGCCGTAACAAGACTTTGAGAGAATGCTGCTTGTGCAGCTCTGTCTGCACATCTGCTTCATAGTTGAACATAGCGGCTAAAACATACCAAATGAATTGGGACTTTGAGTCACACTGACATGGGACGTGTTAACTGTGCATGGATGCACCCATTGTTTGGCTCCAATCTTCAGCAGCTACATGATTTTGTTTAAAGTTATTATAATACATTTTATTTATAAATGACTTTTCAAGCCTGATGATATGATTAAATTTAAATATGTAAAGTCAAAATAAATACCTTTCAGACAGTTATATAAAATGACAATAAGAGATACGATAAAGGAAACCATTGTGTAGAGTAGGTCATCTCTTAGAAGGTTGTTTCAAAGCCAAGGGCCTGTTACAAAAAAACAACAACTAATGGTTTAGATCGGCTGATCGTAGGGGCCTGATGGAAGCGTCTTTATTTATCTTTTGGCCTGAACATGGATGGCCATGCATGCAATTCATAAATATGATCAAGTGTCTCCCCAAAATACTAGGCAAACAGTGCTGCAATGCTGGAATTTAAATAATCAATAAAGACTGATATTTAATATATACGCTGACTGGGGAGAGGCACATCCTCAGCTAATGCTCGAAGGCCTTTGGAGAAGGACGTTATCTGTGGAGGCACAATCAGGTCCTAAAGTTTATCTCTTACGCCACCAGCAAAGAAGTGGAGCGGGCTCCAAGCTTTTATAAGAGCTTAGAAAAAAACAAGAAAAGGTCTGTGGGACTCCTGACCTCCAAAAAGGAAGTTGAAGTTCTCCAACTACATTGTGGCCACCGCCCTGTGACCAGATATTATTAATGTCTTGATGTCCACCAAGCAGGCGCCTCTTGGCTAAAAAGACTAAAACCAAGGAGCCAGAGGTGGCTATTCATCCCAGACACAAACTGACCAGTCCTAGTTGGGTCACCTGGAGGAAAGAGTATGATGTTGGGAGACCTAAACCCCCTAATGATTGGGGATCATCACAGAAGATGTGTTCAGATATATCTGTAGATGTAGGTTCACAGCTTACTACATAGTGAACTTAACTTCCATTCAGTCATTAAGAATAAGGCCGTGTTGTGAGATCATTTCTCTTTATGGTCTTAGTTACAGGTATCGGTATCATCAGTGTAATAGAGAAATAGAGATTATGAGTAACTGAATGAGGAGTAAAACAAGTAGACTAAATTATACCAGAAAAATATGATGAACTCAAGAGTTCTTTCTTTGAAGATCTCAATTAATTAAACTGCCCTAATTAAAGACAAACCCGGTCAGAACACAAATATTTCCTTCTTTCCAAGAAAAGCGTCAGTGATTCCTGTTCATTTCCTCCGTGTCTTGATAAGGACCTTTTTCAGGAGTTGATTTTCCTTGGCACTTCAAGTATTGTAGTGCCATACGAGTGTTGGAAACATGTGGTGATTACATAAACTGTAAATATTAATGGCCGAAGCCTGAGTGACGTCAGCCATCTGTTCCTACAGGGGGCTCTGGAGGCTCAGCAGCAGCAGCCGCCATGCTGGAAATGCTGTCTCAGTCTAACTTTCAGTCAACCTAACGACTGGCTGAGAGCTGGAGCTGAGGAGGGTTTTAAGCGTCTTGATGAACCGTTACATCGCCCCCACCTGTCAATCATTTCAGCTACACGCCTAACTATGGATGACACGTATCGTTTTCAAATTCAAAACAGAGCCTTTTTTTTTTTTTTAAATGTACAGTGTGTGCCAGTGATGACAATCACTATTCAGACCTATTTTGTTTTATGTACCAGGCTGTAAACATGTTAATGTATGCTGTAAAAACAGCTTTTTTGGCTTTGGTGTGTATGTGACTTCTGGAGCCAGCCTCAAGCGGACACTCGACGAAATGCAGGATTTTGCACTTCAGCATTGGCTTCATTTTTTAAGGTTGGTTAATCTTATAGAACAGCTTCTGTTTGTTATTTCTTCTGGAAAAGATTTTGTGAGTTGATTATTATTATTTTTTTTATTATTTCTAGTCATACATTGTGTCATCTGATGTGCCTTTTTAAACGTATACCTTTTTAGTATTACGGGTCATTCATCACATATGTGACCATCTTTAGCAGAGGACATAATCCTTTGATACAAAAAAATAAACTGGTGCAGTGAGAGCATGTGCATGGGGTGCAGACTGTATATCAAGGTCATGTTTGCCCAAGGGAGGAACAAGTGCTCTTAGCCGGGAGCAGACACCAAGCATGATGGGATACTAAATTAAGAAGCTGCTAAAATAACTGCTAATATAGCTGCACATTGGAAACTGGTCTTTAGGAAACAAAGGATCGATGTTATGAGGGTTTAAACACATGCATTGTTAGTGTATTAAACTATTTGAGGGTGTGAGAGATTATTTTTAAAATAATGATGCATTCATTGGTTTTTAGACTATTTTTGAGTGATTAACACTAAATGAGGCGGGAGTATGACAAAAGATAATTAGTGAGGATTTTCAGGAGAAATTATGAAGTCAGATAAGACGATGCTAAACATGTTGCTTGAGAAGTATTTAAGACATCTAGACTATAACTCCAATAAGATGGGAAACTTTGCTTCAAAACTGGTCACAGTTCATTATCAAATAAATATCACAGTTTGCTAACTTTATTATTTGATATGTATCATGTGAGAGAATTCAAATCTCCAGAACAGTCTCTGTACACATTTGTAACCAGATCGATTTGAAAGCATGCGCCTTGTTTCCTGTGTCAATTTGATTCTCTCTCAGTCTGTCTCATATTTTAAATACCGTTTATATTTTTGCTTGATAAAGCTCTATCATATTAAATACCACAATATTTTTTGAGCAAACACAAGGCCCCTAAACGTTAGTTACATTATAAAGCAGAAATTCCTTAGTTTATGTCATAAACCTTTGTGTGAAGATTCCTGAACGAGGGCGGCTGTGGATCAGTGGTAGATTCAGTCGCCTCAACCAGAAGGTCGGGGGTGTCAATCCCCAGCACCTGCAGCAACATGTCTGATGTGTCCTTGGGCAAGGCACCTGAATTGCTCCCGCTGCTTCGTCGGTGGTGTATGAATGGGATTAGTTACTTTTTTTTTGTGATCAATTTTTTATTTAGAAATGTACAAAGAAATTCCATCATATATTATAAATTATTTCACCCCTTTTCCTCGGATTAGTTACTTACTCTGATGGTCAATTTACACAGCAGCCTCTACCATCTGAGTGTGAATGTGTAGGTGCGACCTGCGGTGTAAAAGAGCTTTGAGTTGTCAGAAGACTAGAAAAGCGCTATACAAGCTCAAGTCCATTTACCATTTACACTTAACCCCAAGTTGCTCCCGCTGCTTCATTGGTGGCGTAAACTGCGTATGAAAGGGATTAATAACCTCTGATGGTTACTTTATATAACTTCTGGAGACAGTTCCACTGCTATACAGAATAGTCTTCTTTTTTGTGTGAGTGAAAAAATAAACTTAACAGTTCCTCTGCTATACAGAATAGTCTTCTTTTTTGTGTGAGTGAAAAAATAAACTTAACAGTTCCTCTGCTATACAGAATAGTCTTCTTTTTTGTGTGAGTGAAAAAATAAACTTAAGATACCCTTCCTGTTTATAAAGGGCATTTCTGCTAAATGTCTGCAATGCCTTGTGCTGAAATGCGTCCGTTATTGATCTGATGCTGCTGCTCTACCCAGATAAACACACTCTGAAGGACATTTAGGGTGCTGACTTTTCGTCTCTCCTTTCTTGTTGCGGTCGTGGACCTGAAATATTGTTTACAGTTGAGTGTTCCCCTTTATTTGCTGTTTTGTACTTCATTTACCAACCTCTACCCTCAGTGTGTGAATGGGTGTGAACAGGTAGGTGAAACCTGCGGTGTAAATGTGCTATACATTCCACTAACCATTAAAAGATAATTAAATTACATAAATCTCAGTTAACCTCATTGAATCCGCATCCTTGCTCCAAGAATCAAGAGAAACTCTGAACTTACTGTGCATTTGAATTCTCTTGTGTGTTTTTCATCAGATTGAAATGAATGTGTTTCAGTTGTTTTATATTGTATGTTTTTCTCATGTGCAGAGAATGAGGCACATAACAAATCACATGCTTATTTTTCTTTCACTTATGCAAATGAGTAGCCCTTTCATTTATTTCATCTGTTTGTGCTTTAGCTTAAGTGATATGTGACACAATATGCAGTTGTATGATAACCAGCAAGTAACCAAAAGACAAACTAAGGGTGTACATTTAAGATCCTACTAGAGCTTAAAGCAAAAAGCATTAAAAATATTGGGGTGACTACAATGTGCATGTGTTGTTTTGATGATTTGAAGTCATGTTCTCTTCCTGAATTCTAACCCATTGTGTCTTTGAAGAAAAACCAAAAGTCTAGTTTAGGTTAATGGAAAATTGACCTAAATTATTTTTTTGCTGAATTGATTTTTTAATCATCTCTATTGACAGACATTGTTAATTATACATTCATACCACACAGATTCAGAAGTGAAAAATGTATAATTAGTTTGCTTGGCTCATGATGACTCTCGAGGTCACCCTCCTGCAGTCCTGTTATCCACCACATCACACTGTGTTCATTTTGCTGGTCCAATTTGCAGTCCAATACTGCAGCCTTTTTGATGGAGCGCGCTTCCAAATTTACTCTCCCGCTGCGCTCGCTCTCAGTACCTTAAAAAACGCGTGTGCACGGCTGAAGGTCACTTAAACACAAAAGGCTTTCAGCGCTGCGGTCCAATATAGCGCATGCGCGCTGCCGGAGGACTGCTTCACAGACCGCAATATGGCGAGAATGCCTGCCAGCGGAGATACGGACCGGCAGCAGATGAGCTGTCCCGAGGAGAGCAGGGATGAGGATAATGAGGATGAAGATGAAGATTATATCCAGGAGGTCCAGATCACAGGGGAGGAGGAGGACGAGGATTCCGACAGAGATGCTGTTGAGCTGGAGTGGGAGTCAGGGAGCACTGTGCTGGACTCCAGCGCTTCTGCCGCGGAGACTCAAGTGGTCGTTATGCGGAGTATGGACCGCGAAGAGGAGGAGGGCGAGGCGGATCCCTTCAGCAGCAGCTTCCCTGCTGGGCTGGAGCCTCACCTGGAGGGAGACCTTCAGCGGTCAGAGCGGAACAGGCTGAGCGAGAACACCCGCCTTGCCACTCGGTATGCGGTAAGGATCTTCAGGGAGTACCTGAGTGAGAAAGCCCAAAGTCCAGACTTTGAAACTCTGGACAAGGAAGCGCTCTGCGCTGTGCTACGCTCTTTTTACGCGGAGGCGCGCTCTAAAAGTGGACAGCTCTACAGCAAGTCGTCCCTCATCAGCATCCGGAGCTCACTGAACCGGTACCTGAACGAGCCGCCTTACTGTCGCACCTTGGACCTCACAAAGGACCCCGAACTGCGCAGCGCCAATCTGACCCTAGCCGCGGTCATTCGGAGGCTGGAGGAGCAAGGCGCTGGTCCCGTGGTGCAGAAACAAGCCATCACGCGCTCTGACCTGCGGAGACTATATGAGTCCTCTGTGTTTAACACAGACACGTCATTCGGGCTGCTAAACAAAGTCTGGTTCGAAACTTGTATGTATTTCTGCACTAGGGGCCGGGAGAACCAACGGGAGCTTGAGGAGGACTCGTTTGGCCTGGCCGTTGATGAGGACGGGAGAAAGTTTGTCTATTTTAAAGCACTCGGACCGTACCACAAGTCCCGGTCCACTGCCTGGACCAAGAAGCGTCCGGACGCAGACGAGGACACCTTGCCGCGGATGTATGAGACGGGCACAGAGCAATGTCCGTATGCCAGCTTTGTCCGGTACGTGTCTAAACGGAACCCGCTCTGCAGGGCTTTCTTCCAGAGGCCCCGGGACCATTGCTGCGCAAACGACGTGACGTGGTACGAGAACAAAGCCATCGGTAAGAACCTGCTGGGCACGAGGATGCAGATGTTGTCGCGCGCTGCCAAGCTCTCCAAGACCTACACCAACCACTGCATCGGTGCCGTCTCTATAGCAACGCTTAACAGCATCGTGGGCGCCGCGGGCTCCAGGCCGACAACGCTTTACGTTGCCACGGAAACGGTGAACGGTCACGCACAGTCCCACCTCCAGCTCGTGATCCCGTACGTCCATCGAGCAACCGACCCAGCGGATGTAAAGCCTCAGCGGTCAGAGACAGACACGGTGTCTACAACCATAAACACAGCAGTGACAACAACGGAGAGTCGAGGCAGCACAGAGGAGGACCCGGAGGCTCCCCGCGCCAAGAAGCTGTGCGTGCGCCCCCGGACACGCGCGGACTCGCCTGTCGAACTGAACGAGAGGAAAGCCAAAGTGACCCATGCTAATCGCAAGCCCACTGTCGGGTCGGTGGTCGCTGTATCCACACAGGTAACACAAAACACCAGATCGGTTTATATATTCTACTGTATTTACATAAATGTGTTTTTTTTTTTGGGTTGCTTTTTTGCGTGTGTTTCCATGCTTAGAAAAAGGAAACGCTCACATCTTTCACAGGGGAATTGTATGTGCAATCAGAGTCTCTTGCTTTAAAGTGTCACTAAGAATTATTTACATTTAAGCCAAGTTTGATATAGCCTAATATTAAAAAAAAAAAAAAAAAAAAAACCTCAGCTTTAGATCAAATGTGATAGCTGTCGCTTTCATACTCACTGCCCCCGGCTCTACAAGGTTTACGGTCTTTCATCTGTCTTTGATTTGTTAAAAAGTTTGATAGTTTGAACTGTGTGCTTAATATTCTGATTTTACCAAGTTGTAGACATTTCATGCAGTGTAGTACTGAGAGAGGTTAATCCAATAAGGTAAGTATTTATATATAGACAAGACACACAGTGATGAATGACATCATATTCCTCATAATGCTCAGGGTATAAATTCAAACATACAAATCAATTACACAAAGAACATAATTTATTCATGAGACTGCAGACTGCATCAATATAAGTGAAAGGTTGAAATCTTAAATACATTTTGGTGATACATATTTAATATTGATCCTGTGGATGAAGTGGTGTATCTTGTCTTTTTGCTGAACTCATGTTTAGGAGGGTTTTCTGTAGGATGCATTAATCCTACTGCATTCTTATAACTGTGGAAAACGAGCACCTTTCACAACCCTTATCATAAGTCTGCTGCTCCCATTCTTCTTCCAAAATGTCTTTATGGTTCACTAAATTAATTTCCTAATTTAGGTAAGTAAATATAACAAGACAATTTTTATGAAGCTCTAGCCAGGAAGACATTATATTCTGCATGCTGGTTTTATTCTCATACTGTTTCACATCACTTCTCCACACATGCCCACTCAGCTTCTTGAATTACCCCCTTTTCACGTCACATGGTCACATCTAACCAACAGTACTACTACACTCCATCATCATCAGCCTATCATATTGCTGCTCTCTTATTGCTGCTCTCTTATAAAAAATATGTCTTTCTCTTCCACTAGTTCATTCAGGCCATCGTTCCAATCACCACCACGCCCTCGCAGTTTCATCCCCTCCTTCATCCCATCAGCCTCAGAACACAGTATCAGCCATCGTCATGGTCAATCCCAGTCCTCCCAGTTTGGTCAGCCTCTTCATCTCTTCAGCCTCAGACGACGTCGTCAACCATCTGCTCATCAACCCCCAGTCTTCACAGTTAAATCAGCTTCTTCATCACATCGTCCGCTAACACCTCCACCACCCGTGTCTGGACTCAGATCTTGCTGCCGCTCAGCGCAGACATCTTTGATAACCATATCTCCCTGTAGAGTTCAAGCGCCAAAGTTTCTTTGACAATCATGCAATATCACATATGTAATATAAACATTGTATCTTTGATTCAATAAATTGTCTCTCCTGATTGAACTGGGGATAACAGTCTAGCGGTCAGAACGCTGTCTGTTGCTGTTCATCACACACACACATTAGAAAGTCTATAATGTCTCTGGTATCTATATTGTGCATGTTATGCCCCCCCTCCCTTTGTTAAAAAATCCCCTGGTTGGGGATAAAACTCTAGGTTTGCCCCAAGAATCTCTAAAATTAGTATGACATCATAGGATATTTTTTATGGGACATTTCAAATTCTGACTTGCCGTTTACATTACCAATTACATTTTCATGATATAGCCATTGCCAGTGAAAGTACAATTAGCGATACTTTTACTGATGCTATCACTCCTGTGTGTCTCCGTGTGCTTTGTGTCCCAGGACAGCCGTGATAGCAGCAGTATGTCAAGTCAGCAGATAGTCTCTGTGTCTCCTGGGTCTCCTTTGAGCTCTTCGGGCATCCCCACACCTGCCAAGCTCACCAAAACAAACGCACCTGTCCACATCGATGTAGGAGGACACATGTACACCAGCAGCCTGGCCACACTCACAAAGTACCCCGAGTCACGGTAAGAGACACACATCCACTTTGAAACTGCAAAGGAGAACTCTGCACACGTTTCAGCCAGATGTGTTTTGGGGCATGTGGTTCAGGGAAAACAAAGCAGACTCTGTGTCCAGCGTGTGCATGGCAGTTTAAAGAACATTTTAAACATGTAGTTGTAATATATCGTAAAAAATAAATATAGTATGGTTAAAAGTTTCTCATCTTGAAAAACCCATGGCTTTTTTTTTTTTTAGAAAATCATTGTGCAGTTTTTGTGTCCACTAAGCCATGGGTTCCCAAACTATTCAGCCCCTGACCCCCAAAATAATGGAGCGAGAGACTGGAAGTTTGTAAAGCATTTGTGTGTAATTTCAGAATAATGGGTAGATTTTAAGTTATTTAAAAATGTGTATTTGTCTTAGGAAGGCATCTCTTAGTCTTACTTAGCCATTGCAAAAGAGACAAAAGAAACTGTCTTATTAATAAAGCGTAAAGAGTTAAGTGTACCCTTTACCACTCTGCAGAGCAAATAGCTGTGTCCCGTTTGCTTGTATTTATATTAACTTTCATGCAGTCAATAGAGTCAAAACTATCCTCTTTCAAAACTATCCTCTTTCAAAACTATCCTCTTTCATTGTGAAAGATCTGGTTGCAGTAATGTCCCATCACAAAGTGCTAACAGCCCAGTGCTGACAGTTCATGGTAACTGCGCTGCAGAATTAATAATGGATGTCACATTCAAACTTTCCAGTGATCATGACCTTTACATAAATGATACACACTTAGAATACAACTTTAAAATGACTATAAGTTTATATTATAATTAGGGTTGTCAAATGATTAACATTTTTAATTGTGTTTAATCGTTACATTTCAATAGTTAATCACACTTTTTTTCAATCACATGTTAAAAAATTCACATTTTGAAATCACAAGGCTTTTATTTAGAATGATTGTTCTGTCATTAGCAGAGAGTAATTTACTTGCTGTTTGAATTAATCGTGATTTTAAAAAACTGTAATCATTAAATGGTAAATTCTACCATCATCCAGTGGTATGATATAGCAGTAGATGGTGAAAAGTAAAAGCTTCAGCGTCTCTCACTGGCCTATAACATTAGACTGAAACATGCAAAGTTTACCTCTAATGATCTGTCAACATCCAGCTACGTCACTACATTTGTTTCTGGCTACCTTACTATTCTCCTCAACATTTGGTTAGTATTTGATGAAGAGGCATCACTGTCTTTTTCTTGTTTTTTTGTTTTCTTGTGGCAGGATTGGCCATTTGTTCGATGGAACAGAGCCCATTGTGTTGGACAGTCTAAAGCAGCACTACTTCATCGATCGTGACGGCCCGATGTTCCGCTACATACTAAACTTCCTCCGCACTTCCAAACTCCTCATCCCCGATGACTTCAAAGTGAGTGTCTGTCTAGAGCTTTGATCAGGTACTATCACAGTTTATCACGGATGTACCGTCCCAAATCACAAGACAGCCGAACAAAAAAAACTTTCTGAACATACTTTGAGAGAGCATGAAGTTAACCCAATGACCAAGCAACTCTCTGACCGTCAGTGCTGCTCTATCAGTGACTGAAACATGTCATGCTACATGTACCAAACATACGACCATTCCTTTGTTTAACTATTGTAACTCATTTATTTTTGTACTCTAAACACTTTCCATGCAGAAAAGGACTAAGTGTGCTAATAACTAGTAATTAATAAAAACCTATTCATAATGTCTTTTATCCATTATGCAAGTATCACTTTTGAAAGTAATTATTCTTTGATATATTTTTTAAAAATTCAATGAATATCAATCAATCAATCAATCAATCAATATTGTTTTGTAGAGCGCCAATTCATAACAAATGTTATCTTGAGACACTTTACAAAAAATAGGTAAAAGACCTTACTCAGTGCTATTACAAAGACATAACGTTAATCCATCATGAGCACTCAGCAACATTCAGCAAAAGTTTAAGTGGCAAGAAAAAACATATTTATAAGAGGGAGAAATCTTGGGCAAATCCAGGTTCATGACGAACAGCCATCTACTAAACTGCACTGGGCAGGAAAATGGGATAGAGGGAGATGCAGGAAGAAGGATAGGGACAAATGGGAGGGGAGAGGTGGGGTCGTTCAGGTGTCCACCAACGATCCTGAGGAGAGCTCAGGAGCATCCAGGAAAAGATGAGGTTAATAACTGAGATTTACAGATAGAGACATGCAGTAATATTATGTACTGTATATGCACAGAGAGAGAGAGAGAGAGAGAGAGAGAGAGGGAGAGGGAGAGAGGGGGAGAGAAAGAGAGAGAGAGGAGAGAGAGAGAGAGGGAGAGGGAGAGAGACAGACAGAGACAGACAGAGAGAGAGAGAGCGAGAGAGAGATAGGAGCTCAAGGTTTCAGTTCCCCTGGTAGCCTAAGCCTATAGCAGCATAACTTTGAGCTGGTCTACCTGCACCAGCACTAACTGTAAGATTTATCAAAAAGGAAAGTTTTAAGTCTATTCTTAAAAATACAGAGTGTGTCTGCCTATAAAAATGCATTTTACTCTGCAAGTTTTTATTCATTCAAAAATATGCGTAATTATTAATAATTTAGTAATAATAGTAATTTTCACTTTAAATTACAAAACAATATCCTAGGCCTGAAATGTATGCACTGAACCAGCTCCTCACTTGTGTCCCAACAAGGCTAGGAGAGATTCAACGATAAAGTTCTCACCTCCATCATTGATCCTAGCTGACTATTATTCATACAATATTATTAGCAGCAAAAGTTCCATTCATGCTTTAATTAATATCTCATACTATTCCACTGTCTGAGGATCACTCTGGCAGCCTTAAATACCCTTACCCCCTACAAAATCATGTTTTTATATGTTTGGCAATTCTGTCTGATCTCCGAGGATGCATAGTCATAGGACATAAACACTGTCCTGTGTATTCTTATACTTATATGGGTAACCAAGTTTACACTTCCATTATCTGCCTGATATTTCCCACTTGTTGTCTATTTAAAAGCACTGGAGATTCCTCATCTTCATCCACTGCCTCAAAACTAATCAGTGATAAAATCAGTTGTATTAAATATAACCTGGTATTTATTGACAATACCGACAGGCGTATACTCTCTAGATTAATTTAACGTAAGTAAAAAAAAAAAGTTCATTACATTTTCAAATTAATTTCATGGCTTATTTTTATGTTGGAAAGAAAACTCAAAATGTGCTGAGTTTTGTTTTTGATTGATAATGTAATTTTGCAGTACACATAGTTGATTCCTATTCGTCCTGTATGGACGTAAACGTGTATAAGCCTTTCTTGTTTCTTCTCTCAGTGTGTGTCTCTGAGTCTCATGCTGTGTTTCCTGTGTGCGTTTGCAGGAGTATTCCCTGTTGTATGAAGAGGCCAGTTTCTTCCAGCTGGGTCCTCTGCAGGCTGAGCTGGAGCGCTGGAGGACAGAGAGGGAATGTGCTGGGGTGTGTCTGGAGTGTGAGTGTGTCGTGGTACATGTGGCTCCAGAGCTCGGTGAGAGGATCAGTGTGAGCACCCACCAGGCTGTGATTGAGGAGGTGTTTCCTGAGGTCGGAGACATTATGTCTCTTAAGACCAGCTGGAACCGAGACACCACATATATCACTCGTTTCCCTCTCAACGACCACTGCCTCCTGAATTCTGTCCAGGTACAAAACACACAGAAGCCTTTAAAACCAATGTTTGGAAGTCTTCACTTCTCAGGCTCAGGTTGTCCATCAGCCATATGAAGCACAAAGAATAATTAGATTTTTACTGATTGTTTCATCTTTTAATCATTCAGTGTCTCCATAGGCCCCCCATTTGCCTTTTTATGGCCAATTCGACATGTTGAATCGCCTTCGGTGAGAGAGATCTCTCTGATTGGCTGTTTGGAGGTTTCATTTATCTCCAGCTCTCGACACAGGTTGAGGAAAGCCCCTTGAGCATGCTGCTGTAGTATCCATGCTTTCACACATTAGTGCATTTCTCCTCCGCCTCTTCTTTTCTTTTTCCACTAAAAGACCAAGGGCGGACAACGGCAGCGCCATTTTCAGCTTTTTATCAGACATTATTCTCCATTACTAGGCTACCTATAACACGAGTGGTGACTGACAGCAGTGTGAAAATGGTCTCTTTGTATCATAACAATGGACTACCGCCGCCTGCTGGCATGGAGAGTTACTTCCTCTCACGCATGCGCAGAACATACGAGGTGGTTGGTCGTTGGCTGTAGTCTTTGCGGTGTGTTCAAGTGCAACTTTGTGGCCAAGACAAGAGGCGACTAGAGACGACCTGAGGCGACACCAAATGCGGCCTTCGTCGCCACTAGTTCCTTAAGTGTTCTGTCTGTAATAAAACGTGTGACTCATTAGACTGTCTAAGCCATTATAGGTAACACAATGACAGCAGAGCACAAAGTTCAGTGCTTCAGTTTGAACAGATGAATTTTATGGGGAGTTAGAGACTTCGTCTTATTACTGCACTGATGTAAATTGGGAGCTTATTCCACCATTCAAGAATGATCAGTTTGTAATTGGCTGAATGGATATAGAAAGGGCCTGATCTCTTTGCAGCACAGAAGGCTGCCTTCCGGTTGAGAGACGACTAACTCCTCCACTGATCCACAGCCCACCCCTAACTGGACGGCTTTTGTACTAGAAAAATGACAACTCAGCACATGTCAGCAAGCCATTTAAACAGCAACACAGAAGAACTGCAGATATACAGTTTGGTCATAGAGGTACACAATTAATCAATATTCTGCTTCCACACTTCTCTCTCAGAAGTCTCAAAACAAGTGTTAGATACAATCCTACTTTTGCTTCTGTAAAGATGTAACTGTCCATGAAGTGAACCTCCACTCTCACCTCCTTTGACTGGATGTATTTTGGTATGAGTAAAGTAACATTGGGAAATCCGGATTCAGCCAATTTGTTTTTGGCCCATTCAGTCTCAGGTTTGACTCATGACATGATGATGGTGTGTCAGCGTCGAGGAGCACCAGAGAGTTAACGTGTTTAAAACCAAAAAGTGACTTGAAAGTAAAGAATGAAAATGTCTGACCTGCTTCATTTTTTTGGGCCAAGCAGAATCTTCACTTTAGCACTCCTCTGAGGAAAGAGTCTAAAGCCCCGTTTCCACCAAGCGGTCCGGTTTGGTACGGTTTTGGTACAGTAAACCCTGATCTTGCTTGCGTTTCCACAGCCAACCATACCCTTACACATCACTAAATCACAGCGACGCAACATAGTATAAACAGCCAATAAATTAAACATAGATGAACATAACACAGTAAACACAATAAAACTATTTTGAATTTCTGCATTTCCGAGGCAAAAAACAAAAACAAATCCGCAGGATATTTTCACACGGTGTGTTTTGCGTTTGTCCTTTATCACGGCTGTCGCACAGAAAGTGAAGATTCTTTTGACCAATCAACAGACTAGCTCCAACCTTTGGGTCAGATCGCTACGCTTGGCATCCCAACAGAAGCGTACCAAAACAGTAGGACGGTACGGATCAGTTATTTTGGTGCCCTTCCCAACTTTTGCCAGTGGAAACACCAATAAAGGCATATTGTACCAAACTTACCTGTACCGGATCGCTTGGTGGAAACAGGAATTTGTCTTGCTAGATGGTCCTCGTCAACATCTCATTCTTGGATTGTTGATCTTGGGTTTGTGTGTGACTGCAGGTGTTGGAGCGGCTACAGCAGAGAGGGTTCTGGATCACAGGCTCATGTGGCGGTGGAGTGGACTCTTCTCAGTTTAGTGAGTACATTTTACAGAGGAAGGGCCAACGGAGTCAAAAACTGCCAACCCTCATCAGAATCAAACAGGAACTCATGGACTGAACACGGAGGAAACCATGGATCAATCAGCTACTGTATTTGCACACATTATAGAAACTGTTCTTTACAAGGTTTTGTAAAAAAAAAAAAGTTGAATGATAAATAAAAGCGGCATGTTAGCATGAAAGAAGACCAGGCCGTTATGAAGGGGAGATTTCACTGTATTTCTCATTGCCAAATTCCCTTTTAACAATAGTTTGACTAAAGTAATAGATCTGTCGGTACAGACCCTTGTGGGGAATGTCGTAAAATATTTTTCTAATTTTAGGTACCTTTGCATTAGCATTACTGCAGATATGAACTGGAGGCTATTACTTAGCATTGCGCAGTACTTAAACAACCTTTGATCCCGGTCTATGAACTGTAAACCTGTAATAAATGATAATGCATTTAACAAATTAAATTCACTGACTGAAATGATACCACAATGAGATGCTAATGTATTTTTTTTGCAAATCCTTTGAATTAAATACTCAAGTTGATGATGAAATAATCCTGTAAATTCATTCTGCCATGACACAGCCCTGCTGATTTTATTAATTCCCTAATGAGATATTAAAGGGAAGCTGCTACAGTAGGGTTACTGTGGCAGTTGTTGACACATTTTTTATGTCTAATGGTATGGATACTGTCCTATTGCTCAGCCCTAGCATAAATCATCTCTATCATAGTCTTAGATCACTCGCTGCATGAGGACGTTTGACAACATGTGAATAAAAAGTGTGAGCTTTCACATCTTACTGAAGACAAAGATCATTTGTGTAAAGACTGATCAGTCAAGAGCAAAGGAGGGAGTAGCATGAAATGATTGCACTAATGGTAGAGACACAAAATAAACTATTTACTGCAGGTTGTTTCTTTGTCGTCCTCACAGACTCCTCTCTCCCCTTTAATGTGCAGCATGAAAAAGAACTTCTTTAAGCTGAGGCTACGGGTTGTAACTACAGATGCAGGGATCCACTTTTTTTCAGTTTGGATCCGATACATATAAATTGTGCAGGCTTCACATACAAACAGGAAGAAGCAACAACTGTTTTCAAATGAAGCGTTTTAAACTGATGTGTAAGAATTGTACTTTTGATCACAGGAGCTGGTTCCATCTCGTCTGAACATCGTCATGGAGACGATTTGAGGTCACTCGACACTTGTGACACAGTTTCACCTTTTAATCAGTCAAACAGCAAGCAAAGAAAATAATGAAAAACTCAACATCCATCGTGGAACTCAACGTAACTTCCCTCACTTTTACAAAACTGTTCAGCATTTCTTTAGTTAACAGCAATGTGTTCCTAGAGGGACGTTTAATCTTTTCTTAATAATCCAAACAAAAAGTGCTTTCAAAGACCAGCACCGCTCTCCATACCAAATAATAAATACATAGTTTATAATAAACAAAAATTCAAAGTACATCAGTTCAGTCATCAGCAGTCGGATGAGTGTGTGGGTGACTCAGAGCATGGATTTGTACAGTGTGAGAGAGTGACGAAGGAAGTGGTTCTGCTCCATACAGACCAACAGATCCTTCAGCATGACGCGAGTCACTCTGGGAACGTTCTGTCTGGGCAGCATCATCTGACACACACACACACACACACACACACACACACACACACACACACACACACACACACACACACACACACACACACACACACACACACACACACACACACACACACACACACACACACACACACACACACACACACACACACACACACACACACACACACACACACACACACACACACACACACACACACACACACACACACACACACACACACACACACACACACACACACACACACACACAAAGAAACGCATAAATTACAACAAATACAATCAGTGAATGAGCGGCATGTATGAATGAGGCTCATCAGATATATGAAGTTAAATCTGTAGTGAGCTGCTCGTTACCACAAAACCTGAGCCAGCCTCTGAAACAACATGAACCCCGCTGCTCTCATGGAGAGTTAGGAACAAACGCTGACACAGCTTACTTGTGCACTGACCCCTGCCGATGAGGCTGACCACTTGTTATCCAATCACTAAAACAACATGTTAATACCAGGTGTAACTGGGGTCAGAAGTCTCAAGCAGTCAGCACATACAACAAACTATTTAACCCATCCTCGAGGAGCTGCACATTGTTTAGTGAGGCCTGGTCATAGGAAAGGTGATTTGGATGGCGGGGTGCTCACTCACACACAACTCTGGGCAAAAGGCGAGGAGCTCTGTTGTTCTCCTCCCAATTAGGTTTTTTTTTTATATACTCTGGCATTTGATTGCTGGGTTTTGTTGTTTTAGTTTGGAGATACTCTGTAGTCCTATTTTCTTCTGCAGGTTAGTTTTCTTAAGTAGTCTTAGGGGGAGGTGCCGAGAGTGACAGCCCATTGTGAGGTGGCCTTGGCGCCTTCTCACTTCATGTTCTTTTTGGCTGAGGTCTCAAGTCCCTTTTGTTTAATCGGTTTTATTTTTCATCTTTGGTTACTTTAGAGGGGGAAATTTTGGATCTGTGTTGGCGTCTCATATGTTCTGGTCTCCTTTGTTTTTTTTTAGCCTTATTAAATGATTCTGGAAGTAACAAAGTGTTAAAGTAATGTCAGACTGATTTGAATCTAGATCAGTCATAAAAACTTGATTCTTGAAAGCTGTCCTTCAGAATAGAGCAGATAAATCATATTCAACATCTTTTCTTGATAATAGGAACTCCACCTTCCCAATAATCTCATGAGCTTTTCATCTCAAGTCAATTGTCAAGTGATTGTGCAATTGATTTTATCAATTGTCCTTTTCTCTCTGAAACAGCTTTATAAAAGGTATATGTTTATTCTACCTTTTGTTAACCTAAAGCAGAGAAGGACCAAATCAAAGTGTAATGGGAAAGACCAGCTTTCTAACCATGTGCATAAGTCATATCCACCTTTGTCTTTTGTACCACGCTGAGCAAGAAATGTGCGACAATACTGTGAGAGATTTTCTCTCATTTCTTTTTTTCAATGTTGGAGCATGTGCAGTGACATGGTCCAAGATAAAGGGGAAAGGAATTGGAATGATACCAGTGTACAAAGCAGCCACCACTTAAAAACACTTCAGCCATTACTCCTCCATAGTTCCTGTCATCAGTGTGTGCTGTGCAGCCGAGGTAAAGGATGCCCCGTGGCTCCGAGATTAAAGAGAAACAGAGTAGGCAGGCAGCCGGCTCTGCTGGGTAATGGAGTTCAAAGCAGTGGAAAATGTATGTAGTTAACAGCGTGCTTATCTCTAAACCTACAGCCTGCAGGGCCGGGACTTAACCACACAGAGAATTAAGAAACTCAATGAGCTAAACAAACAGACTCATCGAGCTGAGGCGAGCTGTAGGTATCTTGTGTTTCCGCTTTAGCCGAGTTGAGACCAGCTGTAACAACCCTTATAGTAACTTCGCTTACAGGGATAGTTTGTTTTTTAAAGTGAGATGAGATATGAGATACTGGTCAATAGTAAATGTATAACCTACAGGAGATCCCGGACAGCACAGCACCTTTATGGAGAAACAGGTCGGAGTGCTGGCACAGAAGCTTTTCTATACCCTGCTGCAGACGGGTCAGTTTGACCACGTAAATTAACTTAATTCAAGAAAGGCTGACCTAAAAACAAGAAAACAGGTTGGTATCTGCATTTATTTACCAGTATGTGTTGATATATCATCACAAAAGGCTTTAGGTTCCAAGATAGCAATTTCTGCCAGTTCATTTCACCTCTTAAGTTTTCAATTAAGGGCGCACTCAAACTTTTCCCGTACCGTGCTGAAGCACGATTGTCCCCCCTCCCCTCATTCCCCGCCTGCACTCACACTGCTCCAGGACTAACCGGGCCTGAGCACGATCACCTCTTGTACAACGTCGTAATACAAAATATGAATGGATTTATGCAATCATGAATCGTGCTTAGTTTACAAGACAGGCGTACTCAAGAATAACAAGAAAAAGAACGCGCTCCCAAGCGTGCCAGGGCCGAGGAAGTGTACCGTGCTTGAGCACAGATCGGAGCACTCAGACTAGTCAAACTAACTGGACTTTAGCGGTGAAGCGTGTTAGGGCACGGTACAGATTGCCTCGTGTGAGAGCGCCCTTGGACTTTTTTCTTGCAAGAAAACAAGGTGTACCAAATCCTGATCACAAAATACTACTTAAACTACAAAGAAAACCCTCAATGCTTCTGATACTACCAAACGTTTTAGTGTATTAAGTGTGAAATGTTCTTCTGTTGCTCGTTCTTTAAAGAAAGGTCCATAGAACGTTTCAGGTCAATGCCATTCACACCACCATGCTGTTTTGATTTTCTTTTTGTGCAGACATGTTGACCTTTACCAAACTGTTCTGTGTAATTTGTTTCACTTCCTGCACAGGCATTTAAAATTAAAAGCCTTACAGGAGTTTAATTTTAATGATTCAACGACCCCCCCAGAGGGTTTTTTATGTGAACCATATGTGGGAAGTCACTGATGTTAACAGATGCTTTCTGGATTTTGTATTTAACACACAACAACGTCCCGTCACTGTCCAACCTGGCTTTCAGTCTGCTCCAGAGTTCTCTTCTTGCGAGGCCCAATCGCAGCCAGGGCTGTGAGATTAGCCTCTCTCTGCTGCAGCTGAGCTTCTTCTATTTTTTGTAACTGAAAAAGAGACAAAGGATTAATGATGTGGTCAGTAAAGACTTAAAAAGTGATTAACACCCAAACAAGCATTGATTGTACCATCAAATCTTTATCACCCATTTTACAGTCTTGTGATCGGCTGAAATAAAAAGAGACATGATGGACTACCCTTGAAGATAGATCGATAGACTTTATTTGGCATGGACATCACAGATACACTGGACAAACCAGATGTATTGTTTAAGTGTTTCAGCATACATGCTTGTTCTCAACACCTGTCACCAGGAGGCTTTTGAAAGGCAACCATTAAAGATAGAAAGAAAAACAATACAGACAAGATGTGTGTGCACTGAGCGGTCTGGAGGAGATGGAAAATTAACAACAGCAAGACAAAGACTTGTGTCTTGAACTAGATAGTAAATGTTTTACAAAAAAGTCATATATAGAAACTATGCTACGAGTATTAAGCGCATTTGATGAAGCTGCAGCTACTTTTCTCTGCTGTCATGACTGTGAGCATCGCGGGGCACGAGACACACCAACATACCCCACACACGCACGCACGCACGCACGGGAGCACCAGCCACCACACGAACCTTTTTACTTTTTACTTTTAGTGCTACAGCACACAGTTGATCCGTGATCCGTACGGACCGAGGTGGGAACACACGTGACCCGGTCAAACAGTCGGTTGGACTTTACTCCGTTCACTCTCACCGTGTCTGCAGCTAATTTAACAAAAGCAACATCATCTCACAGCAGCCTGCTGTAGTCTGTGAACATCTCCACACAGATTAAAGTTGTTTGTTGTAAACAAAATTAAGGGAAAAACATATGTGATATAAATACAAACGTAATATTAAAATGTAGCCTACCCTAAAATAAGAGTTTTAAAAGAAGTATGTTGATATTGCATTATTTTTTACAGAACTCTCATTTATTATATCTGATATTATTTTCTGTTTGTTGTTTGAGTATTAAATGCGTTTGTAGGCTGTCGGTAAAGGCTACGGCTCACTATGTGGACTGGTAGATCTCTGCAGACTGGCAAGTTTAAAAGTAGATCTTGGTTCAAAAAAGGTTGGGCACCCCTGCTGTAGACCATTAATGTTTTTCAGTTTTCTTTATTAACTTTAGAAATGTTTGCGGCAGTTGAAGCCACCTGACTCCAGCTCAACTTCACCTGTCAGCCCCATTGTATTGTGTCCTATATTGCAGCCAGTCAGCAGGGGGAGGTCTAAATATTTTGACTTCACTCCCATGCGGCTGTCGCTCCGTCCTTCTCAGTTTAAAGTCTATGGTGTTAACTGGTCCATCTTGCTGTTCTGAGAAGCTGATTACTTTTCCACAGCTGGAAAAGAACAACCGGTCTCAGAAAAGAGATCTGGTTCAGTTTGAGGTCGGTAAGAAATTTCTAATGTAGTCTGTTTAAACAGTATATCCTTCATATTTAATATTCCAGTAGCTGCTTCTTCTTCTAATCTACAGAACAAAACGAGTGACAACATTTACCAATATCATTTGTAACTAGCATCAGACCAACTCTGAGAATAAGTGTAAGTGCATCTCAGTGAAGTGTAGTGTAAGCATGATGCAAAGCTCGAGAGTGTGTGTGGGGGTCGCAGATAAAGTGCGTGTAAATGTGCTGTGGAGAATTTGGCTGTGTGTTGGTTGGGAGCTGCACAGAAGTCAAAGAAGAGAATCAAGCCCCGGGTGGTGTTACCACCTCCTTAAAGAGCCTTTCACTCCTTACCCTCCCAGCTGAAACATAACTTACTGAATTACTAAAGGAGAAATGAGCATGAACATTTAATGAGTTACTAAACAACACTTTGGAGTTTGGGTAAAAATCTGTCCCAGCCAGAGGAACAATAAAATGTACTGTGTTTTAGCAGTGATACCTCGGCCTCCCCGTCTCAAGCTGATATCCATGTAACACAGAAACTTCAGATCTCAAAGTAACTGGTTTGAGAATGACGGCTACAACAAATGTCTTGTGTCAAGAGTCAAGATAGAAAGTCGAGACATTGCCTTATCATTGATACTACGATGGATCTCTCTTTTATTTTGTTAAAATAACTTGTGAATTAAGGATTTCAAGATGTGGGCAATCAATGAGCAGGAAATGGCATAACAGGATTTAAGCATTTATGTGATGAAGTGCCATTGCTGGTAAAGTATTACATTTACTGAATTTGCCAAAACAATTCTCAACTAACAGCTTTTGGTCTATTTTTTTGGTTATTCCCTTCTTCATAAGACGGTATTGGGATGAGGGTCAGGATATTCGGCGAATGAAACTCATGCACTCACCTCTTTCGCTCTTTGTTTTAACTGCTGCTGCAGTGGATCCTCAGAGTGAGAGCGAATCTATGACCACAAAGAGAAAGTTCTTGACTTAGTAAGCAGAATTTAATACTCTAATAGAGGTTTTATTAAACGGACACACCACTAACCCTGAACTTCCACCAGATACGTGTGACATTGCGATTCGGCTTGGTGCACCATCGTCCGTCAACACCCCCAGGCTGCGTTCTAGTGTGCAGCACGGAGAGCACAGCCGGACAGCTGGAGTCCCGAGACAAAGGAATTTTATAGATTCATGTGCGAGATAATACGACATATGTGGTATAAAACCGTTTAAAACACAAAAGCAAACACACATAAGATCGATGTACTGAACTGTTAAAACTGAGTGTTTTATTCTGAAAATAAACAGGATGTTTTAATGTTGTTTCAGTGTCTGACTTCCCCTTTAGCTCGATCTTTTCTAAAGATTTCTTTTTTTTGGGGGGGGGGGGCCTTTTTGTGCCTTTTTAAAAGAGAGATAGGATAGTGGATAGAGTTGGAAATCAGGGAGAGAGAGAGTGGGGAGTGACATACGGGAAAGGAGCCGCAGGCTGGAATTGAACCTGGGCGGCCCGCTTTGAGGACTCCAGCCTCCATACTAACCGCACTAACCACTGCGCCACCAGCACCCCGAGCTTGATCTTTTCTGTGGTAAACTGATGCGCCATGATCACGCATCTGGTGGAATTTAGGCATAATAGCTTAGCCTAGCTTACTCTGGCCAAACGCAGGATTCTCTCTCTCTCCTCCTCGTCTTTCCTCTTCTTCTTCAAACTCTCCACTTCCTCCAGGAAGCGAAGCTGCGAGCGCACGTCGCTCACTTTAGCATGCCATGAGTCCTCCTGTTGTCACACAAACACAAGTCAACAAGACTTTAATAAAATCATCATAGGCGGCTGCTGTCTTCTTTTATGTTGTTCTAATACCACTGATAAGATAAGCCTATTCGTGCGTTAAATGTCAGGAACAGTGGGGGACCCCGGTCTCTGGCACCGTTATTTTAGGGGGTTGAGGTCTCAAAAGTTTGGGAACCCTGGGACTAGATCATGAAAAGTTCACAAGTGTTAAAGCCTCTCATTAGATATTCTTAAAAATCCTACACAGCATCACTGAGCAGAATTATTTATGAGCAAACAGTAAATGAAGTGGGAAACCTTCAGATGAATGAAATGTGCAAAAATAGCCAGAAGAGTTCAGTCGGGACATAACTTTATGTAGAGTTATGTTATTTTTTATCTACTTGTGCTGTAAAACATCTGACTGTTCAACTCGTAAACAGGAAGTCTTCGAAATCCTTTGCTCTGTTTTTTGATTGCAATGATTGTATGAGATGTAATGATGAGTAACAATTGGTAAGGTGGGAAATACTTCAATCTGGAGACTGTAGTTAATTTCATGTCTTTGTCTTGAAGGCACTGACAAACAACATGAAGTGATCAGCGTTGTGGGGCGTCGGTCTGTTATGTCATGTGGCCAACTCAATGCACTTTTTTTTACTCAAGATGAGAACTTAGAACTCCAAGAGACTGGAGAGGAAGTCACCACTGCTTTAAACAAAATGTAATTTACATGTATAAAACGTGTATTTTCAAATTCAACTCTGATGCGGCCCTGATTCTCTTTTCTTGGTGTTTTTTTATTTATTTAACCTCCGGCAGTATTAATAACTGTGTTGGAAACATGGTGATGCATGTTGATGTAGGCAGACATGTCAGTGTGCGTCTCTGTCAATAAACAGGTTCATTTATTTATCGTCTCTGACATACTCATAACTTAGATTTGGTTTTAAATGTAGGAATGGTCCGGGCAGAAAAATAAATTCAATTGTTTTTTGTTTTAAAGTTTTCTGAATGATGCCACACCACGACCATCCTGACTTTATCATTCTGCTGGGCACGAGTAGACATAAACCATTTGTTCATGAGACCACATAGAAGTTAACCAACATTAGGGATACAACAATACAGTCAGTCCACAGCATCTCATTGCCCACAGATCGATACATACCTCGGTTTTTGTTCACTGTTTTCGGTTCTGTTCTGTGAATATTTCATTTTGTACTGTAGCTTTGTTTCAAACGCTGGCTGAGTGACAGCCTACTAACTTTGTTTGCCAAACTCGGTGAGTGTTTCCATTTGAGTAGGCGACACATGTAAAACCATGTTTCATGTCATGTCATTTTTGTTTATCGTTTTCTCTTCCTAATCATTAAACTAGACGCTGAAACCGTAACGGCCCCACACCACGGATTTGAAAAACGCCGGTGTTTTCTCAAACTGCAGCCTCTCATCACCGCTCGTCTCTTGTGTAGTGTTGTCAGCTTCCCCAACTTTAGCACATGGTGATTGGATATTATCTTAGCGGTAGATTTCCTTATCCCAAGGCATGGACTCACAGGCTATTCAGAAATAATTACTTTCATGGAGGCTCGTAAATAAAACCGTAAAATAAACAGACAAACGACGAGGCAGTACCGAACAGTTCAAGATTGTAATGAGAATTGTTGCATTCCTAACTAATATTCCTTCTCTGGGTTAGGGAGGGACTGCTGTACCTTCAGCACTGGTTTGCGGTGTTCTGCCATCAAAATGAGTTTCTCCAGCAGCCCACGGAGACACTCCTGTGTCGCATGAGAAACCAGAGCGACCACGTCTGGTCCGACGTCAGTGACTCCCAGAGCAAGTCCTAACACAGCAAAGACAAAACCTCTGGGTGTAGCGTATCGATGAGATTCAAACTCAAAGACATGACATGGCTTCACATGTCTGTGGCAGGTTCAAGAAATAAAGTTTAAACAACTAAAAAACATATTAACTTGTTTTTTTAACCTAACTAAACAGTTTTATGTTAGTATTGGGCGGCTGTGGCTCAGTGGTAGAGTCGGTCGTTTCTCAACAAGAAGGTCGAGGGTTTGATCCCTAGCTCCTGCAGCCACATGTCCGAAGTGTCCATGGGCAAGACACTTAACCCCAAATTTCATATGAATGTGTATGAATGGGATTAGTTACTTCTGATGGTCACTTTACACAGCAGCCTCTACCATCAGTGTGTGAATGTGTAGGGGTGACCTGCTGTGTTAAAGAGCTTTGAGTAGTCAGAAGACTCAAAAATAAATATACAAGCTCAAGGCCATTTAAAGTTCATGTGGTTAATGTTAAAAATACAACATCTTATTGTTAAACGATGGTGCTCATGCTTTATGACAGTTATATTTTGAGTCAGACAGGATGCTCTCCCTCAGTGTTGATGTTGAACCTGTGTGAAGGATTCGGCAGAGAACGGGCTTCGGCGACAGGAAGGGCTGATCCTGGCATGACTTCACAACAGAGCCAACCATGGTGGTCAAGATGTTTGCGTTCTCCTCCCTCAGGTTCACTCCAGCCATGGAGGCCACATCATTAATGTCGTCATCTTCCCTGGAAAACACCACCCAACGCTCAAATGACTAGGCTTGTGCAGCTGGAGCAGCTTATTCACAAAAGTGAACCCTTCATGTTGAGTCTTAAAGAAATCAGCAATACGTACTTGTAAGATCCTGAACTGTCCTTGAATGTAAATCTGTTATGATGAGATGGATCTTGAATGAAAGGCTGCTTCACTGAAAAGGTGTCTATGAAAGAGAGAAACATACAAAGTTAATCAGAGAGCAGCATTTCATGGAGGTATCTCTGACAGAGCGTGTGGATGTATTTTGGTCTGCATGTTTGATTCCACTGTGCTTAACTTAAATGACGATCACTACATAGAAGAGACCGACCTCCTCTCCATCATGTGTTAACTTCTGTTATCCCGTTCCATCTGATCAAACGGCCTTTGTTACCCCACCTGGTTATTTGAAGCTATCCCATATCAACAATTCAACGTGCTATGTGGATACTGATGGTTTCACTGTTGCCGGGGTTTAAAGCTTCAAAGCATTCAAAGATTTTCCATTGCGAGCCGATGATGTTGGTCGGTATAGAACATTTTGACTTCATTATCCTATAACATGCAGAAGACTGTAGCCAGGGGCGTGTCCAGACTCTCTGAGTTGGGGGGCCTGACTGGGGCACTGACTTATGCAGGGTTGTCATCAGTGGCGATTCTACAGTCTATCGGGGCCCTAGGCAAAAATTCATTGGGGGGCCCTCCAACCAGCATCACCACCAGGGTTCCTACGCTTACTCCTCTTCCTTCCTCCTCCTGTCACTCTTTCTTTGGTCTTCGGTTTTCAAAACAGCAATGCATGCTATGTAGGGTAATGAGAGTGAGTGCTGTCAGAAGGGGCCCCCTTAGGAAGGTTCCAATTGTCACTGGAACATTTTTCACATTTTAAACCGCTGCTGTGGTGTAAAGTTTGTTGGCCCTCGAGGCACCCCTACTGGCCTGGGGCCCCAAGCCGTTGCCTGCCTTGCCTGTTGAAAAGCAGCACGTCTGGTTGAATGTAATTTATTTACCCTCTCCACCTCCAATCGTCATATCTACTTTTAAGTAGAACACATTTAATACTCACAGTAATTACCTTGAAAGTGCTTTTCTGCCGGGACCACTGTGTGTTTGAAGACTGGCCTGCTGTAATTTCTGGACTGGGCTAATGTGTTCAACCCCGGACTCACTGTCACTCCTCGAAGTTGCTGGATAACCTGCATTTGAAGAGCAGTCGTTAAGCATTGGTCCAAAAATCCTTTTGACAACATATGTTAAACACATTTAAGATATGCAGGGCTGCCAAGTCAAATCAACTAGGCTATGATCCTAGATCCTAGATATCCTCATCGAGGTCTAAAAGAAGGTTTGAGATGAATGTCGGCTTCATGGTTTCTGGTGAAAGGGACCAAAAACACAAATAACACTAAAACAATTGGCAAATAATAAAAAATTAGGTAATTCACTTTGACCTTTTACTGGTTTCAATATATCTAAGGGCGCACTCACTCTTGGCCCAGTTGTCCTGTACCATGCTTAAGCAAGATTGCCCCCCCCCCCTCCATTCCCCCGCTGGCCTGCTCTCACACTGCTCCAGGACTAACCGACCTGAGCACGGTAACCTCTTGTCAATAACGTCGTAATACAACACAGGCTTGGCTTTAAGGCCCTGACACACCAAGCAGACGTCAAAGAACTAGTAGCGACGAAGGCTGACTGTTGTGTCGCCTCTTGTCTTGACCAAAAAGTTGCACTTGAACACACCGCAAAGACTACAGCCGACGGCCAACCACCACGTACCTTCTGCGCATGCGTGAGAGGAAATAACTCTCCATGCCAGCAGGCGGTAGAGTTGTTTACATGAAAGACGAGGTTGCCTTTGGAGTTGCCTTTTGGACCATTATGCTCATCTCATGTACATGCACTAAAAGAACACATGACTTGTCTTTACCTGCTGGTTGTTATTGAAGTCTTTTTCAGTTTCAGAGGTGGACTGCTTCAGGTTAGAGGACTGAGTGTTAGGGTTGCGGGTGGAAGTCGAAGCCTGTTGGATAAATAACTGTGGGTCTGCAGTGAGGCGGCGCACTGCAGGAAGACTTTTCTGGAATTAATGTGAAGAGAAGTGGATGAACGTTAGTCATCGGCCGATATCCATTCAAACCCTACAATGCTCGAGGCCTTTAACCTTCTATGAGCTGCTTGGTGTTGAAATGTTTATTTACAGTAAGAACAAATCAAACAAAAGGAAGACTTAATGTGAGTCCAACTACGGGCGTCAATGTATGCTCATCATACTAAGGGTTTGGTAATAAAATACAAAGACACAACTAAATATGAGAAGATGTTAAATAGGGACGCACCAGTTAATTTAAGATTTTTAATCTAATCTAATTCTAAAGAGCTAGTCTAGATACATGTTTTTTTCATATTCTACTTGATCTAAATTCTGGAGGTCTTTGGTTTTCATTCAGACAGAGTAAATCAGTGTCAGTTATTTATGTGAGAAAGAATGGTTTCACTGTGAGAATAAGACATCTGACAGTGTCAGGCTGACACGTAGCAATTAGTGGAACATCTCATTCTGCTGCTTTGGCAGAATACAGACACCGTCTCATAGAGAGCATACAAACCTGACTACAGCCACAATCCATGCTAGTGAGGGTAGTTTCCAGTGTCTGAGACAGCTGAAATAACTATTTCCTAATAAGGGCAGAAACAATAGATCTGTTATCATCTTAGCGTCGATCAGAATTAATTTGGCAGAGTAATAAGTACTAAATCACAGTTGTGATTTTTGCCGCTGCTTTTTCCTGACAATATGTTCAGATTTACCAGGATACAGATCACTAGAATTGGCTCTCTAGTTTAGAGTTTCAATAATGAGAGTTTTATAACTTTGACACTTCACCGGATCTTATGTCATGAAAGGAAGTCACATAACTGTGTCGTTTTAAATCTCTTTTCACCTTGAGAAAAGGCACCAGGCAGGGCTGAGGAGTGGTTTTCAGCTCTTTATACAGCTGTTCTGTGAACTCCTCTGCTTCTAGCCTCCCTTCCTGCAGGGGGGAAAAAAATGAAACTTCATGTACTTCAACTTTTTGATTTCTCGAAAATCCTAATTTACTTTTTTTTTCTTAAATGAGGCGTTTCAAAGATTTAAGACATTGTAGTAGACATCTTTCTATTCACCAGAGTCATGCTCGTTCCTGTGATGATGAGGATGAAAAAATAAAACCTACCAGCAGACTGCGAACCAGTCCTTTGACGTTATTCGCCATGTTGGCAGACCTGGAGTCACTGGAGGCCAGCTTGATCAGCGTCACCAGGAAGTTCTTGCACTTCTTGACACTTTCCAAGGACTCCTGTTGGTAAACGTCGACAGTCACTCAAGTGGGGAAAATAAGACATACAGCACATAGCCTCTGAAATCGTTATTTGAAATGTGTTGCACTACACTATTTGTCATCCGTAACCACTAAGCTCAATTGGTTTGCCATCGGCCCTTTGCTCCTCCTGAGTGGTTAACGTCCACGCCCCTGTGCTGAAGGCGGTTACGCATCGCTCTGGTCGAGTGGTTATATTCCATTTTAACCTGCCACAACTTCATCTCAATTTTAAGATCAAAATACCGCTGCTTTGAGATGCCATCTGTCCACTGAGCTGGTTTACATCCGGGCAGTAGAGTGTGGAGAGCAGGCCGGTTAAACAGAGCTACAGCCTTAGGTGGTTGGTGTCTTTGTTTCAGCTCAAACACAACATTTAACTGACACTATGGGCTGACATGAATACAAATCATTTGTATATCTTACTAGTATCAACTTTAAGTTGTTAAGTGGACTCATCGCACACACCGACAGTGAAGGTACGGTCTGGGACTCACCTGAGCATAAGTGACCGATGGCTCCTTTTGGGTTTCTGGGACGACTTCATGAACGCGAGGCCGGCTCCCCTGCTCTGACACAACACTGGTGGGCTGGACAACGGCTGGTTTGGGCGCTACACCAATCACCTGAACGACACAATTCACTTTAGTCCATTAGTGTGTGTCAGCATGATACAGCTCGTGTGTGTTTGTGTGTGTGTGTGTGTGTGTGTGTGCAACACTAAATCAGCTTCACTTGTGAGGACCAGCCGGTCACTGCCGACACTATCAGTGGTGTAGTTTCCATTCTGATACAGATCACACCACAACTCGACTTTAAGTCCACTTCCTGTATATGGTGAGAAAGCACTTTGAACAAGGAACTAAATCCTGATGAATACCTATGTGACTTGTCTTCTTAACATAGAGACAATAATTAGATGATTTGTTGCTGCATGTATTTTGGTATTTCTTTGTTTTGCCTGAACATTACCTACAATCATCCCCAACGTGCTCTGCTGTCAGCGACCGTTAAAGTTAGTTCTTGTACCTTTACTACAGTCGTCTTCTGGACTGATGTCTGCTGGAACGTCGAAGGGGCTGCCATCCTGATCACCGTCACTTTCTCATTACTCTTGTTTCCAGCTGATGCAGGTACCTGAATCCCACACATGACAGCTTGTCAAGACAATGGGAGTGCCAATAAGATTTCAGTGATGCATCTAATTAAAGAAACACACACACATACACACACACCTGTGGGGCATACAGTCTGGTCACCTGGCCACCGACACCTCTTGGTACCTGTTGAGCCTGTGCCAAAGCCTGCTGGGATACCAGCATCAGCTGACCACTGTCACTGCGGATCAACATCATACCTGTGGACCAGACGTAGAATGAGCACAGATCATAAAAGGATAACATTTCACAGAATAGCAAAGACATCAAACACACAGACTGTGTCTCTATAGATGCTGAATCCTCTGGAGGAAACATTTGGTCACAGCTGTACTTCACAGGCCATCTAATTTTAAAGACTCTTCCAAATGTAGCTCACAATGCATCACTCCTACCCCGGCAAACAAAGGATCCATCAGGTGCATCGTTCATGGCCCAACAAATCCAGAGATTGATTGCTCGTTAATTCAAACGAGCGAGTGGATTCCAAGCAGCTGAGTAATACACTTTTTAATGAAAGTCATTTGTCTCAACTCAATCAAATAGCTACCAATACTTATCTAAAAAAAAAGGCCCATTGAAACTTTATACATCTTTAATAAAATAGGTTAAGTTATGCAACCCTAGATCCAGAGCAGCTATTGAGGTTGCTAGGGAACAGGGGCGGAGCTCCTTTTTTAATGCATATTGTAATTAAATAATTAATAACCACCAGGTGAGTAATTAATGAATGCCTTATTTTATTGCTCTTAATCTGTTTCATCCATTCTTAATCATTCTTCTCATATTTTAGTCTTCAGTCCTAACTTGCTTTTATATATTAATTTAAACATCTATCTTTTATTCTTGCTTGGGATGTGATGTAATCTCATTTTGTTTTGTTTTTTTAGTGCTTTTCATGTCATCTCCCTCTTCTTCCTTAATCTTGAGGTGACAGTCGGCCTTGGTTGCCTCTTTGCCGTCTGCTTGGTGTGTCAGGGCCTTTACCACAGGAGACCCCTGAAAAGGCTTCAAGTGTCTGATTAAAGATATTAACACATCCAGCTGCTCTCTCATCCTCAGTCTGACTGTTGTACCAGCTGGGAGCAGAAAAGCTAAAAGCTGCCATCACTAAAGGTTTGGTCCTGGACTTTGGGACAGCCAACAGACCTCTGCTTGAGGACACGAGGGGCCATATGGTTCATACTTTGTACTTGGTAATGAATTAGTATTATTTACTGGTTGTCTTGTTTCATGAAACAACCCAGCAAAAGAAAAAGTGAATTGGATGAAATACTCTGTTTTTGTAGTGAAGCATTGAAGGTTCTCCAGTGCAGACCTACCCATCATAACCAAAGTCCACTTGTTTTCTCTGAGCACCACAGTTGTCTTTCCTAAAGCCATGTGAGTTCTCTCCTTTTTAATGTTGTTATGTTTAATGTGGTTGTGCACGATGTAAAAGCATGGGAATCAGTTTGTTTTAGACCACTTCCACAGTCCAGTTAATATAAAACTAACGTTCCAGATGCATTAGACAGCACCCAGCAAGACTAAAACTCAAACTGCAGTGTTGTGCAGCTCACCTGGTGGTATCTGGATATTTGCTGGGAGTTGTGGTGATGGCAGCCGAGGGGACACAGCGACCGTCTGTGGAGTAGCTGCCCTTGGTACAGTGATCACCACCGTCCTTCCTAGGTTTGTGGCCTGGTTTATTGAGGCCCCCTGGGTCACAGCTGTTTTCATGACCTGTGATTGGCTGATGGCACTTACTGCTCTTGTGGTGGCCACCTTTGCTATCACCATGACAGAAGGAGAGGATTTTTGAAGACCTGCGACTGTAACTGTAGGGGAGATCTGATGTTGGCCCTTGACAGCGGGGATGACTTTAGGAGGGGCAGACAACGTGTCCACCTTTGAGACACATGAGGCAGCTGGTTGGGGGTGCATGGTGTTGAGTCCGCATTTGGCTTGGACCTGTAATATCTTGGTTTGAAGAGGTTTGTCTCCATCCCCAGCTGCTCCGCAGGTCTCTAGCTTCTGGGCATCAAGACTCAATGTATTTGTTGCCATATTTATTTCTGAGAAAAAAAAAGAAAAACACAATATGACCTCATCATTATAAATCTGAAAATAAACTTTCTTTTGTATTTCATAATTTTGCACTTATGTGGTTATAATAAACACTACAGTTTACACATTCTGTGATTGAACCATAGGCTGTTAATATTAAATGGACAAAGCCACCCATGATGTCACCCATATGTTCCCACAGGGAGCTCCGGAGGCTCATCGGCAGATGCCGCCATGCTGGAAATCCTGTCTTTACCTAACTTTCAGTCAACCTAACGACAGACTGAGAGCTGGAGCTGAGGCGGGTTTTAAATTGCTGCATAGCGAACGACTGTCAGTCATGTCAGCTACGCACCTAACAACAGATAACGCGTAGTGTTACTTAAAATAAAAACGGGGGCGTTTAACAATAAAAATCACCCCCCTGTAGAGTGTGTTTCCATGATAAGAATAACTAATCAGACCAATTTTGTACCAGGCTGTAAACATGTTATTGTTGTAAAAACTGGCTTTTTCTTTTGCCTGTGGTGTGTATGTGACTTGTGGGGCCCCTGAAGTCATCCTCAAGCGGACACTCAACGAACAGCAGGATTTTGCAATCCCGCATTGGGATCATTTTTCAAGACCGGAGGTTGCCGCTTGCAAACAACAGGCTGAGAGCTGAGGCAGTATTAGCCTCTTGACAAACCATTACGTCATACTGGTCAGCTTTCTTATGAATAATGCTTATCCTTCAAAAAATTCAAATGGATAAGCTATAAAAAAAATGCAGCCTCTGTACAGTGTGTGCCGATCAAGACTGAGCTTATAAAACATATTTTGTTTTTTGAACCAGGCTGTAAACATGTTAGTTTCTACTGTAAAAACGGGCTTTCTTGAATGGGGTGTGTACGTGACTTCTGGTGCTTCTGCAGCCAGACATTCAACAGTATTTTTCATTTTCACATTGGCTTCATTTTTCTACACAGAAGTTGTCACTAGATTTAACCCCATTTCATATGCATTCTGTAATTGAACCCCATTTAAAATATAAACAAACTAAAATAAGAATAAAATTCAGTTTAAATTAAAAAAAACAATTAGATGTAGGCTAAGTCTTATGGGGCGCCGATTGTAAAGTTGCGCACACTACAAATAACAACAACATTTCTCCACATTTAGCCCTAAAAAAAACACTTTTTATTCACATTTAGAGAAATATTTGTGAACTTTGTCTTACTTTTATGAATAAAAATGTAAGATCATTTCATTGGCAAATATAAAATATAAATTTTAAATACAAATGTTAAATATTATATCGAAATGTTGAATGTTTTATCTAAATGTTATATATAAATGTTAAAAATACATGTCCTGATTCTAAATATTTAGCTACATTTCTAAACATTTAGTTTATATTCTATATATTTAGCTTTGATCCTATATATTTAGCTGTAAATATTTATAATCAAAGCTAAATATATAGAATATAAAATAAATATTAAGCCACAATTTCTAAATATTTAGCTAATATGCAAATTTACTATAAAAGTTTGAGGAAGCGATCCAATTTTGAAAATGTCGAACGAATTAGCAGAGAATATTGGAAGGGCCGTTTTGGCCGCAATTCAGGGTTTTCAAAGCACTACTTCTTTGGTGTCGGCCACAGGATCTTCCACATCTTCCGCTAAATCGTTCGACATTTTCAAAATCCCGCCACTCAGACAATGGTTGGATCGCTTCCTCGAACTTTTATTTTGGTGCTTCCGGTGGGCGGTAGAGTGAATTTGCATATTAGCTAAATATTTAGAAATCAAAGCTAAATATTTAGAAATTGTTGCTAAATATTTAGAAATCAAAGCTAAATATTTAGAAATTGTTGCTAAATATTTAGAAATCAAAGCTAAATATTTAGAAATCTTAGCTAAATATTTAGAAATCAAAGCTAAACATTTAGTTTATATTCTATATATTTAGCTTTGATTATAAATATTTACAATCTTAGCTAAATACATAGAATGTAAACTATATGTTCAGAAACATAGCTAAATATTTAGAATCAGGACATGTATTTCTAACATTTATATATAACATTTAACATTTATATTTGCCAATGAAATTATCTTACATTTTTATTCACAAAAGTAAATAAGACAAAGTTCACAAATATTTCTCTAAATGTGAATATAAAGTGATGTTTTAGGGCTAAATGTTGTTGTTATTTGTAGTGTGCACACGCAACTTTACAATCAGCGCCCCATAAAGTCTCTGTGCCATTTGATGACAGTAACAGCAGGTCCAAGTTTAACTCATTTCCATTGCATAATTAAATTGTATAATTATTTAACTTACAGTTCATTTGTTTTATTTTAATTAATTTAGTTAGGTGTTGATATAAGACTAGCTCTGGGAGAAGCTAACAAATCAAGTCAGCCAACAACTTGATGTAAAACTTTATGTCTCATTGTTTGTTTCATGCTGTTTTCTCTTTTGAGTTAAAGCTAATGTTTGCAGATTTATCTTACAGTCCAGGGTAAAGATGTTCAGAGACAACATCAACATTAACAGAGTTTATGGCACGATAAGCTGCCAGCTTTCACACGGAGTTTGAGTTAAGTTAAGTTTTCACTGAAACACCTGAGGAGGTTTAAGTTCGCCAACATGGCTACATCTGCATCGTGACTTCATCCTGAAGCACCTTGATGAGAAAAAGTGACTCACCCTACTTACCTTCTTCTGAAGGTGTTTTAATGGCAGCGTGAGTGCAGCGCAGCCACGACGTGCTAACTACCTTGACTCACCCGTGCTGCGTTTGGGGCCCGGAGTATATTAGAGTGCTCCGTGCTCAAACTATGACGTAATATGTATTTTAAGTAATTAACGTGATTTATCTCCAGAAAAAAAGGTAATAAGTATTAATTATTAGCACTTTGAATTGCATTTCATTTTTATGAAAGTAAGTGATAAAGCTCGATTAATTGATTAATTGAAAAATCAATTAAATATCCCGTCTGTCAGATGACTTATGAGAAGCAGCTTGGATGGCCCCTCATTTACAAGTCCATTTCCATTAAAAAATACTTCATTGCACTATATTCCTGGGAGCTAAATAAACTGGAGTCAAAGCTGGTAAATGGTAAATGGACATGAGCTTCTATAGTGCATGTCTTGTCTTCTGATTACGCAAAGCTTTACAAGCTCTGTCTAAAGTACACTTTTCAATAACCTCATTTTGAGAATGTCTAATTTTCTTTGACTTGACCATAATATTACTATAAACAGCTCTCAGTTTGGGTGATATATAAATTGTAAATAAAAACAGGATGTGATAATTTGCAAAACATTAAACCACATGTTTATTTTTGAATAGCACAAAGACAACATATCAAATGTTAAAACTCTGAAATGTATCTTTTTTTGTTGGGGGTGGGGGTGACGGCAAATACCAGTTTTGTAATTGATGCCAGCAACATGTTTAAAAAAAACATTGGGACAGTTTCTCAACTTATTTTCAACATGTTGTCACATCAGGGTCAATTTGTGAATTTCATTTTCCCAATGACATTTCTCAGTTTAAACATCTGATGTTGTCTTTGTGCTATTTCAAATTAAACATTCGGGTTTTTAATGTTTTTCAAATGATCAGTCCCAATTTAAATTTACAATTTACACAATACCAAACGTTTTTAGATGTTAAGGTGAAGTCTATTAATATAAGACCATATTCTCAAAATGAGGAAAATGAAAAATGCACAACACACAGAACCTGAAGCTTCCAGAACTACAGCGAATCAATTGTTTTTGATGGTGGACATTGAAGCAGGGAAATGACTGAGCTTGTATGTGCGGCATAGGCTGTAAGGTGGGGGACCGAGCCACCGCTCATAAAGTGAAACACTGCCTCCTGCTGGACACAAGTGTGGCATACATTAAGTTGACGTTTTGCAAGATTCAAATCATCGGGATATGAACGGTTCTGATGGATCACATTCACATTGGTTAATGATTATTATGTGATTTAAAAAATGTGTACTGAATTCAGTTGATGGGTTTTCCTCTGAACAGTCAGAACACCAAGAACCAAACCCTTTAAATTACAGAGAAGGACTCTCTTGATCTCCTCCACTAATGGAGGTCAGTGATCTCAGAGGAGAACCTTAGACTCCTTCTCTCAGGCAGGATCCAAAGAAAGTACTGGAGCACACAAAGTACATTTCATTTGGTGTAAAGGACTAATGTTTAGATAAACTGCATCTTCCTCAAACCTCTTTATTGCAGACTTTGTGGTTTTCAGACTTGTCTGTGATGTTAGACTTTTCGTTGTCATAAAGTCACTCAGGAGTAATGCATAAAAATGTGAAACTACGTTTTTATTTTATTTTATTTAACCCTATACGTCTATCTAATAAAAGTTCCTTTGTGGATGTTGAATGGGAAACTTAGAAAAAACAAAAGTCTTCATCAAAGACTCTCATCAACAATAACCTCAAACTGAAGGAAGTTTTGGAAGAAAAAAACAAACGATTGTCTGAGTAAATATGGAGCTTTCTCTTGTAAATGTTCAGATTTTCACCATGGGGATTAAGGTTTATGATGCCACCATTGCACCTGTTTCCCTTCATGTGGCACTCTGCAGGGCGAGTAGAAACTCTTCTGACGAGGTAGGACAACACTTCGGTCAAACATAAATTATCTAAGGCAAACTAGCCACGCTACCTGGTGTGAGTCAAATGCAGCTTTTAACGTAGCGGTTTAAATGAATTAATCTGACACCAAAAAGTTTTTTAAACCAAAATGTTACAGAGCAGAAAGGTGATAGGATTCATGGACATTAAAAACACTTTGACTTGGAGCACCTTATGTCCCACACACCATGTACAGAGACTTAGACTTTATAAAAGACAAACGTCTGATTGCAATAAGAATTCAAAACTGTTTTAATAATTTATAAATTCCATAATTCCAAGTTGATAGAGGAGCCTATATCTGAAATTCAAGAGATTCAGAAGCAAAAAAAAAACCAAGAGGCTCTCGACAGTCCACTACACAAACAAAGAGGAATACATGTTCAACACATTTAAAGAATCCAGAGAAATCAAACACATTTCTTCTTCTTTTTCCTCGGCTCTTTACGTTTGGTTTGAAGAGGAAGTCGATGTTCATATATTTCTGTAACCAAACTATTCGGAACTTGATGACAGATTGAACCACGTTTGATCATTTTCAATACATTTTGATTAAACCACACACACTGTCCTGATGAAGCAGGATACTCAATTTGAGTCCGATCCTCCCAAAAAAAAATCAAAAAGAATAATAGATTTATTTGACTCTGGTTGGTGTTTTTTAGTCCTTAATATTTAAAATAAGAAAAATACAAAGGAGATTGTAAACCTGACCAACAGGAGACCCTGAGCACAGCCGTCCTATGTTGTCAGGTCCCGGTCGGTTTGCAGGAACATACAATGAAAAAATGAAATCATTAAATGGTACTCTGAAAATGACTTCACTGTCACTTTGTGGTGAGTGAACGACGCGTCCAGCGAACCTGAGGAAGCTACAGGTGAGACATGTTGTTGGCTCACACTGAAGTGACAGTAAAGACTGTTTACCTCTTTTTAATCAAATGAAAACATGTCAGGGATTATATTTTAGAAGAAGGATCCAGTATATTGAGGCAGGCAAAGTACGGATATTCTGAATTCAGTGAGTGCTCCAAGTTCAGAAAGGCTCTTGGTCTCTGTTATTTTATTTCTTTTCACTTCAGTGTGACGTATAAACAGACTCAAAACTGGGAGGAATATTCATGTAGTCCTGAATTAGGACACAGAGTCTGTGCTTCCATGTTTTCCACACTAAATTACTGAATCTATTGAATTTATTATTTTATAAAGATGTTGAACCGTCTTTAAATCTTCTGACCCCTCCTTTCTCTACACCTGTCCTCCGAGCAGATGTAACACTAACTCTTCATCTTCAGCCAAAGAGAGCCCGGTGTCCAGAGCGCTGTGCTCATCATTTCCCTGCCTCACTCTCTTCCTCTTCCCCGCTGTGCCCTCCTCCTCTTCATCATCATCATCACTGCTCTCACTTCTGTGATGCCGTTTAGCTGGCCTTGCCTCCTCGTCCTCCTCCTCCTCCTCCTCCTCCTCTTCCCCTGCGTGTGGTTTATCAGGATCGGGCAAGGTGCTGGGATCAAACTCGTCTTCGCTGTGATTGGCCAGGTAAGCCAGCACCTCGTCCTCCTCGTCTTCATCAGATTTCGATCCCTTCTTCTTGTTGGCCTCTCTCCTGGCTGCCTTGGCTTTCAGCCTCTGTTCTCTGTGTTTGGCTTTCACTTTGCGGCTGTACTCCTGCTTGTCAAACTGCTGGTCCTCACGCCTCAGCCTCTCCTTGGCCTTATCTACGTTGATACCTGAAACCTCTTCCTCCTCGTCTTCCTCTGCAACAGCCACTTGCCGTTGGGCTGGAGGCCACAGCTGTACGGCGCCTCCGTCTTCGTTGAATGTAACTTTGGTGTTGACTTGGAAGTTTCTCTTTAATGCTCTTTTGGCTTCTTTAAACTTGGTCTCTTTTTCTTTTTCCTTTTTGGAGTCCTGGTCAGACTCGGAGCTCTCCTGGTCCCCTGTCAGACTGAACACGTCCTTTCTTTTGACAGTGAGCAAGTCAAAGTCTCTCAGATCCTCATCGTCCTCGCTGCTGTCACCGGCTCCCAGAAGAAGTGTTTTAGACTGACGCGCCCTTTGATCATCACCACTTCCTTCGTCCTCACTTGAATCTTCAGACTCTGAACTCTGCTTGTCCTTCTGAGGAGCGTTTCCTCTCAGCTGGGCCTTAAAGCTCTTCAGCTCCTCCTCCTCCTCCTCCCTCCTCCTCCTCTTCTCTCTGTCCTCCTTTCTCCGCTCTCTGTTCCTGAGCTTTGCTTAAGAAGCGCACCCTCGGAGCCACCGCTAGGCCGAGGGAAGCGGCGTACTCCTGAAGCTGGAGTTTGAAGACATCGAACACCTCTTTGTTCTTCATCAGGTAAACTGAGCGCAGATAGGAAACAAAACACCTCTGAGCCCTCTCCTTCTGCTCCTTCTCCTGGGCCAGGAAGGCCTCCAGCTTCTGCTGGACATTCTGCAGCTTCTCCGAGTTCACCTGGAATCAAGTGGACAATAAAATGAATGAAAACAACTGTGACATACTGATATCTCATGTTGTTACACTCGTGTGTGTGTGTGTGTGTGTGTGTGTGTGTGTGTGTGTGTGTGTGTGTATATATATACACACACACACACACACTAAAATAATAATAATATATATATATACTTATTTTGTGAGGATTTATGATCTGTTTTCAACAACTCCAAACCCATAAGGACCTTTAAGATAACACTATTTCTAGATAGTATAATGATATCTTGTGAGGAGATATTATATCGATTTATGACCACAAAGCAGGATGGGAAGTAAGCACCTGTCACCTGCCAAATACGAGGTTTTTATGCAGTGACAGGTGAATTTGCTTAACTTACCCAGTCACGGTGGCTTTTGATTTTTAAAACAACAAACTGATCGTCTTGTCCCTCAGTCCAGGTTCATTTGCAGCTAAAGGCGTTCAACTTTGAGGACAATTGAAACTCTTACCAGCCTCAAAATAAAACATTAAAATCTCTTTTTTTTCTGTTTATGAGCAAGACAAAGATCTATAAAGATCAGTGTTTTCTTTAAAAGTTGAAACATCTCCCTTCATAAAAGAGCTGATTACTTGAATACAGTAAGCCTTGATTTGATATTATGTGTCATCATAACATTCTGCTGCCGGTTAGAATAAAGTGACAGGTAACATTAATTAGCGACAGGTAGATTTTTGAACCCACCAGTCACAGTGGCAGGTAGGTGAAACCCTGCCGCCAAGTCTCGATATTTTTATTATATTAACAGCAAATATGATTTTTTTTTATTTTGAATTGCTGGTTAAAGGGGTTGTACAATTCTTTCTGAACAAGTTGCATTGTTAATACTTCATGTTAAAGTTGGTTAGACTGATATACTACAGTTCACTTTGTGAAGTTCATGCAGCCTTTTACAGGGTTTATCTTTGACGCGTGTTGGTCAGTCTGTGGGTTTGACTCACGCTGTGTAGAAACAAAAAGACTGAAGAGAGATGAAGAGACTGAGAATATTGACCTATCATTTCTTATAATCTGGTGGACAGTTAGACTGATATACTACAGTTCACTTTGTGAAGTTCATGCAGCCTTTTACAGGGTTTATCTTTGACGCGTGTTGGTCAGTCTGTGGGTTTGACTCACGCTGTGTAGAAACAAAAAGACTGAAGAGAGATGAAGAGACTGAGAATATTGACCTATCATTTCTTATAATCTGGTGGACATAATATGCAGTTGAAAAAGTTAATAGTGTATCGCAATTCTCAGCCTAAAGAAAAATGTTTAAAATCACAATAATATTGTGACTCAAGTATCATGGTTATTTCCTCTTTATATAAAACTCCATTCAGTTACACAGAACTTCTCCATCAAGTTCATCCTTAATTATAATCTATTAAAAAGGCCCGTTGCAGCTTTAAGAGCATTTTAGAGGATTAAGAAGACAAATAAAAGTGTAAAAAAAACAAAGAACGATCGTACAAGAAGAAAGATGTCTGAGCAACAAAATCTGCATATCATCATTTAGTCTTCTGCAGGGAGGGGAGGGCTACAGATATCATCTCTATCAGCATTTGGGAATTATAAGCTGCACTCAGGCAACATGTAGTCAACTCAAGCACTGTTTACTAAAGGCCCACAGATATATTGACTGCCATTACAAATCATGTTACATCACCACCACTTGTATATTAAAAGGGGGGAAAAAAAGTTAGTCAAAGTGTTATGTTAAAGAATAATGTGAATGGCATGTATATCTTTGTCATCCTTTAAAAAGATCACTAATGAAGGAAAAGCAACTAAACTCAAAACATTGGACAATCTGCTTTAAAACAAAAAAAAAAAAGTTTTACCTTGTGCAATATGTTTAGGGAGCGGATTTGTTTCATAATTATTATTTTTTATACTTGGTGTTAACCTGTGTGATCACTGTCCTGTCCTCTACTCAATAACACTGTGCACACGTTTCATTTGAAGGCTCACTGACTGTATATTGTGTCACTATGGTTACCTGGATCTTATTGATGGGAACCTTCTTCTCCTGCAGCTGGCTCAGCATGCCCTTCTCTTCAGAGGGGAGCAGCAGCAGTAAGGCCTCTCCGCCCTCCTTGTACCTGGCAGTCCGCCCCACCCTGTGGATGTAGGTGTCCGCGTCCTCCGGACAGTCAAACTGCAGCACCCAGTTGACAGCGGGGAAGTCAAGGCCTCTGGCTGCTATGTCAGTGGCAAAGAGTACCGCGTTCTGCTTTTTGAGGAAGTCGTTGTAGACCTCCACCCTCTTCATCTGCTGCTGCTTGCCGTGCAACGCCAGGATGGGCATGCCCGGTCTGAGGCGGCAGAAGATGCGGAACAGGTACTGCACCTCCTTGCAGCAGGCGAAGAAGACGATGATCTTCTTCCTCAGGTGGCTCCTGATGAACGAGAAGAGCATGTTGACCTTCTTGTGGAGCTCACACACCATGTAGCTCTGCTCCAGCGTGGCCGGTGTGCTGAACTTGGCCTTCTCGTGGACCCACACGTACGCCGGGTCCTTGAGGCTGAGCCGGGCCAGGTCTTTCACTGACTTGGTCTGAGTGGCGGAGAACAGCAGCGTCTGCCTCGACCTCGGCAGGTTCTCCACGATGGCGTTGAGCGTGTCCGCGAAGCCCATGTCCAGAATGCGGTCCGCCTCGTCCAGGATGAGCATGTGGAGGTCGGAGGCGTGGAAGGTGGCCGTCTCGTCCATGTGCTGGAGCAGCCGACCCGGGGTGCAGACGACGATGTTGGTGCGGTGAATCCTCTCCGACTCGGTCTGAAGGTCCTTTCCGCCGATGATGAGCCCCGCGGAGAACTCGTGGTTCTTGCCCACCTTGCGGAGGACTTCAAAGGTTTGATAGGCGAGCTCTCTGGTGGGCGATATGATGAGAGCGCCGAGTCCATCCATGGAGCTCCACTGCTGGCGGTACAGACACTCCAGCACCGGGATGAGGAAGGCTAATGTCTTCCCGGAGCCGGTCTTAGCCGCGCCGAGGACGTCTTTCCCTTGCAGCGCGAAGCTGATCGTCTGCCTCTGGATCTCCGTGGGTTGTCTGTACTGACACTCCTGCAAACCCAACAGGGTTTTCTTTGAGATGGGGAAGTCGGAAAACTTGACAGCCTCCTTGGCGTTGATGTCTTCGTACCTGCGAACCAGCGAGGCGATGTACTCCCGTTCGACCTGCCACTCCGGCCTCTTCGGGGCTCTCTCTCGCTTCACTCGATCTTTCGTCTTGTTGTATTTTTTCTTCCATTTCTCGAAGTTCTTCACGGGGTCGGTGCCCGGTTTCATTTTCGCAGCTTTAGATTTCTTCTTGGTGGCGTTCGGGCCTTTTTTATCCATGATAAAACCTCTAGACGAGAAGGATAGACGAGTCAAACACACGTTAGTTCACACGGGTCTCCGATTAGTAAACAGCATGGAGAAGATGCTGACGCGTTCAATTTGACGTCATCACCGCGCGACCCAATTCTTGCAATCCTAATTCGACTTTAAAACTTAATACACTTTTTTTATTATTATTATTATTGGCTATACCTTCACTTCCTCATTAAAAAAAAAACTATCCAATTGGACATACAGCTATTAATGTATTTAAATAAATTATTTAGGAAATATTTTGATTCGAAAAAGTTTCAGTATTTGGCGGAGTTGGCTTTAAAAAAAAAATATATATATTTCGTATATCTAAAGTGATATATCATCATTATTAAAGTTGTGTCTACTGTAGTCAAAACAGACGTGACAGAGAAGTGGTTTCACTTCCGTATCACATGCCACTTGTGAAAAAAAGATGTACGGAAATGCACTCAACACAGTTTCAAAATAAGAGCTTTTTAAAGAGGAAGGTTTTTAAAGACCATTTGTGAATGCTTTTAGGGATGATTTTAATTTCCGGACTCCTTCTCAGTTTGCCTCTTTGTCCCATTTAAACAACACATATGTGTTGTTTTGTGTCTTTATGGAAGACAGTTTGTAGGTTTTGGCCATAATGTATTTATAATGCTTGGACATTTGTCTTTCATAAGAATATAAATCTGAAGATCAAACCTATATTTAATGTTTGCCAAAGGAGCTATACGCAACTATTTTCAAATGCTTACATTTTTGAAGAAGAAGACTGGTATGCTATATGCACTTTCTTAAAACCCCTAAACATCTTTGAATTGTTCCTGTTTTCCTTTCTTCTCTTCTTTCTATATAATTTCCACTTCCCCCTCACAATTTCTCTCGTGAGCTTTATTTGTTCATAAATTGCATTAACTTGTTGATGCTTATTTGTATACAGATGGTGGATTTTGTATTACTGTTCCAAGCCACTTATGTTATTGTCATGTTTTGTCTTTGTACTTGGGTATAATGATTTGTCAAGTTAAACAAAATCTGCATGACTGTGAATTCTGTTGTTGTCTTTAATTCGTATTCGTACTACTGCTAGTTTCAGAATGAATAGTCTTAGTGCCAGTAAAAATAATAGCAGCAGTAGTAATGCCATTGATTATCTGAAGGCTGAATCTATTACATTAACACACTGGACTTCATATTTTCTGTTTACACTGCACGCAGTTCCTCCATTGCACATTTTGTGTTTTTATGTTTTAAATGCTATTAAATATTTTCTAATATCCTTTATTTTTGTACCTTATTCATATTTAAGCTGTCAGCAGGAGCTCTGCTCTTTTTATATTTCCTTGTTGACTGTTTTTGCACCAAAACACCAAGTCAAATTCCGGTAAATAAATATTACCCTAATATAATATAATATAATAATATATAAAATAATATAATAATAATATAATATAATAATACTGCATATTACTCCGAAGCTATGTAACTTTTGGTTATTTTGCTGTTTTATTCATTTATTATAAAAAAAAAAAAAAACAATGTTTGTAGTCTACGTATGCGTTTTCGTGAGGCATTACCGAGATAAATGTTCATCTAAAAAGAGCATTTTTATGTCTTTTATTTTATTAGATTTCTCCGGAAGTTGTTCACACCATAACCCCGTGGCAGCTGCCTGACACTTCATCTACGATCACGGCAAGGCAGAGGCAGACAGATGATAAACAAGTCTCAAGACAGTTTATTTTGGACAGACAAAAAGAGATTATTCGTCAACTGAGGATCAGTAACATCTCTGCAGTCCCTATGCTGCACAAGGCATGGCCGAGAGACAGGACAACGAGGTAACATCAGCTTTTACATCTGCAGGAAGAAGCACTGTGGCATGCTTCAGGGAAATTATGTACATTTGTTGACGTGCACATTTGTTTGTCTTACCAGTCAGAAGTCGACACAGTTCAGTTTCAAGAGAAACACTGACCACAACAACCTCAACCTAACAGATTTGTGCTGACATAAAAGGGGATTTCAAAGTTGTGTTAGCCCAGCAGCTAGCACACCAGCTTGCACAGAGAGCTTTAACACGAGTCACGTTTGGTGTCTGACACTAAAGTTACTATCTGTCCTGGAAGAAGAGAAATAAATGTCGAACAAAGGTGACCCTGCAGTGTCGTCAAAAACACAGCCATCATACAACACCCAACCAGCTGATTTAATAAATGAGTATGATGTAGCTTTTGGTCAATTCTCAAATGTGTTTATGTTACCACGTTAGTTATTACAGCCTGTAGTGAACCAGTGAAGATGCCCATAGTTTACATGCAATCCAATATATCACCTCATTTATCCACCTGGGTAATTACAGGAAGTTAGTCTACAGCAACACTATTAGACATTTGATTAAAGAGATGCTACTTAGGTGGATTGGTTGTGTCCATACTGAGATGACATCATACTGACCAGAGATGCACAGATTTGGAAAAATCAGGACCGATGCTTGATACCGATGTTTGAAATAACAATTCAGCTGATTGCCAATTCTGATACCGATGTTTGTTTCTTCTTTTGGTGTAATGCTGCATTCATGTGGTGTCGACCAAATTGAGTTGTAAAATGCACACGAACACCTGCTCAAGTCGGAACAACAAGTCGGAAACTCGGAAAAGAAGGAGGTGCCCGACTTCCCGACTTGACGTCATAATCGTCATCAAATGGGGGGGCAAAATATGTTTTGTTAATGTTAACATACTTTTAATTCATTCATTTATTGCATATAAACTTTTTGCTCAAATATAACTTTTAACAGTAACATTTCACTGATCTTCTTCTTCGTGCCATCAACGCTTTTTTGTGCTGTTGTTACAACATTACGACTTTCTGAGCTGAAATCACGTGAACACACTGAAGTCGGAAGAACGACTTCCCAACTTGGAAACTTGGACCACCCGAGCAGCACCTGAATGCAACAAAAAAGTGTGGCTGCTACAAAGAAGATGAGTGAATGTTTCTGTTGTTATATTCGAGCAAAAAAGTTGATGTGCAATATTTCAATTCATAAAAAAAGTATCTTAACATTAACAAAAACATATCTTTCCCCCCCGTGTGATGACGAATATGACGTCAAGTTTCCGACTTGAGCAGCATGTGCATTTTACAACCCAGAAACTCGTTTTCCTGATGGGTCCGATACCACATGAATGCATCATAAGTACAAGCATTAAATTGATTTGGCACAACAAATAGGCCTCGGCTACTGACGTGGGTCATGCTTCATTATTTGTCGATGTGCAGACGCCTGTCAGTAAGGTCGATATCATCCAATACCGACGTTGAGCCGATGCAATCCTATTTAATATGCCATATGAAAGCCTGTTTTTTTTTGGTTTTTTTTGCAGGTCTACAATTGTACAAACAAGGAAAGATGCATGATAGCTCTTAACACTGCCAGATTCTGTTGTGTTTAAAACTCGATATCAAGTGCTTTGTTTTGCATCGATCGTAATTTAGCTTTCCACTTCAGATCAGAAAGTGAATCTTACTGTACTACTCAAATCATGAACACTTTCCTGTTTTCTCTTGCTCTAAGGTGGAGGAGGCTGACCAGATCTACCTGCTGATGAAAGAGGAGTATCGGATATCTAGGAATGTGCGTCTTGCATGGTTCCTTGGTAAACTAAACCAAGTCATCTGGCCAGCCTCAAAGCCGGAACTAGTGAGTGTTTCCTGTCTTTCTTTCTTTCTTTCTTCTCTGTTCTTGTTCTCATTGGTGGTCCGGCACACCGAGTTTGAAAAGTAGCTGATGGTGTGGGTGTGCTACTCTTCTGAGAATTGTTACATAAAAATTCTGAATGGTTTGTCACTGCTAACTTTTACGACCGAGATCCATGTTTTCTACTGGCTTATTAGCCCTCACACCTGACAGGTACAGATTATTTGAGGCACCCCATCGATGATTATACGTTTTGCTTTCATATGTAACCTATAGCAGGAGAGAGGAAGATGGTGACAGGCAGGCTGACGGGTCCTGCTGAAACTCCAGGCCATAAAACACCATGCTGACTTTGACAGTCCTCAATCCTCTACAGAACGTATAGATGCAGTACTGCTCTAAATGTGGCACTGCTGGTGTGTCACCCTTATGTACTGTTGACCAGACACCATCGACCAGTCTTTGACCATCATCACTTTATGCTGTTATATGACACATCAAAACGATATTTATAGTCCTGCACAATATGAGACGAATATGAGACGTGCGATAGCATTGTCCAATAATGGGACAATTATATGAAGCACGATAAATTAACAAATATAGAAGAGTGTACGTTACCCTTAACTAGTCTTTCTGCTGTTTTCCATGTATTTTTTTTTTTTTTTTTAAGATTTATTTTGGGGCTTTTTATGCCGTCATTGTAGAGATAGGACAGTGGATAGAGTTGGAAATTGGGGAGAGAGAGGTAAATGACATGCGGGAAGGGATCCACAGGTCGGATTAAAACCCGGGCCGCCCGCCTAGAGGACCACAGCCTCCATACATGGGTTGTGCACCCAGACAACCGACACCCCCCTGTTTTTCATGTTTTACACAACACCTATGTTGCAACATAGTTCTCCTGAATCTAAAATCAATCCAAAATAGTTTTTTTTCCTCCACTTATTTGGCATCATTAGTCTGAGGGTAGCAGATAGCCACTTTGAGCTTCATCTTACTGCAGCAAAATGTTTTAAACCTGAACTTCCATCAAATAGGTCAAATGTACGCATGCTGAGTGAGAAAGCATTTGATGGTCACATGAACAAAGATTTTATTTATGGCCATGAATTCAGATTTTGAAGATGTTTTTCGAATGAATGCTCGTGTTGTTATGATGAAATTTGAATTAATTGCGCACTCTAATATTTCTAATATTTTTTGATGACATAATAAAGACCAGGGATAGATTATGCACATCCAAAGAAACACACACACACACACACACACACACACACACACACACACACACACACACACACACACACACACACACACACACACACACACACACCGGTATAATCTAAGAAAAATTAGATCTACCAGTGAAACATGACCGACCGGTCAAAGTCAACAGTGACATTTTCCATGAGCACTTTCCAAACTCTGTCATTCTGTGATGTATGTCCTCTACAACTATTTTTCCGAAAAATGTAAATGCAATGTCAATCAATCTAATTTTAGTTTGTATAGTGCTAATTATTAACAAATGTTATTTCAAGACACTTTACCAAAAGAGAAGGTCTAGTCCGTACTCTCTGTTATATTAAAGTCTTTAAGTTGTTTTTATTGAAGAAACATAGATGGGATAATCAAATGTAATGTAGTTGATTTCTTATGGATGTGAGACATGTATTAAAGAGGACATATTATTCCCCTTTTCCATCTTTTCAAACAATCCCCTGTAGTCTAAATGAAACATTTGTTTCAGCTCTCTCAGAACGCTCTGTTTTGGTGTGTGTGTCTTTAAATGCAAGGGCCCCCCCCCCTGAGTTTTCCTGGTAGACATCAATCCTCTGTAGTGAGAATAAAAATGGTGGACCTGCGCTAAAGTTTTGCTGTAGGCTGGGGGTGGAGTCCATGGGTGGAGATACCAGGGGAGGGGAGGGCATTTTTTTTTACCAGAATCCCACTGTGACATCACAAGGAGAGCACATTTGAAACAGAGCCTTTTTCTCTGTGTTGTAAGACTTATGCAGGCCACAAACAAAGGACTGGATGGGTGTATTTCACATTTTGTGGGTCAGTAGACACTCAGGTTACCCAAATATATGTTCAAAAACACTGTCAAAGTGGATTTTTATAATATGTCCCCTTTAATGAATTATATTAAGGTTAAAAAAGGTGGTCTGAATGAAACTTTGACCTTCCAGCAGTGTTGAAAACAAGTAGTGAAAGGATAACCTGAAAGTTTCAGACACACATTTCAGTTGTTGATAAAAGGAATCTGATCTGGTGTCGTTTGTGTCTCTGGATTTATTCACAGCTGAACTCAGAGAACGAATTGGACTTGCTCAGCATCTTACCCAAAGGATGGCAGTCGGAGTTCTCCCCCTCGATGTACCCCTACATGTTGATGCCATCCTCTCGGGCCACCTTCCTGGCCCGGAGGTACCGCTTCATCATCGAGCTGGACCTCAGCCCCTCGACAGGGATTGTGGTGAGACTTGAAGTTTATCGTGAACAGCGTCTTTGAAGTTATTTCCCCAAGTGGTGAAACATTTGTAAAACACATTAAGAATAACTCTAATGGGTTTTTATCAGGACCTCAGTCACTCTGTCACTGTTGGATACTCTGTTAATACAACAGATTCACAGCTGGTATATTAGTATGGGCCTTAAACTAAAGAGTAATGCTATCTATGTGTGTGTGTGTTTTCTCCTTCTGCAGGATGACAGCACAGGAGAGATGATATTCGATGAGGTGTTTCATGCCTTGTCCCGATGTTTGACTGGTCTCAGTCAGCCGTTTAAAGTCCCGGGAACGGAGGAAGTTTTCAAGCCCAAGATCTTCATCACCATCTTGGTGTATTCATCAATTATCGGACTTACATCCCATCAGGTTAATGCTCTGCTTTTATTTATTTATTTTTCCGGTCTTTTACAAAGTAGATGAGATCTTAAGAGTCTTGAAATGAAAGGATAAATTAAAGCCCCCCCATTCCGCGTCCGTGCGTTAAGGGTCACATATTATCCTCCCTTATGACAACTTTAAATAAGTCTCAGAGCTCCCCAAAACATGTGTGTGAAGTTTCTTGTTCTAAATCCACTCTGATCCTGTATTTGATCATGTCTATAAACCCCTCTATTTCAGCCCTGATCAGAACACACTGTTTCTGTGTCTGTACCACATTTTCTGAAAAATGGAGCAGGCAAGAGATGGAGAGGATGAACTTTTCTCATAATTGGGGGGTTTGTAGACAGACTAGGGACACATATTAGTGTTGCAGATGAAACATAACAAATACGGAAATATCACATCTGGAACTGGCAGAATATAAGAGCCACAAAACAAACTTAAACTTGATTGACCTTTGGTGTATTAAAGAAACACCTGGGAATAGTTCTATCCTATATTCTTCCATTTTAGTTATTCTGTTGCTTATCATTTAAGCAGCCAAATGCTCTAACTGTTTTTTAAATGGATACTCGTTATACTTATCTGACATAATTTGGCTCGAAATCACAATCATACGTATCTGTGAGGAGAAATTACATCATGCAAAAATGTATTTGGACACACCAGTGTGACTGACTCTGTGTTCTGACACCGGCATTGAGCAAATGCAGAGATAGACTAAGCTCTCACAGAACAGAATCTATTCAGTCATTCATATTACCAAAGAATGGTGTACAAACAGGCAGCGGATTTGTTCCCTGCACTATGTAACTGGTGAGACAATAAGGATACTTTATTGTCACTATTATACAGTCAGGGGGGAAATATCCAGATGTTTCAACAACAAAAAAGAGATGGATACTAGAGCCCGACCGATCAATCAGCCAGCCGATAATATCGGCCGATATTAGCAAATCAAGTCACTATCGGTATCGGCTAATTTTGCCGATATTTGTAGATTTATTCACTAGTCCAATAGCAAGTTGAGTATCGTTGTATTAAACTAGCATTTGTCTTTCTTTCTGTCACCAGAAAAGTGTGTGCTGTATGGATTATAACAAGCATCATCCCTCTCCAGAGTATCAAGTGGTGATGAAAGTACAGGCACGGTTACTTTCCACTTGTGTTTGATAAATCAACACAATAAATGTGTAGATCTATCTCTACGGATTGAAGATAGATCTAAGAAACATATCTGCCAATATATCGGTATCTGAGGCTTTTTCTCCCTAATTTCGATTTATCGGTATCGGCCCCAAAAATTCCATATCGGTCGGGCCCTAATGAATACATCATCTGCAATACAGCCATCTGGTTGATCTTCATTTAGCACTTTCAGGAGTCACATTCCCCCACTTCAACTTTACTTTCTGTCACAACTTTTTCACACTTATTTTCATGAAATGTAAAGACTCAAACTCTTAACTTGGGGGCTCCTGTGACCTTTAAATCAAAGTAAGCACAGAGCCCTGATGTTTTCCTCCATGTGATGCATGAAGCTGCTGTTGTTGTAGATGCATTGATCTGACAGTCTTTCTTTCCCCTTCAGGTTTTAGTTCAGGGCTGTCAGCTTGATAGGACGGACCTTGATGAGTTCCTGCATCAAATCTATCAGCAGCTCAGAGCAGTGGAGAGCAACATCGCACAAGTCCTTCATCAGCAGCACGAACAGGCAAGTGAACAGTATTGATATCATATGTACAGTATATGATGTTCTGTATTTAGTTCTTACCTGTTCAACAATCCAATGTGCAGACCCACAACAACAACAATGGATGTATGAGTATTGAGTATGCGTCCAAAGCTGAAACATCATATTGTCATGCTGAAACTATAAAACACTTCCTCACTGTTTACACGTAGTCAACTTTATTTATCCCAGAGTGCAGCTCGTTCCACGCTCCACACAGACCATACATACATCTGCAAACAAACAACAGCTGGAGTTTGTCAGAGACAACGAACAAAGAAGCTGACAGAGATTATCGCCCGCACGCTGACACCCTCGTGTTGTCACTTTGGGTAATGACACCCAGGAGGTGCATGACTTTTTTTTCTTTGCTTTTAGCCTCTGGAGCAAGTCCAAAATTCAGGTGTCCATGGCAACAACCTCGATGAGCAGTCGCACAGAAAGCAGAGCATCTCCATCGTGTCAGCTGATATGGGTCTCGTCAGCATGGTACGCCAAGGCATCCTGGCCCTTCAGCTGCTGCCTCCAAACTCCAGTGCTGGTAGGTTTCTCTGAAGGACCCCAAGTTGTCACTCAGTTTCTCCATTAACGTCCTCAGCATCCGAAAAGTACAACTTCCTGGTTTTCAATCCAGCATTAACGTGTTAAATGTTCACTTATCTGCTCTTTAACTCACACATCATCTGAGTATTTTTTTTTTTTACTTCAAAATAACAATAAAATAGGGCGCCGGTAGCCTAGTGGTTACTGCGTGAACTCGTCCTGCTCTCAAGTCGAAGCTAACGATCAAATCGACGCCATGTCCTGCACTCTAGCTTCTGATTGGTTATTTCCTGTTTCAGTTGGAAATACGTCACGACACGCCAGTTAGATACTCTTGAAGGTCCGTTTCATGGGGACTTTTTCAGCTCATCTTGAGCATCAGGACACTTAACTTTATATTCTTTAAATAAATTAGAAATAGTGTGGAGTAGTTGTTGATGAATTAGAAAAAGGAGCGAAGGTAAACGTTGAATCCCTACTTACTTTAATATCTCCAGACTTTTAGAATATGTGAATCATTTGCTTATTGTTGTTTTTCAGGTATCATTATAATCACAGATGGAGTGACTAGTGTTCCCGATGTAGCCGTGTGTGAAACCCTGCTCAACCAGCTCAGGAGTGGAACTATCGCATGCTCCTTTGTGCAGGTAAGGACCAAAACATCTTGAGGTTTGCTCTGTTGAAATATTTGATTCTGTGCTCTCGCTGGTATTTAAAGGTGTTGTTGCTGTTTCTTCTTCTTACCTGTTTACCCTTTGAATTGCACTTGGACAATAATATTCCAGTTTAAAAGAAGGGAGTGGGTTTAATCCTCAACCGCTTTTATAACCTAGAAGATAAAGAAATGACGGGGGAACGCTGAGATTTTAGGATAATATTAGAAACATGCATTTACAGCTGAGGTCGGAGCAGGCCGTGCGTGACTGAGGACGGTGGTGGTGGTGATTTCTTCACTGAAGGTTGGAGGAGCTCTGTCTACTGGAGAGCCTCCCCAAGACCACTGTTTATAGAAATGTCACGCAGCAGGGATTCTGCTGTAGAAGCAGTTCTGTCACTTTGCTCCTGAATGGAGAAGGCGTGTTATGAAAGCGTGATTGCTGTTCTTGTCATTGTGTTTATGCCTCTCCAGGTTGGCGGTGCGTACTCCTATGACTGCAGCTTTGGCTACATCCCCAACGTGGAGCTGATGAAGTTCATCTCATTGGCCACCTTCGGTTCCTTCCTGCCTACCTGTCCTGATGTCGACTTGAACAGCCAGGAGATGAATGCGTATCACAAGGCCTTCCTGACCTATTCCTTCCTTAAAACTCCTGAGTCCATGAACTCCGAGTACTTCTGCGGTGAGCAGTCAAAGATTCATGCGTTACTTTCTGCTTTATTGACACTATGCATATATTTTAAGATTAAGACATACTTTATTAATCCCACGAGGGGAAACTAAATTTCACACTTTGATATTGAACATGCTACACACACACTGTGCCTTGCTCAAGGGCACCTAGGGAAGCAAACTAGCACCTCTCCCTCCGCCCACCAAGTTTGCAATTACAAACGTACCCCAACAAGACAAGACCAACAAAAAAGATGAAATGTTGGTATTTAACCGTTAGTAAATGAATGTGTACAAATTCAATAAAGAGTATAGATCTATCTATCTATCTAAATAAAGAGTATCACAATGTGTTGAGAAGACATATTATGTAAAAGTTTATAATAGTTGACCGAATACTAAGCCCACAATGCCTCCAAAGGCCTTTTAAAGATTTACTTTTGGGCTTTTTGTGCCTTTATTGGAGGACAGGATAGTGAATAGGGCCGGAAATCAGGGAGGGAGAGAGAGAGTGGGGAATGAGGTTGGATTAGAGCCTTGGCCGCCTGCTTAGAGGACTACAGCCTCCATATATGGGGCGTGCTAACTAATCACTAACCACTGCGCCACCAGCGCCCCTGTACCTCTATATATATATGTATATATATGTATATGTGTGTGTACAGGGACACACACAGACAGATATATATCTGATAGCCCAAATACTTAATTCTTTATTTATTTTTTTGTAGTTTCACAGCACAAACTGTTCAATGAGCATCTGTTGTCGGCCAGTGGTAACCCCGCCCTGGTCATGAGGAGGAAGAAACACACAGAGAAGGAAGTCCATGCCAACTTAATCAGCGTGGTGTCTGTGCGACTGAGAGAGGGCTACACCATCCGAGAGGTCAGCCTCACAAAAGGTAAACTGATGTCTTCTCATAAATCCGAGATATTGATAAAAATCCTGGAGCAAAAAGCTAAACAGAATGTACGGTATAAAAGAGAATAAAGCGGATGGTTTCATGGTGCAGGTGCTTTAGTTCCTGCAGCCTTTGACCTTCTTACCTAATTCATTTTAAATCTTGGGTTGATGCTCCTCAAACAAATATTGAAGTGAATCAACTTAATTGAGCGTGCATGTGTGTAGTTCTCATGCTGGTTACTACTTTTGATGCTATGATTATATATTTTTTGAATCTGTAGTGCTGTCATGTTTTGTGTACAACTATGCATTTCAAAATCTTCCATATGCACCTCAATTTACCCTCAGTTATTAATAAAGACATTCAAAACGTTTTTTTAAGGTGGGACTCAGCTGGAGGTGAAGCTTGTGTTGTTATGGAAACACAACATGCATATCGAGTATCTGGCAGCTGCCTCTTGGCCTTTGGACCCCGCCAAGAGAACCACCAGGGTGGAGGTGACTATGGAGGGAAGCTACGACATCCTGCATGATATCAGCTGCACCCAGAGGAAGCCCATCACCAGCCCGTACCGCACTTCTGTCATCCGGCGCTTTTGGAACACACTGCAGAGGTACAGCTGTCTAAAAGAGAGCAGGAGAAACACATTTCAACGACCAAAAGATGAGATTCCACTGCTGAAAATGATGTTACCTAACAGCGTGTTTTGTGTTTGTCGTTTCAGCATCAATCAGACCGATCAGATGTTGGTGCACCTCCAGTCCTTTAATTCAGTTCCTGAGAACTACATGATTCCTGAGAGCACCAAAAATGGAGTACCTCTGTTTTACATCCCTCCTGGCTCTACTACTCCGGTACTGTGGAGACCCTCACTGATCACATGTTGCCTGTTCTTACATTTCTATTAATCCAAAGCTACCAAGTGACATTCTTACCACCAGGAGGTGCCAAATAGACATGAATTAATCTTCAGATATTTTGAACAATCAAGCACAGAATTAGTATATTAGCACTTCTCTCTTCAGATGTTTTAAAGAGGACATATTATCCCCCTTCTCCACCTTTTCAAACAGTCCCCTGTGGTCTAAATAAAACATCTGTGCTGAGCTTTGGTCAAAATATAACATGAGTCAAGCACCAGAGGAGGTTTGTGACCCTGTATAAACCAGCTCTCACAGAACGCTCTGTTTTGGTGTGTGTGTCTTTAGTCTCTTCGCTAGCGAGAATAAAAATGGCGACCTGCGCAAAAGTTTTGCTCTAGGCTGGGGTGGAGCCCATGGGCGGAGATATCAGGGAGGGGATTTTTAACCTGATTCCTACAGTGATGCAACAAGGAGAGCACATTTGAAACAGAGCGTTTTTCTCTGTGTTGTAAGACTTATGCAGACCACAAAACAAATGACTGGATGGGTTTATTTCACATTTTGTGGGTCTGTAACGCTCAGGTTACCCAAATATATGTTCAAAAACACTGTAAAAGTGGATTTTTCACATCATGAAACCTGTGTCACCTAAATATTCATAAATCATTCTAAATTGTCAGGTCATAACATCTGCATACTGAATAATACACAACTCTGTCAGAGGCGACGTCGTCACTGCAGACGTTACAATGTGTTACAAATATGTTCAAGAAGATATCTTATGATAATCAGAAAAGTGAACAATATTCGCCACATTGGATTCCTATTCCTCCTCAACTAAAGTTTGTCCTGTAAATCTTTTAATAGTTTATGTTTTTATGTAGACAGCTAGTTGATGTTTCCATCGAGCAAACAGTAATTTTTTATTCTTCCAATTCTTACCCTAACTGTAAAATCCAGGTTAAAGGAGCAATATGTAACTCTGACACCCAGTGTTTGAAATGGGTACTGCAGTCTAAATTCTAAACATTGTAGAGAGCTGTCTCCCCCCGCCCCCTCCTCTCTAAAGTCGATGTTCATGCAGGTTGCCATGTTGTGGACACTGAAGCTTCAGTGTTTATCCAGCTCTGCATCGGTCTGTAAACCTTTCTGCGTTCTAACCTCTCTCCATTTTTCAAAAGTATTTGAGCACGTTTCTGCTCAAGAGAGCCTCTGAAGAGGCTTTTTAGGTCGGGTACAATCACTTCTATCTGAACCACTTCTCTTGCCTGCTTCCATCACGATAACACCTGTTGGTTCGACGTGATGACTGGTCTCATATCAGGCAAACCGAGGGGCATCCAAAACGGCCGTGTGGGGGCTCCTCAAAACCGCCTACCTTCTCTGGTCCAAACAAATCCAGAGCATTCAGGACCAGAATCTAAAGTTAGAAGGAGGATATAATGGCTGCTGCATTGTTGTCAGAGAAGCCAGCACTCCAACATAGCATGTTTCCTTAATGTCTGATCATATAGTAAGGTCATTTTATCATTTCAAAAACTGGTGTATCATGGCGTTTTTTTTGATAAAAAAATAAGAAAAATATCCTTAAGTTTGAACAATGTGCTTTAATAACTGATATCTTGAATTTGGCCACTGGGTATTTCTTATTGCTAATCATCCCCCCACCCCCACCCCCATCAACTTGAAACCCATTATCCTTGTGTCTTCTCAACCTTTTTGTAAAACGGTCCGATCGTCCCTTTTGTACAGGTCTTGTCATTGCAGCATGGTGGATCCAAAGACTCCTCCCAGTCCCAGTTTGCTTCCTACTGGAAGCCCATCCTCTCCATGGACGCAAACTTCTGGCAGAGATGGCTGCACATGCATCGCATAACGATCATCCTCGAACATGACATGTGAGAAAAAGAACGTTTTGAATACAGATTTTTAAAAAAGTATTACAAGTAGATTCATCCAGGTCTGGACCATCAGTAACGTCTTCACTGATACCAGTGACACTGGTATATAGGAGATATATTTTTTCATTTAAAAAAGGTGGTTGTGATTAATTAGTTCCATAGTTAAAGAAAATACTTGTTTATCTTTTTGAATTCATGAGTGATTATGTCCCTCCAGGCCGGTCCCCAAACACCTGCACACAGCTGGCAGCAACGGTCGTTACAGCACCATACAGTGCCGTATCTCCCACTCTGCCCTGACGTCTCTTCTGAGGGACTGGAGCAGCTTTGTGCTGGTGGAGGGCTACTCGTATGTTAAACTCATATACAGGTGAGGCGATGGAGGAAAAGAAACATAAATGGCTCCAGGAGCTGAAATAATTAGATCTATTATGAACGATTGATTATTGAAAATAGTTTCTTATGAATTGAGTAATAAATGTTGTTAGACGTACTTTTGATTGTACCTGATTATTACTCCTGTGTGAATCATCGCTGTATCCATGAACCAAAGAGAAAACAGTCCCAGCTTATTAAGCTCCTTAAAATGAGAATCATATTTACTATATTGTCTTTCTTTGTTTCTTTTGTGTCGCTCTATCTTTCTTTTTTTGGTTTCGTTCTTTCTTTTGTTACTTTGTTGGTTTGTTTCTTCTTCTCTTTTTGTTTGTTTCTTCCTCTCTTTCTTTTTATTTGTTTGTTTCTGTCTCTTTCTTTTTGAACAGTTTTCCTGACCAGCCTCCTACCTCCTTCTACTTGGTCCGTCTCATCTCAAAGACACCGTGTATGGTGCTGCGTTTGGGTTTCCCTATTGGTACAACGGCTCTTGTGAGAAACAAGGTATTGAGAGTAAAACAGACGAGAGAAGAACAATAACTCTGAAATCATTCCCTTCAGTCTAATGCTCAGGTTCTTCTGTCACTCTCAACATGCCCACACATTTGATTCACTTTCAATCAGTCTTTTATTACCAACAAGAAATATAATATTTGCAGTTGAGTAATTGCTCCAAATAGTGTTTCAGATTGTAGATACTTTAATAAAGTAGACTTTGTAAAGAGTCAGTGGATAAAAAGACAATCATGTTGCCATGTCTTTAACCGCTCACTGAAATAAGTGTTTATCACCTCACTTGTGTAACTGTTCTCGGGTAACCTGCTGTTTGTGTTTCTTTAACAGATTGTGGAGGAGCTGCGGGAGCAGATCCTGAAACTCCGCTTCCCTCATCGTGTTCAGAGCAAAGAGGCAACCCCAAAGACAAAAAGGAAAATAGTCGGCCATCCATCGCCATCCAAATCACCCTCAATCCCCGCCCCCAAACCTGCGCTGTCAGACAGGCCGTGTGTGGTGGTGCTCAATAAGCCTCTGGAAAAGCTCCTCATAAGGTTAATGCTTAAGACAACATCAAAACCGCACATTGTTTTACTCTGTCTTATTTTGTATTGTTTTATTTCATAATTCTTCATTTAAAATGTTTGGTAACAGGGGTCTGTGACTAAAAGTCAAGTTGACTCTGGTTTGGAAAGATACCATGATGAGCTTTCCGTTCTTTGTAGGTATGAGAAGCTACCGTTAGACCTTCGCACTCCCTTCATTTTCCACATGGAGAACTTCCCCCCGCCCTCAAACAGCACCGTCCCCCTCAGCATGGCAGCCAACCGCACAGCCTCCTCCACCCTGGCCTCCCTGTCCCGTTACTTCCTGCACCAGCGCTGGGTGTGGAACGTGCAGAACAGCCATGGACTGACTGTGGCCATGCAGGCGGTCGCTCACATCCTGTCCATGCTCTCTGAGTGAGTTCACGCGCCTTTTGGTGGCCATAAGGTGTCGATGCTGCATTTTAGGAAATTTTACGTTTTGTTCTGTGAAGATCAAAAGTCAGGGTTTCCTCCATGTTTGCCTTTCATAAGAGTAATTAGTGTTGTGGTACACGAAATCGGTCTTTCTTTTTGAAGGTCTCATCTCTGAATCCAAAGCATTTGTACTCGGTCTTGTCTAGGTCTCAGACTGGGCGGACTCCAGATTTTAAATCATCACTGAAAGGCTATTTTTTCAACGTCATCACTGAGATTAGAAGGAAAATGCCTCTTTTTAAAAGAACAGATAACTTCAGTTTATTTATGATTAGATTTTTATGACACAACATAGACGGTACATGTTTCATATTAACAGCAAAGCAAAGTGTGTGTTGTACTGATAGAAGAGCAATGGGTTCGATGTTGAATATGCATCTTTTTAAAATGTGTGTGTTGAACATCTGTCCTGGTTTCTGTGAAGGATTCGCATCTCAGAGGGCTTTCACTTTGCGGCCACTGGTGAGGGCATTGTGAACATGGTGATCGAGCTTCCAATGAAGGTAAGTAGCAGCAGTACATCAAAAGAATGTGAACAACAAATGTGAAGTTTTCTAATGTTCACATTCTTAAAGGGATTCTTCACCTGCTGAAACATGAATCTGTAATGAAATTGGGTCATACATGTAGTAGAAATGTGAAATACATTTTGAAGTTGGTGCCTTCTTGACCCAGAAAAGGCAGAAAGTGTCTTTTTGGCTCATGTGGATGAAAGACACCAACTCCCAGAATTTGGCCACTCTGCTCTATTTACAGACTCATTATACTATATTTATAACGGCTCGTAGCGATAGCCGCAAATATCCGATTCGAGCACAAGACCTTCAAAATCCCCTTCATCCCTATCAGTTTGAAGTTGAAACATACTTTTATCATACTTTAGTTCTTCTCAACTTTCTGAGACTGTTAGCATAGCTTCCAAGCAAGATGGTGGACGTTCAGTTTCGATTCTGGGAGTGCAGTCCCACCCACTGATCTGTGATAGCTCTGTAGCTTCAGTGGCGATGTAGTTTCACCCCCTCTAACCGAAGCAGCCTCAGAAAATGCAAAATGATGATTTTTGCATCATCGGAGGCTCCTTTTTAGACAAGAAATACAGATCTTTCCTATCTCAGGGGAAAATGAGGGCGGGATGTACGACCAATTGAAAAATACTACCAGATTTCTAATGATATCAAGCTAAATGCAAATGGGTGAAGTATCCCTTTAAGAACTGAAGTTCTTGGATATAAAAACTATTACTTATTTGTTTCTTCTTTTCTCTTCATCTTTAGGCTGTCTCAGGGGAGACTGACAGAGAGAGTCACTCCTGTATCATTCAGTACATCCTGTTTCCACCTCACTCTACATCCACCAAGGACAGGTGAGACTGGGAGCATCATCTGTACCGTATTTTGTCAGCTGTGGTCAGGTATAGTTCAGACACAAGTTCTTTGCCGTGTGTCATCTCTATATCTCTTTCTGCCACCTGCACAGTCTCTCTTCAGCTTTGTCTGTTACAAAACTCTGCAGACAAAAAAAGCTTTCAAAAAATAGTTTGGGCAGCAAAGGATTGAACCTGACTCCGATCCAATCTATTCTGTTTGTAATGTTGAAAATGTAGACTTCAGTTTCCAACCTAAGTAGTAACACAATGCAATGGCCAAGTTCAATCAATCAATCATTATTTTTACAGCACTTATTCAAAACAAGTGTTACCTCGAGACGCTTTACAAAAGAGCAAATGGGATAATATGCAGGAAGGATTTCTCCTTTGTATTCCTCACGTTCCTGTTGTCCACACTTCCTTGACCCTGAGGTGGAGGTCGGAGCGGGCCGTGCATGAATGAGGACAGCCGTGATTGTGGGACGACACAGTCCGATGGGGTGGCTGGGCGTCGGGCGGTTAAAGACAGAGTCAGTAGCTGTTTCTGATGAACTTATACAAAAGTAAATTGGCTCAATCATAATTTCTGGGCCTTCATACATGTGTGGTGGTAGATGTGTTTTTACTTGACTGGACGTTTCCTGAGGAGGGAGGGAGAGTATGTCACGGGGGAGTTCAAACGAGGGTGAACCTTGGGTCTGCTTTTACCTGTTGATGCATAGTTGGTCTGCTTTCTGCTGGACAGGAGGGGGTCAAACACCTTAGCTCAGGGGTTAGCGTCTGCTAGCTTGCTAAATGATCTGCTTTTCCATTACAACACATGTAAAAGGCCTATTCTCAGGTGGTTTGCAGTGTAGCTACAGACAGTAAACATACACGCTAACTTTGTACATCATAGCTGTGATTGGCTAATTAAAGGTAAGCTAACCATGATTGGTTGTTTGGATCCGACTGGGGGAGTTTAAAAAAATGTATTCAAAGTGCTCTAATGCACATCTCAGACTACTGACATCATTTTAATATAATATTATGTTATGATAGAAATGTGTTATTTTAAAGAAAATTCTGATGACATAATGTTGCCTACTGTTGCTTTAAGTCCACCTACATTACAAAGTTGTTATTGACTAACTGTGTCTCTAACCATTAGAGTGAGACTTTAATGGCGGTAATATGAGACCTGTGTATTGCTGAAAAAGGCATCAAAGTTGTGGACAGTGATTCAGATGTCTGTCACTAGAACATCTGCCTATATGTTTTTTTAATACTTCTAAAATGTGGTGCCAAAGACTTCAGAAAAAGAATCAGAATCGTTTTTTGATTTTAAGTTCATTTACACATACAAGGAATTTTGGTGTTTTGGTGCAAAAAAATTAAGAAAGGAAATATAAAAACAGCAAATAACTTCCAGAATAAGTCTCCTCACAGAGTGCAGTGTTGTGTTGCAACACAGGGTTTACTGAAACATGTGCCATGGAGGCCGAACAGTCACAGTACAGAGTTTTATTCGAGCCCCAAACTTTTACAGGCGCAAAAAGAAATATTACAAATAGATGGAAGAGCTCGGTAAACTTACATGCCTGTAATGTTTTTTAAAACAAAACTCGCTCACATCAAAGAAGGGAAAGACTTTCAGAACACAAAGACATGCCCACGATTAGAATAGCGATAAATAAACAAAATGGCATATCAATAATTTGATCTTATTCATAAGACAGCTCGTCTATACGAACCTGCTGCAAGGTGGTGGACAGCGGTAGACCCTTGTTTATGTGTTTTTATTTAGCAAACTAAACACTCAATAAGTTGGGTCTCTAATCGAGACCTACCTTTGTTTGTCAAAAAGTGCAGCAACACCAGGCAAGAGGATCTGGACTGGGCTTTTTTATTTTATGTTTTACGGTATATTGGTTTACATACAGTACGTATGGTCTGCATACATTGACAATAACATTGACCCTCCTTCATCAGCTGTCACAAAATATGCAAATAATTGCAATCTCTTTTGTACTGGTCGGCTGTCCTGTGACAGTGTTTTAACAACTAGTTTTTGTTTTTGTGGGACTTCAGCTTCTCCACTGATGATGACAACGACACTGAAGTGGAGGCTGTCGATGTGGACACGGAGCTGAACCTCGTGACAGAGTGTTGGGTAGAACCGCAGAGTGGCACCGTGATGAACTGCATGGAACAGCATCGCCACTTTAAGGGCCTCAAGTACCAGGAGATACCTCAAGCAGTGTGTATAATGTATTCATACAGCACCACATTCCAGTCTCAAGATCAGAGCTGAGGGGTGATATTCTGAATCTCTCTGTGCTCACAAGGAGCTCAGTTTCATTGCTCTCTGTTTTGTGTGTATGTATAAATGTATGTAAGGGTTTATTTCTAAAGTTTCTCTCTCGTATGTAGATATTCCCCAGAGATTTTGCCTGTATGTCCACTATGATGACCTTTGAGTATTTGAGCCAACTGTGTCAGAACAAGGACCAGGTCTGCTCAATGCCGGCTGGATTCAAGGATTTGAGAGGTAGAATAATTTTTTTTTTTTTTGACACAATTCACATTTTACATTGTTATTTGACCCTGGACAGGCTGAAAACTCTCAATGGCCTGCACCACTGCAGTAAGGACCTATTCAGATCGTTAATCTAATAAACAGTGTTAAAGGTCACATATTATGCAAAATACACTTTACCTTGTTTTTTCTCTGACACTAATATGTGTTCCTAGTCTGTCTACAAAGCCCCCGGTTATGAGAACATTCTATCCTCCCCATATTTTACATGCTCCACTTTTCAGAAAATGTGTGCTCAAACAAGCCTTTTGGAGATTTTCCCTTCATGACATCACAAAGGGCAGTAACCCATTCTCCAGGTGGGTGACACTCCCATAGCTAGGTGTTTGTTCTGCCCTCTGAGTCTGCCTTCTCACTGTAAAGAATAGGACATTGAACGAGAAAGCCCGAGCCATCCAAGCCCTTCCAGAGAGGGGGCGTGGTCAGACACAGCTCATTTACATTTAAAGCTACAGACACAGAAACAGCCTGTTTTGAGCAGGGCTGAAATAGAGGGGTTTATAGGCATGATCAAATACAGGATCAGAGTGGATTTAGAACAAGAAACTTCACAGACATGTTAACGGTAGCTTTGAGACTTGATGGAAGTGGTTGAAAAAGAGGATAATATGTGACCTTTATAACCACTCTTTAAAAATGTTTTTTTTTTTTTTTTTTTTTTTTAATATCCTTTATCTAAAGTGTTCAGTAAAAGTATGTTAATGTATTCTTGTTCAGAGTACTTTTCATGCCCCTAAGACATGACTGTGAATGTTTTACTATATAATTATTGACTTGTTGACAATTATTGATTTCGTTCTTCTGTGTTTGCAGGAGAAGCCTCGGACCCTGAGGACAGCATTCACATGGTTCCTTTCCAGTTTGACCTCATTCAGCTGCTACCAAAGTGCCAGCAGGTGGAGCTCTTCTTCCTCACGTTCACTACAGGTAATGAAGTCAAACTGCTCTGTTTTATTACGGGGATGTTGAAGAAGCAGCTGACAAAATGAATTGATATCCTCGTTAGAAACAATAATCATCCTATGTTGACATGTGGGTCTTAACCTCTTCACCTGAAACAGGGGAGAACGAGGAGCAGCTGCACAGCTCCCCCTGTCTGCCTAACGAGCTCCTGCTCAGCCTCTTCCACAGCAGCCTGGAGCATGAGCTCAGTGACAGAGAGATCCCGTTAGCTGACAATGACCACGCCGCCTTCATGCTCCACATTTTAGAGCGAGAACGAGACGGCCATGTGGCTCCTTTCTCCCTACCTGTAATCAAAGGTCAGTTCACATCTCTTCATCTCATCCCTATTTACAACAACTCAACACGTTAACACTTTCAGGGTTTTGATTTGATAGCATTTACCTTTCGATGTCCAGTTGTAATAAAACACAGAGCCTCTCTCTGAGTCTCTGTCTCACTCATTGTACCAACATATCTGCTTTTCTGTTTCGTCTCAGAAGAGTGTGTGAAGCCTTCAGAAAGACAGGACGCGATGACATCCTTCCACACCACATGCAGTGGCAAAGAGGTGATGGGATCGACCAGCACTTTACAGGTTATACAATAATATATGTTTGTGTGGATATTTGTGTGTATGTATAATGTCTTGGCAAATGAATATTCAGAGTCCTTTTTCTGACATCTAAAAACACCTCAGGGGTTACTTAATGAAGCAACAAAACTGCCCCTGCGTTGATCAGAGTCTGATACAAAAAACAGCTTATTTCATTTTACAGGAGCAAACATAAATCCTGACTCAGCTGAATTCTCCCTCTCAGGCTCCCTGCTTGAATAGGATTTGAAGAAATACTCCATTAATAATAAGCCCCGTCATGCCGAGCCTATCCTTATTTACAGTGTTCAATGATTCACTTTTGCAAAATGCAGCCCTTCATCTTTTACACACACACTGTAGACGTCAGTGTAACTTTTGTAACATGTCTGTGCTGCTGCATGTGTTTTCACTCGGATGATGGTGCTATAAATGAAATATAAACGATATAGGTGGTTTACAGCTTGAAAATGACAACCTTCAAACTGGACCCCTCCTCCTGAGCTCATCACTCAAAGAAGTGCTCACCCACTGCAGGACGTAGTGTGTGTGTTTACTGCTTGTACCTTCACTCGAAGCTATCAGACGCTAACACAAGCTAACAACCAGTGTTTGTCAACTTCCTGTCCTGCAGAAAGCAAGCACACTCAAGTCAAAGCCAACACAAGATTTAACATATACCATTTTAGAACGAGCTTTTTTCTGCGTGGTGTTTCGCCCCACTATGATGATTACATCTTCTCTTCTTTGACGTTACGTCCACGTCTGTCATATTCACTGGTTTGAATCGAGTCCAATCACTGAATTGTATCCACTCCTAAACTCACCTGCGCGCTCTAATAGGCTGAAAGGAAACACACCAGTCAGAGGACAGAGTCTCTGCAGACACAGTCACCACCACACATGTATGGAGGCCCAGAAGGGATGATTGAGCGGCTTTACTTTTTAAACTCTACCTTTAACACAAATTACGAGTTTAACACGAGATTTGTCATTCATGGCGTCAAATGAATCTCATTTTAACCAGTACAATATACATATAAATAACTGCATTGGTTAGTCTCTACAAGTATAAAACATGTGGTTCTTCTCCTTTTCACAGAGTTTCAGTAATGCTGACCTTGTGGATGAGGAGCCCTTTCTGTTGGAGAGGAACTCCTCCTCACCGCAGTGGAGAGCCTACGCCAAGTACATCGGCTCACAGCAAATTCTCCTCACCTTCCTCCCTGCTTCCTTCGCAGGTACACCTCGAGTCATCTTTAATGTCCAACAGCTCTTTTCTTTTTTTATTGAGGTCAGTTGAAAGATGGTTGTGTGTCTGTTTTGCAGATGTTCTTATGTTGAAAGCGTCAGGGCTGGAGACGGAGCCTCAGGGTAATGTTGGCACACAGGAGGACGACACCCTGACACCCAGCAACAGATCTCAGGCTGACTCCCTTTCTGGCTCAACCAGTTGTCTGGAGAGGTCTGAGTCTGACATTAGTTTGGCGAGTAAACTACAGAGCAGCTCCAGTAGTGGGCACTTCAACAACAGGTCCCCGTTACTCTCACCACAGTCCGAGAGCCAGACTGGGAATGCAGACTCGGTCATCCTAGACCATGACAGCTGGGACAGCAGAATGTCTGAGACAGAGGCTGGGAACCCAGGCTCAGGTCTTTTCATTGCTCTTGTCCATTTTAGTCACCTTACAGTTTCATATTTTACTCGCGCCTGTTTGGCTGAACAATTGGGAGAGAATATTTAACTTTCTTACTTTTCCAGATCTGGGAGAAAAAGAGGGAGTCCAGTTCTCTGAACCACAGAAGGCAGATTTCCAAATCGGCTTCGACAGGCAGGTTCCTCAGCTGAGCAGCATCGACTGCAGCCAATTAAAGTGTCCTGTCTACGTTTACAACTGCTCCCTGGATCACCTGAAGGAGCAGCTGGTGCATCCCAACTCCAACCGCCAACCCAGGGACATCTTCCTCAGGTACTAGAAGAGAGAACAGGCTCTGACAGAAATGTGAATAATACTGAGTTCTTTAAAGACAACAAATTCAGCCTGTTCTGTTGCATGACGACCCTCTATTACCAAATTTTAAACTCACCATCAGCTAAAACGGAAATAACAAGCATGAACAGAAAGAATTTATCTTTGTTGGGATTTTTTTTCCATCTTTACCTAAAACTGTTGTCCAGAAGATAATTTCAGAGTTAGACAGCTTAAGTCATAGTTTTGTCTTTTAGCTGTGATCTCTTTTTCTTACAGCGGTACAGACTGTGGTTATCTTCCCTCCATATGCAGAAAATTTGACTGTATGCAGACATGTAGTGTTTGCAGTGTTGACATTGGATGCAGACTGATGCCTAATGTTGATAGTTGATGTTATGGTGGAGTTTGGGCTTTTAAAGGTTTAAATTTAAATTAGTTAGTAATAATAGTAAAATATTAAAAAACAAAAAAAATGAATTTGTTTAGGATAACATTTTCAAAAAGAAGTTACAAAGTGCTTTCCAATTAAATAAAGCAACAAAAAAAAAAGTCAAAACAAAGACAGAAATCACCCAAAAAAAAAACTTAGGCAAGTGCCCATGTATGAACCCCCCCATCCCAACCAAGCCCCCATGCCCCACTGACAAGTCACACAACCCAGCTACCAACCCTAACCACCCCACTGCCCCACCAGACCCATGCTCTGCTCATGTGAACCAGCAAGGAAGTAACACCACCATCAGACCCCCCCACTCCAACCCACAAACCCCAACTCAACTATGTAGGCCCATGGGCAGCAAGAGCCAAGACATCATGGCCCAATTGAGAACCCCCCCTTACCCCGCTCCAAAAGAGAGTCCATAGAGACTCGTTAGAAGGAGATGAGGGGGGGCAGAGTCAGGGTGGGAAGCATTCCTTCAGTGGAGCGATGTTGTTGCAGGCATGGCAGCCAAAGGGTGAGATAAGTCTGTAAGTCAAATGTATTCGTACAGCACTTTACACATCACAAGTGCTTAACACAGAAGGATAAAGTAACCTCTTAGGCTGCATTTTGAATGACTGGTAACTTTTAGTTCAGTTATTAATACGTGTCTTTGACTGTCTTCATGCCTGAGAATAGACCTCAAGATGCTGAATCCTGGGAGATGAATCAGCAGATGAAGTTCAGGTAGCACTGCTTGACCATGTTTCTCTGCTCTCCTCTGTCGTTCAGCTTTTACTGCTTACACCTGAGAGGTCAGGACTTGCTTTCTGTAGGCTCCAAATCTGTTTCCCCCACTCCCATCTGTTCTTCCTCCTCAGGCTTGTGGTGTAACATACAAGTCACCAAAAATAATCATAACCAGTAAGCTCTTTCAGATCGAGAAAGTGATTATCCATCAATTTGAATTACAGCTCACAAGAGACAATGACAAGACCCAAGAATTAACGGGAGGGTCTCCCTCTGAGTCCCCTAGAAGGAGTCCAGCTGTCTCAGATCAAATGAAACATGAGATTGATTGATGGACCAAATGAATCAAACCTTTTTATTTTATTTTAAAGGAAGAATGTGACATTTTACAAATAGATACAGCAGAAATTCAGTAGCCTATTTCCTCTGTAAATGTCTCTCTGAGTCATGTCTCTCTGAGTCATGACGGTCTACAATGAGTGAGTCCCGCTGTCTGTGATGTTGTCTCAAGAAGATATTCAAACATGATTCTTTCTGTATTCAGGTTAGATAGAACAGTTTTTATTTTATGTATTGTGAGGTGAAAAGGTAGCTGTTTTAAGTGGAGCTGAAGTCTGACTATTTAGTTTAGAGGAAAAAAAGAGACAACTATGAATTCATGAAAATCGACTTTTCAACATATTAGTCAAGTCCCCCCTCAGCACCGGGAGAGAAAACAAATCCTGCCGCCGTCCCTGATAAAATGTCTACATTTAGTTCAAAATCAAAATGTTGTGCCAAAAGCATTAAGAGGACCACTGTGCTTGCTGCGGCTTTGTAGGAGAGCGTGAATGTTGAAGCTCTCTCTCTAGTGACTCTGCACTAAATTGAAAGCTGCTTTTACGAGGACAAGGACACTGAATGCTTCAAACCAATGCTGCTCAGTTCAGCTGTGACTCACGAGCTTGTTGGCTTCTTTGACTTTTCTTACTGCAGTGACGATCTGGGCTATGCCTCTCTTAATGGGTATACTTAAATACATTTAATGGATACAAACTGTGGTTGACATTACGATATGCATTTTGATCGCCTGTCTGCTGGACTCTTGTCCTCTTGGCAGGTCACTGTCTCAGGACCGCAGCAGTCCATCCCCCTTGGGCCGATCTCCTGGCTCAGCCTCACAAAAACAAGGAACTAGCCAACTACTGTGGCCTGCTTCAGGAGCATTACCACCAGAGCTACGTCAAAGGTAACGTCTCTCCTCAGAAAACCTTCACCCTCCTTTTGAAAAAATCCACAACTTAAACTTTTACTCTTGTATCAAATCCTGTAAATAGGACAAGCCTAAAAATCAAGGATCTCTCTGAGGACCTTTTCCTGCAGATGTTGTACATTTTTGTTCAACATGTCACAAAGACACTTTATTGTATTACTTATTATTATTCCTCAGGAGTTTACTGCAGCCTGCAGCAGTCACACAGCATCAGCTCTCAGGATGTCCTGATGGCCATGGACTACTGTGAAGAATCTCTGCAGGAGATTGACATCACTACCTTCCTGCAGACCCTCTGTGGACACATCAGGGTCTTCAGGGAACACGGTGAAGCTTCAGTATGGGGGAGAGAATCCAAAACCTTCAAAGAGCCCTCCCACCTTTATCATTGGAGAGATGGAGGAGGACAAACCAGATCACAGGGCTGCTCTGGCCTCCTCGTCCAGGTAAGACAAGTTTATATATTTATAACATATATTTACAACATTGTTACAAAATTGCATGGTGCTCAAACATGAACACAATACAGTGTAATGAGATACTATCAACAACAGAATATAATCAAGTGGCAACCTCTGGTGTTGATAAAAGAAGCTGATGCAGAAGAGCAAAATCATGCAGTTCGTCAAGTGTCCACTAGAGGCTGGCTGCAGAAGCACAGGAAGTCACATACACACCCAGTTTTTACATCATAAATGAAAATTTTTACAGCATGGTACCAAAATTATTAGGTCTGATTAGCTCATGTCTCGATTGGCACACACTCTACAGGGAGGGTGAATTTTTTTAATTTATGAAAGATAAGCGTTATTCACAATAAGGCACGTAGCTGACGTCACTCATATGTCCCTGCAGGGGTCTTAGAGCCCCATCGATGGCGGTCTCCATGTTGGAAATCCTGTCTCATCCCAACTTTCAGTCAGCCTAACAACAAGCTGAGAGCTGGAGCTGAGGCGGGTTTTAAGCCTTTTCATGAACCGTTTCATTGCGCCCACCTGTCAATCATATCAGCTACAAGCCTCGCTATGGATAACACGTATCGTTCATAAAATCAAAACGGAGCCGTTTTAAAAATAAAAAAATAAAATAAATAAAAAGCACCCCCCATACAGTGTGTGCCAGTGATGACAATAATAACTAATCAGAAATATATAATTTTTTGTACCAGGCTGTAAACATGGTAATTTTTGCTGTAGAAAACATCTCTTTTGCCTGTGGTGTGTATGTGACTTCTGGTGTTCCTGGAGCCAGCCTCAAGCGGACACTCGACGAACAGCAGGATTTTGCACTTCCGCATTTGGTTCATTTTTCAAGACCGGAGGTTGCCGCTTCGTTAACACCCACAATCATCCAAAAAACAGAAGACAGCTTTCAAAATGGACAACACACTCTGAATCCTTCTCAAGAGAGTCTGATGGTGTGTCTCAGACCTGCCTCTATCTGGTTGGTATTTCAGCCAGTTTCCTGTGATGCTGCACACTTCTAAACCTGATATTTTATTCTTATAGTATTGAAATGGAGGATACCAGTGAAGCAGAATATAGATGGAAGTCCTCGGCTCCTACATCCCCACTGATCCTGGATGAGTCTAAGGAAGCCAAAATCCCTGAGTTCTCCCTGTCGATGCTTCAGACACAGCCCAAGTGTGAAGTGTATCCAGACCTGCACAAAGTAGTACAGGTATAACATGACGTCTCGCAGGAGGAAAATTCATCATCTTTATCAATCGTAGAGTCGTACTTTGTTCATGTAATGTCATAAAAGTTAACATTATCATCCCTCAGGATAAATTCATGGAGATTGTGTGTCAGTATTTTAAAACTGTGCCATCCAACCCACACTACTTCTTCTACTGCCCGCCATCAACCAAGAGAGACGTAAGTACACAGTGATGTGTTTCATATTTCCCATTGCTGCTTAAAACAAAGTGTAAGAGTCCGCTCAGGCTTACACACATCACTGCGGTTGATTAGCCAAAGTGAACCTCTGAATGTGTTTCCTCCTCAGGAGGGCTCTGAACATGCGGAGGGCGGGAGGAGACCAAGTGAGGAGCAGGTGTCAGAAGCTGAGCCTGCAACAGAGGATGGTGAGGATAGATCAACCTTCATATGCATTTTTCCCTTTTCAGAACGTTAGAGATAAGATAGTGTTCGGGTCTAAAGTGAGCATGACGTCCTCTTTTTTTAATTTGGCTGGCTGGTAGTGGGTGGGGCTTATTAATTAACACAGTGACCCAGGTGTGTAAAGTGTGTGAAGTAACAGCGTCTGGGGGAGTCTTGAGGCTGAGCCCATGTCCTTTACATTAAAGGAGCAATATGTAACTCTGCCACCTAGTGTTTAAAATCTATCAGCTACTTAACATTAACATTCTAAATATTTGTTCATGTGTAGAGTTAATGAGGATGTTAACCTTCAAACTCATTACAACACTAACATAAAATGATTTTGCCTTTTCAAAAGCGCTTTATAAAATCCTCCTCAGCAAATAGATGAGGGACACTACTGACCTGCTGATGTGATACAAACCAGTTTCATGTTTGTTGTGTAGAGAACATGCCGGGCTGCATCATGACTGAGAGCGACCCAGACTTGGTGGTGGAGTACGAGGAGCAACCAGACACCAGAACCCAAGGAGAGTGTGAAGAGCAGTCCCTGTCTGACTCCAACACGGTTAACCAGGACCAGGACTCCTTCAGCATCTTAGATGGAGACTCCCTGCTGGAGGCTGAGGGGCCCCAGATGGACATGCCTCCACTCTTTGTACATGTAACCTGTTCTGTCAACATGAAAAGCTGCCATGGCTCCATGCCCATGCAAACTCTGCCTACCTGCCTTGGTGAGTACAGCCGTGATCATATCTTTAATTCCCCAAAAACAGGGACATACAATCCTAAATCTGACTCAACACTAGTTAGGTTGAGTCATCTGTGCTCAGAAGTCCGGTTTGTGATTACAGGTGAGATTATTTCCTGCCTGGAGAATGCCGAGTCCTTGAAGTCTGTGGATTTGAATGAGCTCTCAGTAACATTAGATATTTTTGTCCTGACACTACCTCTGGAGATTGAAGTCATGGCTGAGTTCCATCACAACAGGTGAGTCAAACACTAGAAACACTAGAAAGTTTGATTCTTAAACCTGGATTCTCGTCTCCCTGCTCGTTTTGCAGTTTACTCCAGGGAATATTCTCGTGTTACAAGTTGTCGTCTTGTATGAGATATAAACAAAACATGGGACTGCTTGCTGAATCATTGCGTAGTAGGTTTTGGGATAGGGTTAGTTAGTATTGTGCGTCACTACATTTTAAATCCCATCCGTTACTGAATAGAAAAATGTAAAGAAGTAAAATACGATAAGAAAGAAATCACCCCAGAAACAACTGCAGTGTGAACCGCCAATAAACACCACAGAAGAAGAATAACAACAAGTGCAGAGAACGATGGGCAGGATAACAAACTGGCTCTAAATCTCGGAAAGATGGAGACGGAGAAGTCAGACAACAGTGGTGCAGACCCAGCTGAAGGCGAAACGTTGAATGGTGTCTAGTTTGAGATTTCAATCCTGTTGTCCTTTTTGCACTACACAGGAGTTGTTAAAAAAGAAATATATATTAACGTTTACTTAAAGTAAATTTAAAACAAGCTACTTTTGACTTTTACTTGAGTAGAATATTTGAGTTCTCTTTCCACCTCTGCTGAGGGCCGAAGCTTTGACCCGTCGACACATAAACACCTTAAACACATTTTCTGAACATCTTCACCCAGAAAGGAGTTTTCCTAAAGGTGTGTTTTGACCTAAAACAGTGTTTGTATATGAAAGGCCAAAACACACAGATGTGTTGACTAGACCTGTGTGGTGTTAGGTTCTATGTGTTACAATGCTTTACAGAGTAGGAGTACCATGTGGTTACTAATTACTAATTACATTACGAACCCTTACTCCTCTTTGCGTCCAGATACACGTCAGAGAGCAGTGTGTCCCTGAATCGGTCACCAGGGCAGCCCTCCTCATATCGCTCTGATGAGGAGCTCATGGCGGCGCTGGACAACCTGAGGGGAGCTGGTGTTGACGGGTGAGACTGTTGAACTCTTGTTTCACAGTACATTTCTGAGGTGAACTTTCTCCATATGACTCTGATACCCTCTCTGTTTGTTTCAATGTTCTTCTAACCGTTTTTAGGGTCTCCAGTGATCCCTTATCCAAACTCCCAATTCCTCACAAGTTAGCGATTCTCGCCACAATGGATGAGGTAAGTCTGGCATAACCAAGTGTAAACTATCAGAGCGGCAAGGCAAGGAGACAATACAATATTTAAATGCAACAAGGAAGTAGTTTTACTTATTATACCTTATTATAGATGCACTGATTTGTAAAAAATCAGGACTGATGCCCGATGTTTGAAATGTTTAGAAGATTGACGATTCCAGTACCGATGTTTGTTTCATGACTTCTTTTGGTGTCAGACTCCCACAATACCACATTTTTCCTTCATGTTTGACAATGAAAACAAGTCAGAGTTCTTCCAACAGGTCATCTGCCCAATAGAAAACCTCTTCTCTGAATCAGGAGTTTGGTGAACTAGATGCATTAAATTGATTTGGTACAACAAAATAAACATCGTCTTTTGACCTCGGTTCATGCTTCATTATTTGCCGATATGAGTGTTGAACCGATGCATCGGTGCATTCCTAGTTCTTATAACTTTCCATCTTCAGAGTTTCATTCGATAAATTTGTTACTGTCAAAACTAGCAAAATAGTTTCTGGTAGCAATGACAATTTTTTTGAAAAAGTTAAAGGTGACATATATTTGGGTAACCTGAGTGTCTACCGACCCACAAGATGTGAAATAAACCCATTCATACTTTGTTTGTAATCTACACAAGTCTTACAACACAGAGAAAAATGCTCCGTTTCAAATTTGCTCTCCTTGTGATGTCACAAGTGGGGAAAAAAGAGACACACACACCAAAACAGAGCGTTCTGAGAGAGCTGGTTTATACAGGGTCACAAACCTCCTCTGGTGCTTGATTCATGTTATGTTTTGACCAAAGCACAGCACAGATGTTTCATTTAGACCACAGGGGGCTGTTTGAAAAGGGAGATAATATGTCCTATGTGGCTCTTGCTTTAACAGTTGGCTAGAAAGATTCTTACGGTTTTTATATATATATATATATATATGTATATATGTCTCATTGTTCTGTGCGGATTTCAGATCCGCTGGCTTCTTGAGGACGAGATCGTCTCTGCTCTGCGTCATTCTCGAATCATCAGTTCAACCACGCTGCAGAAAGTAGCAGAGCATGTCATGCGGTCCAGCGGGCGACCACATTGTCACTGTGAGGACGTTCCACTGCAGTTTGTCTTTGGGCCAGAGCTGTCGCTGGAAAAATTCAGAGAGGCAAGGACACACTTAACAGAACATCTTTTAATAAACGGTTTGAGAAGAACACGTTGCCAAGTTTCACCTTTGGATGAATTTGTTCATGCCACCTTTATTATGAAACTGTACATTATTTAGAAAACTGATCAACAATCTATTTTTGATGTTTTTATTGTCAGTAAAAACAGTGTTTATGTTGTTACTTTCCTTTATTAATAGAGAGTCTCATAAGTTTGATGAGTGACGTCTGTTTCTGCAGGAGTTCCGCAGAATGTCCTTCACTGGCTACGTGCTGAACGGAGAGCAGGACAGCTTTTACTACATGTCTTTGAGCAGACTGCACCCACAGAGGATTAACGCCACTAAGAAGCTGTCTGAGCGCACTGCTGACCCGCTACAACAACACACCAATCCCTGCAGCGTGGGAGCAGAGGTGGAGGGGGTCTTACTGGAGAGTGAAGCAGAGAATGAGGCAGCAGAGGCTGATAGTGAGGTAACGTGCAATAACTCTGTGACGACTGACTCTGCCACTGACAGCTTTTACTACATGTCTTTGAGCAGACTGCACCCACAGAGGATTAACGCCACTAAGAAGCTGTCTGAGCGCACTGCTGACCCGCTACAACAACACACCAATCCCTGCAGCGTGGGAGCAGAGGTGGAGGGGGTCTTACTGGAGAGTGAAGCAGAGAATGAGGCAGCAGAGGCTGATAGTGAGGTAACGTGCAATAACTCTGTGACGACTGACTCTGCCACTGATCCACAGCCGCCCTGCACTGTACTGCTACTGTTAGCCTGGTGTAAAACTTGAGAATAAGTCTCCTGCTTCAGGATATCTTATTGTCTGCCAGATGATTTGGATAACGTCTCTTCACTTTTTGAAATGTTCATTAAGCTGCTTTTCAATCCTTTATCTGTGTGATGGTTCTGTTGGTGTTTCTTTTCTGATTCATAACAACAGGCAGCAGTTTCTTCTTTGATTTCTTTGTCAAAACTTTTCTGTGTGTTCCATGTGCTTTGTGTTAGCTTTTTTGTTGAACTTTGACTTTAAGCCTTCAAAACTTGTTCAAAGAAAACTTTGCTGAATTTAAAATTTCACCCTCCAACTGTAGAGTGAAGAGAAGAAGTCCATCAGCACCACTACGGACACTCCGAGTGATACAACTGCAGAAACCAGTGAGCCAGTCAGAGCCCAGAAGCCTGAGGCATATGACAACGTTTCACAGAGCTCCCTTGGCATGGTAGGGGACAGAGGTCAGCCCAGTGCCCTCCAGCTCCAGACTGAGCCCAGAACAGAGCCAACTTCACCCCCCAAGACCCCATCCAGTGTCAGCCTGGCTGAGTCTGTGCAGTCTGCCTCCCAAAGTGAGTCTCTCAAACATGTGTGCATGTAAACCTAAGCATGTTTTCTTTTATCTACTTTAAAATGACAGCTCTTAGAGTTGACAGTGAGCATTAACAATACTAAATAGTTAATGTATCAGGCCAGGTAGAGCTTGAAAGTGTATCACATGTATCCTCCAGCTTGTTTCTTCCTTTCATTATGACAGCAGCACTAACACTCATTTTGGCAGATTCTTACAACCGCTGATCAAACGAGCTTTCTCTGTTGTTTTGAAACTGAAGCGCAGTTGTCAAAGGACAGGCAGTTGAAAACTTCTGAGTGTGCTATTTTTCGAGGCTTTGATTTAACTAACGGTTTGTCTCTCCTCTCAGGCTGTGGCAAACTCAGGCCAAGTCGAGTCCAGAGTGTCGTCTCCAGCCAGGGTAGTCTGGACTCAGACATGCAAGGTAAGTTCAGCAGAAAGTGAAACGACAATCGAACATCTTTATTTAAAGGGGACATTATCCCCCTTCTACACCTTTTAAAACAGTCCCCTGTGGTCTAAATAAAACATCTGTGCTGTGCTTTGGTCAAAATATAAATAATCAAGCAATTTTTTCATTTCAGGTTAAATTTCTACGTTTAACAGCCGTTCAAACCGTCACATTCACTTTGTACAAATCTATATTATATTCTGTAAGAAAGTTATCGTCACTCAGATTTTAAAAACCCGGCTCCAGAGATGTGGAGGTATTTTTTTTTACTCATGATATTAAAACTTGATGTATTACAAGTCGAGTCGATGTACAAGTGTTCAGAGACTTGGCATGTCTAAAATAATATAATAAACAATGACATCATAATTCTGGTGGACATCATAAAGTGGTGCCTCTGTGTGTTTGAAGGATACGATGGTGGCAGCAGTGATTCTGAATGTGAGAGCCCCACCCTGGATGAACATGAGTGTAAGTCTCCACTGATGCCTGACTTCTGGCTCATCGTTAACATTCACCAGGACAGAGTGAAGGTCTACTCCCACTCCAGGTCAGACAACATGTTTCTCTGTTATTTTACATATGATAAACTAGTAGTCTGTAGTCTGTAGGCCACAGACATTTAAAGGCTTAGATAAAAACAGAAATATCTCCCAGTACATTGATAAAAGCCTTTTACTTCTATGACATAATCTATAGTGATAGTATGATATTCACCCAGGAAGTGTTTACACCTTAGTGAGAGTGTGTTCACTAAACTCGTGAATTTCCTCCAGACTTTAAGCACACTTCCAAAGATTCTCAGATGCCCGTATAAAATGTGTGACTGGATCATTTCTTAGCACGTGTCTCGTTGTTTCAGGTGCTTCACGGAAGGAAAAGACGACATGGCAAAGGAGATGGAAAATAAAGAAGACGATATGGAGCTACCTGAATATTTACAGCTGCATCAAATGGTGGTCAGGAAGATCGGTGAAATCTGCAGAGTAGTCAATCAGGTGACTACAACACCACAGTTTGTTTTCTTGAACAGGTTCATTAACAGTGCACTCTTGTGGAAGTTAGAATAAACACTCAAAATACCAAAAATCACTACAAAATCTACTGCACATTAACACACAGTACCATCAGCTGATATCTGTGTCCCTTTGGGTTCAGAGTTTTAAGGTTAGATTTAAGCATCTGTCCCATAATCAATCAATCTTTATTTGTTTAGTGCCAATTCATAAATGTTATCTGAAGAAACTTTATAAAAGAGCAGGTAGAAGAGCTTACCGTTAACTATATCATGTTACAAAAGAGCAGGTATTAGAAAACTTCATTAAGCTCCAACAGGGAAACTCATCTCCCTACCGGGTCAGTTCATACACACAACACACTTTATCGACAATCTGAATAAACAACAAGTCAATAAATAACAAACACCAGTGAGACCATTTGAGACGTCATTGAGTCTCACTCAGCCGTGAGTCAGAGCCACAACTAAAAATGTTCATTACAATATCTGACTTTTGATATTCTTCTGACTACTCAAAGTGCTTTTTACACCGCAGGTCACACCTACACATTCACACACTGGTGGTAGAGCTGCTGTGTAAAGTGACCATCAGAAGTAACTCATACAATTCACACACATTCTTAAGCCGCCCATGAAGCAGCAGGAACAACTTGGGGTTAAATGTCTTGCCCAAGGACACATCGGACATGTTGCTGCAGGAGCCACATCACAGCCGCCCTAAAAGAGCTTACTCTTTGTTATATTATCTACAAAGACCCAACGTTAATCCATCATGAGCACTGAGCACTGATAATAGACTGATCAGTCTTAAAGTAACGTGAGCATCTGTAATGATGATGAAACAGGGAGGATGGATTATGTTTATAACTTAAGCAGATGGAGTCTTAGGGCCAAGTTACAGAGAAAAAAAATCTAACATTTAGAGATTAGATTCACACATTTACGAGATTAAAGTCGTTAATTTACAATATTAGATTTAATATTAAATGAGGCTATGGTTAAAATATTATTCTGAAAGAGATAAAGAGACGGTTTCCTCTTTGTCATTGTGGTTCTGTCTCTGGATAAGCCCCTGTTTCTTGCAGTATCTTTTCAGGGTCCTGATACTGATGACTCTGTGATGCCGATGGACCTAAATATTGTGTAGTTTCATATCTGCACAAGTAAAGCCCCAACACTACTATCAAATATTTCGAGACCTTAAAGCAGGTCATTCCACAGAGAGTTCATACTCAGCTTCTGTTACAGATGACACAAGAAAGTATTTCCTGATTTGAGAAACCTTAACTGAAGTATAACTTCACAAGATGCTCCGATGGCTGCTGCTCAACCGATATAACTGTTGACTAAAATAACGACTTTAATCTCAAACATTTTTTATTTGATTCTCGTAAATCTTTGACCTTATTTTCACGGAAATGTATGACCTTCTTATCTTACAACTTTATTCTCAAATTTATTGCCCTTAATGTACCCCTTATACTCCTTCGTAGCTCTAAGATTCACTAATATTTCCATTAATGGTAATAGATGTGAGGCTGAGTGTCATAAAGAATATAACCTTTATTTCAGGATCAATTAGAACCCAGACAGAGTTCAAACTTTGAGTGCAAAACATGATTTGGTTTGAATTCATTCATAAAGAAGTTAGCAAACGTACATCAACACAGAGGGCAAAAAGGTTCCAATCAATTCCAAATGCTGTTAAAAAGTTACATTTGTGTATTTTTTAGCGAATGCTGCTGCAAGACCTTCATGACAGTCATGTGTGTAACTCTCTGCTGGTGGCTGAGAGTGAAGAGGACATCTGGAAGACGGAGTCTATCTACAGGCAGAGGCTCAACACTTCAGATGGTACGTCAGCAGTAGACGAACAGACTTTTTAGTTTCTTCTCTCAGGCTCTGTGTCCACCTAGCGTTTTATTCTGAGCGCCACTTTTTTCAGTTGTTTTCAATGGGGTGAGAACGTTTGCAGCAGGGGGCGACCAGAGGCAGAAAAAGTGCCTTATGCCTAAGTGCCTAAAAGTGTTGTCTTATTTTCTGAGCGCTCCACCACTTTTGTGCGGCTGCTCCGAGTACTTCATTTGAAAATCTTTCAACTTTTTTTTCTTTTCAACAAGAGCGCTGTTGACGTCACCAGCGCTCTTATAAAAATGTAAGATATTCCCTATATTTCTGTCTCCCATGGATCGTGCCCTGTACCCTCACCCCCTCGCTCCGTGTCCAGACAAAATCAGAGGGCAAGCATCCTCCGTTTGATGCTCATAGTGAAGCGGTACAAACGATCTCAAATATAAAACATACAGAAAAAGAAAAAGGGCCTTGTGGTGCTACTGGGATGTAATTTCTGTGCAGTTGTTTAAAGCTTCCTTCACACATTCATTATCTACCCTGTCCACATAGATTACAACACGGAGGAAAGCTATCCGGCAAGAGACTACCTGGCAGCTACCATGCAGTTCATCCCTGGACACTTCTCCTGTGACGTTGTGTCGAGCACAATTATCCACATTCACCCTCGCCTCAAGATTGGACCAAACATGGGGGTATCTAGGGGTGAGTAGTACTCAAGAGGGGACCAAACATTATCTATCAGTATCCAGAGGTGAGTGGTACTCAAGATGGGACCTAACATGGGGGGTATCCAGGGGTGAGTGGTACACATTAGGACGTGGTATTGTGTAGATACTCCGCTCTTTGATTTAGGCCCCAACCGGACGAGTTAAAGGAAAATTAGCAATTTTTTAGAAGTTGGTTGCTTACTTGAATCCTGAAACAAATATTTAATAAATAAATTAGCAGGTGTGGCCTAGCTTCATTATCTTTTAAAGTGGTGTTTCTATGTAGTTCTGTCTTTCAAACATGCTAAACATTACTATATATTTTTGCCTCCTCATGTTAGCAATTCAGGCCCTGCGCTCTGTGCTGAACTCTTTCTGTGTCGTCAACCGAAAGAACATGTTTGTGTACCAGGAGCGGACGACTAAATCAGTCTTCTACCTCAGGTAAGATCATACTTCATTCAAATTTAGCTTTTCCTTTCTTTTACTCTTTCAGTATTTCATGATGATACTTTTTTTTTATTCAGAAAGGCTTTACAGAAATGTTACCACCGTTTTCAAAATACACTTAACTCGAACATGTAATCTAAAATGACACAGCACTGCAGATCTTAAATGATTCACTGGGCCAGGTGGTAGACCTTCTATAAACATATAACTGTGAGATTGAGGGAAAAAACAAAAGTGTCTTGACCAATATTATCCTGTGGCCACTGGATAGTAACGTGTGGTCATTCTACCAGTGGCCAAAAGATAATGACTCATGGCCATGAGATCTTCATCTCCATGCAATGACTGATCATTTCAGCTATCCACTTATAAGCATGTTTACACTTTTTTCCCTTTTTGGAATAGGTGTGATGTATTTTTTAGTCTGTTTAATATAATAGAGTCTATAACATGTTTATAACACTTCCTTCAGAGTGACGCGACTCACAGCAAGTCAGACCTTTTCCATTGTTGTGACCGGGTCACATGTGCCAGGGTGGCATAGGGTGACTAAAACCACCCCTTGCACCCCAGATGCTTGTGGCTGGAAAAGGTTCTAGAGCAATTTATGAGCACAAGTGAATGCAGCAGCAAAACTGACACTTCACACCTCCAGAATCTAACGCTGCTCAAACAGAGTTGGTGCTGTTCCTGACACTTCACTCGGATTAATTCACCTTTGGCATCCCACTTAAGACGTCCCCTACAACAGATTGATGCTGTCTCATTTAAACAGCTCCAACATGCAATGCGTGTGCATTGACGTCCAAGCATCCGCTTGTCACCAGTGTAAAAATAATCTGTCCTCTCTGCTCTGTTAATTTGGGCGGCTGTGGCTCAGAGGTAGAGTCGGTCGTCTCTCAACCAGGAGGTTCAATCCTACAGCCAAATGTCTTTGTCAAGTGTCCTTGTGACACCGTACCCCAAATAGCTCCCTGCTGCTGTATGTGATTGTGAATGTGTTGGTGCGACCTGCGGTGGAAAAAAGCGCTTTGAGTAGTCAGAAGACTAGAAAAGTGCAATACCAGCTCAAGTCCATTTACCAAATCCAATTATAAACTGTGACTCTAAAGTGTACGGTGTAAAGAGCATGTCACTGACTGTTTTAATGGTGTCCAACTACTTTTTTCTACCTAAGCGGCCACAATCTTAGCGCTAACCGAGGCGAAGGGGCGCACAGAGGTCGAATAAAGTCTTTTGATCAAATAGGTGTGTTTTGGAATAACACGATTCATCTCTCATTTCCTTTAAGAGTGGCCCTCAGGCTGGCGCATTATGGCGGCTCAGGCCGTCTCATATGTAAATTCTCTCCTTCCACTTTCCCCCCACGTAGAGCACAGAGCTCACTGTTGAAATCTGCTGATGCTCTGGTTGAAGTTTTATCCCCCTAAAGCAATCCCACAACATCAGAAATGATCCGTACCTGTCCAAGTTAACAGAGACAATGTGCACATGCATGCACTTGTAGCACCTGAGGTTTGTTCAGATGGCCTTCTTGTTAAGCTGAGAAAGTGGTCCACGCCATCGGGATCCCCGGCAAGAGCATACAGAAGCTCCAGTACATACAGAACAGCGCTGCCAGGATCCTGATGAGAGTGCGACAACACGTGCACGTTACCGCCATCCTGCACTCACTACACTGGCTTCCCCTCCCACCCAGGATCGAATATAAAATCTCAATACTCATCCATTAATGCATATATGGAAATGCCCCTCCATACCTTAAAGAACTGCTCTTCCCACAAACCCACAAGACACCTCCGATTTGCAGCCACCGACTGCCTCCAAACCCCCAGGACTAAGCTTTGCTCTATGCGGGACAGAGCCTTCTCCTCTGCTGCCCCAAGGCTATGCAGCACTCTGCCTGCAAATCTGAGAACCCCACAGACAGTGGTCTCCTTCAAAAAGGACCTGAAAACCCTCCTAAAAACCTTTTCCCTTAAACCACTGCTTTTAGATCTTGTTTTATGCTTAGGTTTTAACTCTGCCTGATTTTACCTGTCTGACTATTGCTACTGTTTTTATGGTTTTACTCTTATTGCAGCACTGTGAGATTTTCATTTAAATGTAAAGTGAGTTATAAATAAATTGTATTATTATTAGCAATACTTGAGTATTACTTGAGAAAACATGAAACATGTATTAGTTTAATTATTTATGTATAGAAGATATCACCTGTCTAGGGGGTTTCTTTTCTCAGAGCTATTTAATGACTGTAATTTATTCTTTGGAACAGACTTTCCAACACTCTCTTCAAACATTGGTACATTTAAGAGGCACAATGTCTGAAAGGAAAAGGATGATCAGTGTATGACATTGATATTTAAGAAAGGTTCTACTGTTGTGTTTTTTGGTCCCAAAATATCAGAGGAACACGACAATTACCGGCTCTGTGCACAATGCTTCAGCCTTTATTCATGCTTCTTGTGTTTACTTCTGCAGACTTTGTGAAACATCACTAACAGGGAAATACTCCGATGTGGATGGAAACCTCCACGTGGCTCGCTCCATTGGACTTGCCAGGAGTCAAGAGCCTTTATATTCTGAGGATCTCATGGTAAGTACGCAAAGCAGTTTACCACCATCTTTACTGAAGTGTTTACACAAACTCTCGATTCAGTGAGGAGTGATGAAACATTTCTTAGATGTCGTGACAACCATCACTCATACATTGATGATACAGAGCAGCATGTTCATGAGGGCGAATCTGCTAAAATGGCTTTTTATGTAATTTGTCTGACATTTGGGACCATTAAGATGTTGTCTGGAACCAAAGTTACAAAAGAACTGCAGGAAAGTTTTTGATTAATGAATGAAGTTCTATCCCGTGTGCTCTTCTGCAGCTTATCTGATACGCTGAAGTGAAAACCAATCATTCTAATTATTCAATACGTTTATGGATAGTTTGTTGTAAAGATGCTGATGATTCATGTCTCCCTTTCCTCAGGGCTCTCGGTCTTCTCTTGACGGCTCTCGACCGGTTGGACAAGTAGACAAGCACATCCTGCTCCTCGTGCATGGAGTAGGAAATGCAGGTAAGAATGACATATACAGGAGTGCATATAAACAAACTTTCTGAATGCTAAAATCAGGAGGTTTTATCAAATTCAAGGTGTGGCTGGTTGTCTGTCCCTAAAGCCCCTCTTCCACTAAGCAGTCCGGTTTGGTTCAGTACAGTTTGCTACGGTAAACCTTGATCTTGCTTGCGTTTCCACCGGCAACCGTATCCTCATTTGGTAAGCGGAGTGTAAGCCAGATGGAGATAGCCGCGTCAGCTATTTAAGAGTGTTCCCATTCCCAATAAATGGGTACCGTACCGAACTGAACTGAACCAGACCGCTTGGTGGAAACGGGAAACTGGCGAACAGTCCAGGGTGTAACCCCGCCCCTCGCCCAATTACAGCTGGGGTCGGCTCCAGCCCCTCGCGACCCTGAACAGCAGAATCAGTAAAGATAATGGATGGATGGATGGACTTGTTGAGGGGACCTGAATGCAGCACATTGGAGTTATTAAGCTAGTCTCCATGGTTTGAAATCTTAAATCTGACAAAACTTCCTTTTTCACTCATTGGGAAATATTTGGGAGTGGAGTCACGTAACAGGTTCATTAAGTTCTCAAAGTCATTCCATATTTTAAGTTTATTTGTGATTAATGGGGGAATATTGGTGTTGGCAGATGCATTACAGCAGAGATGGGAAAGTGGCAGCCCGGAGGCCACTTGAGGGCCCCCTCCTCACTCATTGTGGCCCGCTGATCGATTTTAAATATCAATGAAGTGAAAACATGACAAAAACTGCCCTGAAGGATTTCAAACCTGAGCGGCCGATACAACAACATGCAGAAAGACCAAACACTTCACAACATAAACATATTTCTGTTAAAGGTTTGATTACTAGTCTCTTTTGTTCTTTGCAAGAAATTAGTAGGTGTATTAGCTCTTATTGTTTCTGTAAAATGTTATATATGCATGACTAAGTGCGTTAAAAAGAGAAGAGAAATGTATGTTAAATAAGCTTCAGTGATTCGTCACCTCTAGCGTTTAAAATGGGTACTGCAGTCCAACTTTAAAACATCGTAGAGAGCTGTCTCCCTCCGCCCCCCTTCTCTGTAGAGTCGATGCTCACGCAGGTTGCCATGTTGTAGACACTGAAGCTTCAGTGTTTAGCCAGCTCTGCATCGGTCTGTAAACATTTCTGTGTTCTAACCTCTCTCCATTTTTCAAAACCATCTCCAATATTGATCCTAGTTCGAGCACGTTTCTGCTCGTAGAGTTTATTAGAAACATGCAGAGGCTTTTTAGGACGGGTACAATCACTTCTACCTGCAACACCTGTTGGTTTGACCTGATAACTGCTCTCATATCTGGCAAACCGAGGGGCGTCAAAACGGCCGTGTGAGGGCTCCTTAAAAAAACGCCTACCTTCTCTGGTCCAAACAAATCCAGAGCATTCAGGACCAGAATATAAAGTTAGAAGGAGGACATACTGACTGCTGCATTGATGTCAGAGAAGCCAGTACTTCAACATGTTTCCTTAATGTCTGATCATATAGTAAGGTCACTTTATCATTTACGTCAGTAGATATCTTACAGATTGGACCTTTAAAACTTTACATTTGTTCATTTCGTTAGATTATGAGGCAGATCATGCATTAACTGCAGAGCTGCTCTCAGAAAATCTGCATGTGTTCGGTTAATCATGATGTGATTTTATGGGAATGAGGGCGTTCTTGAGCTTGATTGATGTCGACACAAAGAAAAGGCTCCCAGCAGCACTCAACACTTCTCAGTGGAACGAATAATGTTTGTGAATGATGCTGCTCCACTGCACTGACAGCATGGAGACAAGAAGTTGATAAACAGCCAGCCAATAACCTACTTTTCCAAAACCTGATTGTGATGTTCAAGTAAGATCCAACAGTATAATAAAGTATTTCTGATTCTGATATGCCCTTTATCATAGTTAAGTCATTAATAGTTATGTGTGCTGGTGTTTCACTCTGCATACACTCTCATCTTTTGTCTCAGGTTAAACTTTTGTTACAGTGGTTTAAGTGCAATTCACTTTTATTTTTGCATTGATAAAATGTCTTTTGTTGAGGCTGTAGTGGCCGATTTCTTTGTGATGCCAGGGTGGCACAGGGTGACTAAAAGAGTACCGAGTACTGATTGTGGACACGGCTGCTGTTACTCCTTTGGATGGCTTGATGGCACTGTTGTTCTGGGTGTATTATCTAAGACCAGCTGGGGTTATGTCAGCTCTTTACCAGATGATCATACAAATCTGTGTCTGTTGGTTTTGCCCTCTGGTCTTTGAACTCAATGGGTTTTCTTCATGCTTTTTTCATTCATGTTTATTTTTTGAAACACAAAACAGCAAAAAAAAGTCTCACACAACCGTAACCAATATTTTAAGTGCAAGACCGCAACAAGACTAAAAGAGAGACAAAAAGTCAGCACACTTCAAAGTGTGTTTATCTGCTAGAGCACCAGCGACCCCCAGATAAACATACTTTCAAGGACATTTATTGTGCTGACTTTTGTCTGTCTCTATTTTTTTGAAATAGACCACAGTGTTCTGTTATTTTTTAAGAAAAACACATCTAATATATCTAATATTAGTTATTTGTTTCTTGTTGTCTTTATATCTAACTAGTTTAACCCTTTAACCTGTCACCTAAGTTCTCTTTCTGAACTTTCTCTGGCGCTTTATCTCGTGATGTTTTCAGTGGATGGTTTGAGTTTAAATGGACGAGGCTAGTTTACTCAAAGATTGACTGATGGTACAACTCCTTTCAGTGCTCACTGCTTTCTCAGTCAGGCCAAATACACTGCAGGTTTCTACATAAGACACTACTTAGCAAAACAACTGAGATGTTCTTGCTAGAGCTCCAGGAAGAACATGAGAGAGGAAAGTAAAATGCATTTGGTTTTAAGACCACAAACATATCCTCTTATGCACATTTACACATGAAATAAAAAGTATATGTGGAGCTTTAAATCAGGATTTTAGTGCACGAGTTAGATGGTTTGTGTATCTGCATCAGGGAGGTGACCCCGAAATGTTTTTCTGTTCAGGTCCTGAGATCACAGACGAGCTGGTGAAGGTGCTGCGCAAACGTTTGGATGAGACAACCTTGGACATCATCACTGTCATGCTTGTGAGGAACTGCAAGCTGACACCGGCTGATGTGGAGGTAATTAGCTTTTATTTGAATATAAAATAAATAAGGGATAAGTAGTGTCATGATTTCTGAATGCAATTTTCGTGTTAGTGTGTGGCTCGTCTTTAGCTCTGAGGACATGGACCTGTGCATTGCAGTGTGCAAATTGCTTACTCTTCCAGAATTATGGGTTTTATTTCCACTTAGGCAACTGAAGAACACTTTAATGCACTAATGCAACTGAAAATTGCTTTGGATAAGTTTTTCTGCAAATGTTTGTCTGATTAGTTCATCCAGCCCTCTGGATCCCAAGCCACTGAGGTGATGCACTTCAGTCTACCCCAGTACTGTCGTCCATGGCTGCCCGCTGTGGCTCACTACCTCAGACAGAATCTCCTCATCTTCCTGCATGTACCGAAGTACACCGACAGCAACACAGCACATCACTTCAAGGTACAATCCTTTAGCTTTGTTTCTGGTTGTGTTGTGTCATTTCTTTGGTGCAATGTGCTTGTAGCCTGTTTTTAAAGAGGACATATTATCCCCCTTTTCCACCTTTTCAAATAGTCCCCGGTGGTCTACATGAAACATCTGTGCTGTGCTTTGGTCAAAATATAACATGAATCAAGCACCAGAGGTGGTTTGTGACCCTGTATAAACCAGCTCTCTCAGAACGCTCCGTTTTAGTGTGTGTGTCTCTTTAAATGCACTGAACCCCCGTGAGTTTTCCTGGTAGATATCACTCCTCTGTAGCGAGAATAAAAATGGTGGACCTTCTCAAAAGTTTTGTTCTAGGTTTGGGGTGGAGTCCATGGTTGTCGATACAAGGGGAGGGGAGCTTTCCTTTTTTTTTTTTACCCGAATCCCACTTTGACAATACAAGGAGAGCAAATTTGAAACTGAGCATTTTTCTCTGTGTTGTAAGATTAAGATTTACTTTTACTTTTAGATTTACAGTTTTTACACTCTGTAAGTCATGAACACACACATGCAGAAGTAAGTGAGACTAAGTAAGTAAGACTTGTGCAGACCACAAACAAAGGACTGGATGGGTTTATTTCACATTTTGTGGGTCAGTAGACACTCAGGTTACCCAAATATATGTTCAAAAACACTGTGAAAGTGGATTTTTCATAATATGTCCCCTTTAACATTTCCCTGAAGCAGAAAGGAATACGGTTTGTCTTCTACATTCACTTTATTAAAATTCTGTAGTTCATGTTGCTGAAGAGCATGTATGGAGTAGTAGTGACTTGTAGGCTAGTACAGGGGTTCCAAAAGTGGGGGGCGGGAACCCCTGGGGGTCACAAGTTCCTTCCAAAAACAAATACATATTTGAAATTGCATATTTTACCCATGATGGTGAAAAAGTCCTCAGGTGAGATTTGTGCCGTGTACCAGTGTAGGTATCTGTTGCGACACACTGAAATAATATAATTACCTGATGGCTTTTGTATTCTTTAGTGGTCACTACAACTCACACATAATCCCAGGAACTTTAGTCTCTTGCTCTGCTGAATGTTGTCTATTTTGTTATTTGTTTAATATGTTTTTTCCCTTACTGTGCAAATAAATAAATACTACTAAGAATACTCCTACTTGCTCCATGTCTTAGCATCTGTGGGAAAAGTCGGGGTAATACAAAGAACCAAAAAACTTACGATATAATATTAATTGTTGTTGTTCAGGCTTCTAGGTTCTGATTTGTTTTTGTGTTCTCCTGCAGCACTACTTTCATTTGAGCAGTGACTTGGCTGAGGGTGATATCTTCCTCTACAATAAGCCTGGAGGCCAAGGGACGGGTGGCAAAGGTATGTAGAGATACTTGATCATTACAAGGACAATGAATCAGGCAGAGTTTAAATTCTGATTTTTATTTCATTGCTAGACAGCAGAACAGTGTATGGAATACTCTATTTTTACCTCTATACAACATGTGGTTAGTTTTAGTTTGAGTCAGCAATGACATTAATGTGAGAATAGAATAGGATCGAAAGCGTACAGTACAGTGTACAACAGAATTACAGTTTCTTCAACTTACAGTCCACTACATTCAGACATCCACAGATATGTTTGTAATGGTATCAGGTTCTTACTCTGTTTTTTTACTATATTCTGCAAACTGGTACATTTTAAATATTCATCATGTTGATAATAGTTTAATTTAGTCACGTGCTGCTCTTTTGAGAGTGAGTAACAAAACGATACATGGGCTGACACTCACAGAAGAAGTGATGTTTTTGGTTTTCATGTGGAGACTACATGGAACTGCTGTGACAACGTAAACTTTTCCATTTATCATTATTTTTTAAACTTAATTTGACATGAATCTAGAGCCCCATGGGACAGCTTGGGATGGGGGGGGGCTCTCTAGGTATGCAGTCATCTGATGTTTCATCTCTCAAGAGAAAGGTCTCCTTCCAAACTGGGACTCCTCAGCCGTTGTAGAGGAATGGCGAGAACCCTTTGTCTCATGTCAAGGACATCGTTTTTGACTTGGCATGCGCAAGATAATCTGCCTGATGAAGGAAGACGATGTGGGCCGTGTCGTTTATGCTAACCAACAACACACACGAGGTTACCTCAAGGTTTCCCCCGATCATGAAGGAGCTGTTGTGGAATTTTTTTAAATAATTGTGATGTCATTCAACAACACCAAAGGGCGACTAATTATGGATGTAAATGATGAGTTTGTTGAATTAAAACACTCGTTTATAATTACTAATAGATTCTGTTCTACACAAACTCCCTTTGTCTTCTTCACTTAATGTTTGGCTTTGAATCACATTTCCCGCTGTTGGACATTTCCATTTGCAAAGCATGATGTTACTCTTGGTTGACTTGCTGCAGTGGAAAGCAGACGCAAAGAAGCGGTATAAAGTAAGGGTCGAGTTGACTTTGAGGAAGATCTGGTAAAGGTTTTGGACAGTGGGTGTCACTCCTCAATGAGAATACGTTTTATTAAAGCAGCAGAGCTTTCTTAACAATGTTTTATTGAGCAGACTCCATTTGAGAAATGAATGAAATCTATGACAGGAGAGAAGTGTTCTTGTTTTTCTCCCGGTACCAAGTGCTGTAATCAAGACCACGCTAACTGAGACCAAGACATACCTTAGACCAGAGTGCTCCGGGACTGAGTCAAGACCAAGACATTTAGGGATCGAGACCAAGTCAGTCAAGACCAGGACATTTAGGGATAGAGACCAAGTCAGTCAAGACCAGGACTTTTAGGGATCGAGATCAAGTCAGTCAAGACCAGGACTTTTAGGGATCGAGACCAAGTCAGTCAAGACCAGGACTTTTAGGGATCGAGATCAAGTCAGTCAAGACCAGGACTTTTAGGGATCGAGATCAAGTCAGTCAAGACCAGGACTTTTAGGGATCGAGACCAAGTCAGTCAAGACCAGGACTTTTAGGGATAAAGACCAAGTCAGTCAAGACCAGGACTTTTAGGGATCGAGACCAAGTCAGTCAAGACCAAGACATTTAGGGATAGAGACCAAGTCAAGCTCAAGATATTTAGGGACCCAGAACAAGTCAAGACCAAGACATTTAAGGATCAAGACCGAGTGAAGACCTAGACATTTATGGATCGAGACCTAGTGAAGACCGAGACATTTAGGGATCGAGACAAGACCAAGACATTAAGGGATCGAGACCGAGTGAAGACCGAGACATTTAGGGATGGAAATCGAGAAAGACCAAGACATTTAGTGTTATGATGACCTTATCCTTGCTCCATGTTTGAAATCATTCTGTCAGACAGCTGAGCAGTGTTACGTGCCCAGACTCTTCTCCCTGTCTTGTAAATGGTAAATGGGCTTGAGCTTGTATAATTTTCTAGTCTTCTGATTACTCAAAGTGCTTTTACACCACAGGTCACACCTTCACATTCACACCTTGATGACAGAGGCCCGTTTGAGAGGGACAGTGAACAAACAATTGCAGTGATTACCACAGCGAACAATTTTATATCATAAAGCTTTTAAAGCAGTCTTTTTATAGAATGACAATCTCTGCATTACACATTTCACCTGACTGATGTGCACTTTTGCACTTTGAGTTTTATTTTCTCCATGTGCATGTACATTTATTTACCCTGCAAACTGACATTACACTTTGACCTGGCTGTTGTTTGTTTTGATAACTTGTTCAGCTCTTTAAAATGAAATGATCATACTTACCATAAGTCATTTCATTTGTCATCGTTTCTAGTAAGCATTGCTTTGGCCCATACCTTCTGTGAAGTGATTTCTTTCTTTATACTTGAGGTAAAAAGGTTTGTACTTTTGTCACTTGTGAATATTGGTGCACCTCTAATTGTTTTCCTCTGGGTGTCTCTAATGTCGGTCCAGGTACCATGTCAGAGCTGGTTAATCATCTCTTTCCACCTTCTCAGTTTAAAGGTACCATCACTTGTGATTTTCTTGACGACCCTTTACAGTCAGCAGATTGATCAAAGCCTTTGCAGCTTGACCCGTTCCTTTTTTGTCTTTGGTCTTTTTGTATTCTTCTCCAATGCTTGGCAGTGCTGTTGCTCCTTCAGTTAAGGCTTTTTGCAGCATATATAACTGTGTTCACTTTTCAGTTGCCTAGGTGTGGCATGGCCTTCCAAGGTGCATGCAGTGTGAATTGACAGGTGAATGAGCAATTGTATCTTTTCAATCAATCCTGGATTGGCTTTTGTTGTATTGACTCCTGCGTCAAAGACCCTAACGCAACGACAAGACCTTTTTTAAAACAGCAGAGATTATTTCAAGTAGGTTGATTGTAGAGAGCAGATATTTGGTTTTAGAGGGTCTATCTTCACTTGAGCCCAACCGATTCATCGGCCAGTCGATAATATCGGCCGATATTAGCATATCATGTGACCATCGGTGTTGGCTAATTTTCTCACAGTGTGTATATACTGTATATATCTATCTTTCTCTACAGATTGAACATAGATCTAAGAAAGATGTCGGCCGGTATAGCGGTATCAAATTTTCTTTCTCATCGATATAGGCCCTAAAAATCCTGTATCGGTCGGGCCCTAATCTTCACCAGCAAACAAACATCCCAAGAAGTATTTCTGACTATTGGGTATTGTTGACCATAGAGATGTCTTTACCCATCTGTGTGGTGTTTTCATGACTAGGATAAAACACACGTTGCATAGTCAAGAGGGATTAAACGTATGCGTGGGCCTTTCTATCAAATGAGGCAGCACATATCAATAATTTCACACAAAATATTGATTTGGAAATGATTTTATTGTTTTAAAAACAATATATTTCTTCTTTCTGTTGGAATCTACAGTTCAAGCTTGGTCCATATTAACTGTTAACCCTGTATCCTTTTTAAAATGAGCTAACCTTTATGAGTGCAGCAGCTGATTGAGGTTTTCTTCCTCGTCACCGTCAGTCTGTTGACATTTTCTTTTCCTTTCAGCGGTCACATAACCCCAAAGTGTCCGATACCACGTTCCATTGAGATTTCACTACATACATAATACTTTTCTATTTCTGGAGAATCTGTATTAAATCATCTTTATAAACAAAATGAATTAGCCAAGCAACCAAATCCAATCATTTAACCGGAGAGAAGAAGCTGCGTCGTGGTTCTCTTTTTTTCCCTTTCAAAATAAATGGACATATTTCTTTCAAAAACTTGACAACACCAGACACTCAACTTTTATCCACAAAAGATGCATCAAGTAAACTCCAAAAGAAGTTCCTCAACAAAAAAAACATCTTTGAGTGAAAAGTGTGAGTGTGCACAGTGCTCCCGCTCACATTGTATGCTCAAATAAAAAACGCCACAACTAACCCACCCTGCAAAAAAAAATAATCCAACAAGTTTTTGGAAAGTTCTTATTTATGGAATGAATTTAATCAAAGAAAAAATCCTGTAAAGCTCTTCTAGTTTCCATTTAAATCTTTGTGGTCCTGACAAACAGAGAGATAAGAGGCAAACAATCCAATGACATTAAAAACTAAATATGAACTTTAAAAGGTTTTAAATGGGTTGACCTATCATCCCATCGCTGATTGAAAATGTCTTCCTTTATATATTTTTTTGTTGGTAAGGGTAGCTTATGCGTTTGTCACCCAGAAAATAGTAATTCATTTATAAGCACATGAAACCAAATGGATGTATTGCATTAGATTTGTTTAAGGTTGATTGCTGATCATCTGAATGTTTCCCTCCACTCTTTCAGGTATTGCCTGCATAGCGCTCTCCTTTGTGGACGCCCATGGTCAGTCCCTTCAGGTCCCTCCAGCACAGGAATTTGCCGCTCTGCAGAGATCAGATAGCTGCACTATCTCCCTCCATCCAGAGCATTTTGATGAGCTGACCACTGTTGGTAAAGTGTTCTCCATCAGCGACGGTCCAGGCACAGGTAAACCCACTCACTCAGCAGTTAGCTGATTCTACTTCTTTGCGGGGGGGAGGGTCCCGTTTAAGAGGGTTATCTAGGGTTAGGGCTCTGTTCAGAGACACGTTGACTGTATTTCAGCCTCTAGTCATTTAAATATTAGAGGACCCATTTATGTACGTTGATAAGTGAGGGCGTTGGGGGCGACTGTGGCTCAATTGGTAGAGTCCGACGTCTCTCAACCGGAAGGTTTGAGGTTCGATGCCCAGCTCCTGCAGCCACATGTCCGATGTGTCCTTGGGCAAGACATTTAACCCTGAATTGCTCCCTCTGCTTCATCAGCGGCGTATGAATAGATTAGTTTCTTCTGATGGTCACTTTACATAGCAGCCTCTGCCATCAGTGTGTGAATTGTCTCACCTGCATATTCCCCTGAGCCCAAATAACATCAGAAGCTTGAAACAATTAGGAACACAGCATCAGCAGTTGTCATATATCATCGAGTGTGATTATTATTATTTTTTTTAAAAGAAGATGTGTACTGTCACTCACGCAGACCGCACAGGATATACTGTGTGTACACACTCTGCCTATTCTATACTCTGCACATCTTTATCATGTATCTGAGCAAAGTGTTGAAATTAAGCCTGGACAGCTCTCACACAATGATTACATATCCTCTTAAATACTCAGTTATACTGCAGGCCAAGTTTGCTGTGGTAAAACCAACACTTTGCTTTCCCTTATCAATCGTTGGAACATGCACAAACAGGACCTGTGGACATGCATTAGTGGAGAGATGTCAGAGTGGGGCTGCTACACTCTGCTAAGCAGGGAGCGCATCAGATCGATTGGGGGTTCGGTGTCTTACTCAAAGGCACCTCGGTTGTACTCGAGAAGTGACCTGACACCTCTCCAGCTACCAGACCAACTTCCATATTTTGGTCTGCACTGGACTTGAAGACAAATCCCTACAGAGTGAGCTACTGCCGACCTCTGAGATAATGTGAAGACTTGTGCGTTGTTCCTGTAAACATTTGAACCCTGCAGAGTTCCACTCATGTTTCAGCACTGCTGGAGATTTTCTTGAATGCAGCAGCATTGCAGTTTCCCTCTCAGATTTTTCTTTTTGTTAATGAACTCCTGTGGTAGCAAACTAACAACACAGTACAGAATGTGCTTTCTCACGACCTTATTCACAGACACATCGATATCTGTGGGAAATCTGTGAGGACGTACTTCTTCTTCCTCACTGTTACCTTGATTTAGCTTTCCTTTAACCTTTGTTCTGCCGGCTCGTTCAGATGCGTTCATGATTTATGGCTGTGTTCACAGGGCAGAATATGAGGTGTGCACATTCCCAGTTGGATTATGCTTTAAAAAGGGAACATTGCATGCAGGTTTTGCATGTGCAGAGTTCTATAAATATAAGTATATTTTTTTCTGGGCTTTGTGCTCACGTACCCTTGGTTTCTATGCACCCGTTTACAAACCAGGCCAGGACCCTAATCTACTAAACATTCACTACTTCAGCTCACACACACCAGAGGCTTTCCATTGGGGAGCAATTTGCTGCTCAGTATCTTGCACTAAACTTAATTCATATGGCTGAAGGTTTTTTTTAATTGTATTTCTTATACTTAGTTCTTGGAGTTGGACTGAAGCAGTCGAACTGATATGATGAAGCTAGCACCAAACCTCCTGTTGTAATCTACTCTGATGAAGTCACTTACTGCCAGGTTATTATAATAATAATAAGAATGCATTAGACTTTTATAGCGCTTTTCTATATACTCAAAGACACTCAACAAATGAACAAGTGTCTTTAAGAAAACTGTCTTATAATGTAATATAAATGCTCTGCCTTTCTTCATCATATCTGAGGTCACTGTTGTATCTGCTTTTGTTCTTCCAGACACACAGCTGTACGTACGGTTTGACATCTGGGAACAAGGAAACGTCAGCCCCTTACAGCTAAGTGATAAACTACAGGGGGCGCTCCGTCACGCTCTCTGTGACGCTGTCATGGAACTGAGAGTCCTGCCAAATCCTCTTTGTCTAGGAGTGTCCTGCCCAGCAACTAAAGCTCAGAAGGAAGAGGCTAAAGGTGAGGTCATATATATCACCAGAGTGTTTTTCATATTGAGTCTGCCCATCATGGGGTCACAGATAAGACAGAAGCTTTAAAATCAATTCATCATAAAGAGTCAAAGTGGCAGCAGGCAACATGAACTTTCCAATGTCAAAAAAGTTCTGCCTCTGCTACCTCACATCACTCCACTAAGCCCCACCTATCAAATGCATGCCAACCAATTTTCACTGCAAACTGTCTGTTCTGCTCAGCTAGTCATGTGAGACTCAGAGGACAGAAACTCTGACAGCCGGTCAATATCCATCCAGCAAAAAGTTAAAGGGTAGCAACTAGTGTCTGCTGGGCCATCGATGTGAAGAGAGCGAGAGAGAGTGAGGGTGAGGTCTGTCGACTGGAAGATTTTATTTTTTAATAATAATAATAACAGAGCGCTCACAGAAATACACCAGACACACATTTATGAAAAGTACAATTTAAACGTGATATTGTTAGTGATAATCAAAAAGGTTTATTCTAATAATAATGTTTCCTACTGTGGCTTTTATTGAACAATTTTTTTCTTCGTCTCCCAAAACATTTAAAAATGGTTATCACTCATTTAATCGCGTCATCTGTGAGTTTAGACGCAGCAGGAAATAAAGCTGAACATCATGTTTGTTGCAGTATAACGACTACAGTGCCCCTATAGGATGTGTGTGTCGTTTTCTACCAACAGCTTTTTTGGGTTTGTCACTTGTCCGTCCCGTGGAGAAGACGGTGTCAAGGTTTCTTTAATTGTCTCCCTCGGGACAAAATTGTCTCGGATACGGGAAAATTGCTGCGTAGAAAAATCATGGAAGAATTAACTAAAACCATCAGTTATTACAAATGTACAAAACATTACAGGGGTGCAAATCTGCGTCGCGAGCTGTCATGAAAACCTGATTCATGCTTCTTGCGGCTGGCGAGCACGTTTCACTTCCGGGCCCTGCGGCCAATCATTACAAATCATTACAAAATCTTGGAGATGCTCGGCTGGGCGCTCAGACCCTCTGCGGACCCTCCTCTCGCCGGCCGCGATTGCGCAATATCGCCGCAAGAAGCATGAAACCTGATTCAATGAGTCACATTGTGCAGCACATGGCTAATTTACATAACGTTATTTTTCCGTGAAAAGACTTCGGAAAGATTCGAAGTCTGGCGAGTAAGCCAGCCTTTCTGTTAAACATCCTGTCTGATCATATTAACAGCTGGTCAACAAATGTAATAAGAGAGGGAATATAAACTTAATGAAAATCAGCAGGAGCTAAACATCAGGTTCATATATTGATAATGTTACATATTTTATGATAGAAGAGAAAATATTGTCATACTTGATGACTGTATTATGATGCTCTCTCAGACTCTCAGAGAGCTACTTGCATAGTGACTGCCCTTCACTTCACCCCTCAGTGGAACATGGTAGCCCTGTTCTGCAAATTCATCCCATTGATAAAAAGGGACTGAAGGTTAGGAGCACAGGTTTTTCATGTTTCACTGAAGCTTTATCAAAACAGTTAGAACTGAACATAGATATCGACAAGCAATTGTGTTTTTCTTATTGTTTGCACTGCTTCTTTAGTCTGAATACTAAAATCGTCTGTAAATTCACATTTTAAAGCTGATATTTTTAAAAAGTCTTCCCGGGGGAGCATGGCCCCGGACCCCCCTAGGAGGTTTGGATCCATGTCACCTTTTTCATCCCTGATGAGTTTGCATCCCTGATAGTATTATCTCGCCCTGCCGCGAGTGAATCTGTCAAATTAATTCATGAATTGTTCTTTCATGGTGAAGAAAGAACTGACTGACTAGCCTATAGGCTACTTACAAAAATAGATCATGTAAAAGACATTACTTTATGATGCCCATATATTATACAATTTGTATAGGCCTATGTATATGTTAGTGTTTATCTTAGTTTAAGGTTTAGTTCCCTACTTTATTTTAAAAAGTTTAGCTTTCAAGTTGTCATTGAGTAAATCTAGACTAAAACTATTGAAACTAAAAAAGTTGTTGAACAAAAACCTTGAGAGAGATGACAGCAGTGCTGTATTCATGTTCACCATGTGCCTATGACAGTAGACCTAAAGACAAAGGAGGCAACAGCACCCGTCTGTTCAGAGCATTTATTTTGTTCTAGAAACACTTTGACACGTTTGTCTTTTGATTAAAGACAACAGATCATTCTCACATAAACAGTCTTCATATAATTCAAGTTGTCAGAGACATGTGCAGAATATGATCGTCAATCTTGTTTTGTGCTTTCTTTTATATGTAGGAATATTAATTGGAGATTTTCAAACATAATGAGTTCCTTCAGGGTCATCGACAGAAGCTTCTTGGATCCTACTCTGTAGAAACATTAAGCACTGTCCGGATGCTGGAGAACAGAAAGGACAGAGCAATGAACAGATCTGCATCTATGTTTCTGTAATTCTTTTCTGTCATGAATGTTGGAGAAAGTTTAAACTCACCATTTGCCATGCTTCATCATTTCAATGGCATCATTGACCTGATCCAAAGGCAATGTGTGCGTAATGAACTCATCGACCTTCAGCTTCTTGTCCATGTAGGCCTTAACCATGAGAGGAACACCATCCCGCCCCTTGAAGCCTGAGACACAGTGATACACACTATAAACCAGACTACCACTTGTGAGAGGTTTATTAGTCATGAGGGATGGACCGGGCTGTTTTACCTCCAAACACGGAGCCCTTCCATGTTCGTCCAGCTACCATCTGAAGGGGTCGCACAGAAACGTCGTGTAGGGTTGTCCAGCCAACGATCACGCTGACACCCCAACCCTGAACACAAGACTCCAAGGCACTGCGCTGGATGTAGAAAAAAGATCAGAGGCAGCTGGATCAGAATCAGAATCAGAAATACTTTATTAATCCCAGGGGGAATTTTGGTGTTATCATTGCTCTTCACACAGCAGTAGGAAATCAAATAAAATAGAGATAATAAAACAAGCAATAAGTACCAAGTAGGGATTGGAACCACAAAGGTGCTGGTACAAATCTGTAGCTAAGCTGAGGGAAAGGGGTTTAACTAAATTCATTAACTAGTTAAGTAAAAAAAAAACTTAGATTGGAATAGAGATGTTTGATGTTTCTTAATAGTTTTTCTTAAGTTCATCATTTGTTTATGTGGGCAACAAAAAGAGAATTTCATGTTTGTTGATCCAAGTTTTAACATTCAGAGACCAACAGTCTGTGTGATTTAAGCATGTTAAGTACGAGTCATAGCCCTTTGCAGGTGAACCAGTATTTTGGTGCATGAGTTGTTTGAGGAATGCACACTGACTCTACACTGCCAAGAACAGAGAACAAACCGTAAATGAAATCTTCCTACCATGACCTCCACATTCCCGGCACATTCCAGGGAGTAGTCCACTCCACCGTCGGTCATCTCAGCTATCACTTCGCTGATGGGTTTGCTGTGGTCCTTCGGATTCACAAAATCTGTAGCACCAAACACCTTGGCTTTTTCAAATTTATCTGGATTGATGTCCACAGCGATGATCCTCTTGGCTCCTGCAGCTTGGCAGCCCATCACTGCAGCCAAACCCACAGCTCCAAGGCCAAACACAGCACATGTGGAGCCGGGTTCCACCTAAAGTAAAAGATACTCTGGTCAACTGGGAACTCTGTGTTGAATGTCTTAGTGAGCTGTACAGTAATAATCAAGGACCACATTTTGTGTCCCATAATAACTGATCACTTTTTACATTTATGGAAAAAATGTAAATGAAAAGTTTTTTATGTCTAAAAAAAGCCTTATCTTCAGACACTTGATACTAGTCAGACTTTCACCTTAGCAGTATTAACTGCTGCTCCGTATCCTGAACTGATCCCACAGCCTATGAGGCAGACTTTGTCCAGGGGGGCAGCTGGGTCGATCTTAGCCACAGCCAGATCGTTGACCACGGTGTACTCAGAGAAGGTACTGGTTCCTGCAAACTGATTCAAGTGCTTCCCCTTACAGGTGAATACAGACTTCTCGGGTGCCATTGCACTATTGCCAGTATCAGCCCTGTGAAAAAAGGCGGGGGGGAAAAAAAATCACATGTGGCCATAGGAGCTGGGGGGGTTCAACCAAATGGATGGCAATAGGTAGTTATTAATGTGCTCACCATGCTTTCACACACTGGTTGGTCTTTGGGCTTTTACAGAAGCGACATTCTCTACACTGGCCGGTGAAAAGAGGGATAACATGGTCACCTGAAAGACAGAAACAATGTTTACATTTGATTACAGCTGGGTACTGTTTCCTGCATGAACTAACCCAAAGCTTCATTCAAACTCGAACAGTATTTTTACATCTCTTATTGTTAAAGATAAGTAAGATTATTTTTGTCTTTCACTATTCTAATGACTTTATAACTTAACACACATTTAAATCACTTGTTTAAATAAGTAGGACAGCAGCATCATTAACAAAGTGTCTTGTGCCTGAACTCAGTTGAACGCAAAGTATGTCCACAAACTGCTCCCTACATACTTTAATGTGATGGTTATCTCAAAGCTGAGTTCTATTGTTCTCCTTCAATTTCTTCAATTAATTAAGTGTCCTGTTAGGTCCATGGCATGCAGTGGCATCTGATGGACCATGTAGCAAACTTCCTCAATCGTGATAACATTAATGGCCATTTTTTGACTTCCTCTCTGAAATCTGAAAACAGATATTCTGAACCTCGGCTCATCCACATTGCACAGACATGACACATATGAATCTGCTTATCAAAACCTTTAGATTGAGAGCGAATTAGTATGAATTCCAAAATGCCAACCTGGTTTTAATTCAGTGACTCCTGGCCCGACACTCTCTACAATCCCTGCTGCTTCGTGGCCGAGAACAGTTGGAAAGCCTTCTGGACTCGTGTCCTCTAAGAGTCGGTGTAAATCAGTGTGGCACACTGCAGTCGCCACAATCTGCACCAAAGACAGAAAAAAAAAACAATGAAAATGAGTCATTAGTTTTCTCTTATGGGTTCAGGAGTCATATCAATAATATAACTTACATCCAAGAACTATAAAGGCTACTGTATGAAACAAGTGGTCAGCCACTGTGATGTCATTCAAGTCTTTTAGGCCCAGCTTTTAAGCCTCAAGTTTGGCATGTTGTTGTTGCCATCTTTGTGCTGATGACATGAAGCGACCATGTTTAAGCACCTGAGCAAGCTGTCATGACTCAGAGAGACATTTATAGAGGATATTCTTGATTTCTGCTATATTTATCTTGGAATTGTTGAACGTTCTTCCTTTATACTCAGGTAGAAAACAAGTCAGTTGAGATTACTAATCTGTGTCTAAGCATGTATAGTCCTCACCTTTATCCGGACTTGGTTGGGCCCAGGTGGGGATACCTCAATCTCCTCAATCACCAAAGGCTTGTTGGGCTCCCAGGCCACTGCCGCCTTGCATTTGATGACCTAGAAGGAAAGGGATACCATGTGACATAACCAGTGAGTGACATCTAGCACTTTTTAACTAGGAAGAGTTGCCAATAAACAGCAATAGGGCCACAAACCCCTTGCTGAATTCTGAACACTTTACAGAATCACATTCATCCAGAGGCTCCTTAAGTTTATGGTGAGATAACTGCATCAACAAGAAAAGTGGAAAGAAAGAAGGTGTTTTCATGTTTCACATAGTCGGTCGTTTCTTTTTTAATCACGTGTTTCTAGCTCATGGTTTAAATGTCTCTGTGAGAGCTGCTCCCTTGAAAAGCAAACATCACATGAAAACAATCATGTGGGTTAAGTTATTTTCTGGAACATGACATTAGATAGAGAAGTTCTAACAACTGTAGGGTTTTTGTTTTCTGCCCTTTGAACCATATCTTTGCAAATATGAACAGGCAAAAGTGACTGGATACTTATTTACTATAGAGGACGTAGGGCGAGATATACCACTGAGGGGAAGTGGATAGAGGCAGAGATAAACGTGAGAGACAGAGAGAGTGTTGACCTTCTGAAGTTGTTCCACTTCATGGAAGTTTTAAACCTGCCACTGATTTCCTGTCTTCATTACTGTGAACACTCCCTCAGCTCCATGGAAACAGAATTGCCGTAAAAAAAGTGGTAATGTTAGCAAATGTTGTAGGCTACTTGGTGGAATCTGTTTAACTATTTAAACCAGCACAGCATTTAGATACAACCCATGTAAGGCATGCTTACCCTCCCTGCAGTTTCCATGATGTTTCTCAGTTAAAGGTTAGATAACAATGCAGAACAGTCAGAGCTCAGGCGCGGAGCCTATGGGTCATTGCAGAGGGGCCGGGGACCAATAGTGGGTCCTTAAACTGTCTATAGGCTATATAGCATATGCTGTAGCCTATATAGTAATATAGTACACCCTGCTGGTGCTGTTTGCTGCCGAAGTTTAGAACCCCCTTGGCAGTGGAGGGGGGCCCCTCTCTGCTCTACAAAATACATTGTGTGTCTTGATTGCGGCAAAAGAAAAGAGAGACTCAGACCTAGTCAAACTAACTTCATTTGAAAATTCAACTAAATAACAAAAAATGCATTTTAAATTTGGCTCAAAGTGGGCCCCTTGAGACAACAGTGGGCCCGGGGCGGCCGCACCTTCTGCCCCCACACTCGCTCCGCTACCGATGGGGGGGCTCCAAAGAAAAAGGTTGGGAGCCACTGGTGCATACAGAACTTTTACATCATGATGTCTTAGTTCAAATAAAAGTTCTGTGCAGATCTCAGAAACTTCACAGACATGTTTTGGGGACTTCTAAGACTTATTTAAACTTTGTTGAAAAGGAGGATATAAAAATGTAATAATTACTCACTTTCTGAAACCCTGTGCTTAAAAAACATAATTGTCAAACCTGCCGTGTCTCTTCATCATTTTGTTGGTACCTGTCACGGTGAGCAGTAGAACTAGAATCAACAGAGATTCCATCATCGTAAATGTTTGTATTTGTATGTTTGTATTTGGTTTGTGACCGTCTCTTTCTCATATCTGTCTTTAGGACTTTTAATTTCTTTGCCTGAAGTGAAAGAAGTGAAGGACAGCCAAAGGCAACGCAGTGGTTCACGGGTCTTTAAAACAAGCCCCTCTCCCATCACCTTACCCCAAGTTGTAGGGAGCACCCAGATGCCAGGGACCAGCACCCCTGAGTCCACCACACCCACCAGCAAGAGCACCCGCCGGAGCTTCTGGGATATACTGGTCAGTTCTTCCTGAAGTTGAAGTCTAATCACTGCCTACGATAGCTTTTACTGTGATACTCGTTGAGCTATATTTCAAATTGGCTTTAATACTTAAAGGAAGAATGTGCAACATTTTACACATTAATAAATGAGAAATCAAGTATATCCTCTGTAATTGTCTCTCTGAGTCATGACTGTCTACAACGAGTGAGAAGCTTGAGTCCCGCTGGCTGTGTTGTTGTCAGAGCCATGTTTACATCATGTTTACATGGACAGGGCGGCTCATCTCCTTGTGTATAACAGTTGTTTTAGTCAAAGACTAGAGAGAAGAAGAAGAACATACTCACTGATTATTTGGCTGAAACGTTAGTGTGTTTAGATCACGGTTATTCCCTATAAATTTACATGAATTGAAGCTACTAGCTAACCAAAGTGTGCTAACATTAGCCTGCTAACACAACAATGCAGACCACAGGGGATTGCAGCTCTTTTAAACCCTTGTTTCTTGCTATACATACAGAGCTATTATGGTTTGTTATTATCATTAAAAGCAAAGTTACTACTTGAGTTTGTCAAATGAAGCCTTGAGAGTTTGTTTTGACCTTAATGTGTTCCTTTTGTATCCTTCAGAGTAAGCCTGACTCATCAGAGCTTGGAAGCCCAAAGACAACTGATGACATCGTGCAGGAGAAAGGAGAAGAGGGCCGGGCAGCAAGACGAAGACACAAGACGGAGAACGTGAAGCAGCAGTGGAGCCAGGAGAAGGCGATGGCTGTGGAGCACGAGCAGGCCCAGAGGTACGTGCTAACTTTAGAACAAATCTGCATCAATAAGAACAAGACATCTGTGAAGTCCAATCTTTTATTGTAGTTAAACTTACAAACTATGGCCCGCATCGGGACTTGAACAGGCAACCATCCAGTTCCCAACCCAAGGGGTTTTAAATGAATTTTTTTTTTTTTCTGTCCTTTGAATGCTGCAAAAACGATCGTCTTTCAGGGACAAATAGAGTTGAGTTAAGGATATCAGGTCTTAATATTGTTTTCACAGCTTAGATTTCTTTACCCAAATGTACAACCTTTAATAAATATAGGTTCTGAAGTTAGGTGGGGTGGATACCCTGATGATGAGGCTTATTTTCGATATCAGCCTTGAATTTTTTCATGGCTGATCCCAGTTTAGCATTTTGTTCAGCAAGAAACAGAGCTTGAGTAAGTTGTTGTTAACAGTCTGAGACTCTTTTGTGTTGTCCCTCAGTAAACAGAATACAGGGAGCACTGTCAGGACACCTCTGTATTTCCATTTTTAAGTTACCTAACATGAATTGCTGAAATGTTAAAGAATGGGAGTATATATTTTTTGCTTACGTACCTCGAGTTAAAAGAGCTCATTTAAAATGCTCATTTTCTACTTCGGTGTTGAAAGATGTATGGTGGAGACTCCCTCTGCTGTATCAATTAGTCCCACCTGTGTATATTTGAGAAAATTGCCCGTTACACGCTGAAGAAGAGCGCCTCCTTAGAAACGTCCGTGTGGCAATTCAAATACAATTTTGATGTGCTGTCCTAATTGTTTTTCTTGTTTGAACATATTTCAGGTTTCAGCACCCAGTTGTTTTACATTGAAAGGGAGTTGTTTATCAGGATATTTTACACACCAGGAATGTCCTCACTACTACTACAGTCCATTGATCAGCAGTGGTAGTGGTAGAGAATATGTCCAGGGCATCAATGTTACAGACAGTGATAATAAACCTTTAGTGCATTAGGACCTCTAAAAATGTCCTCATGCAGAATGTGTGTTTTGTGTCTGTGAAGGCGGTACGTCTCTCAGCTGGAGGAAGGAGATACAGGTACTCTACACCCCATGTACCAGCTCACCTGCCAACCATGGATGACTTTCATGGCTAAACTTGGTGAGTATGAATTAATGCTCCCGAAGATTACCTCTTCCCACCGATACTGCGTCTCATGAAGTACTTTTCTTCTGTGTCTCCGTCTCTCCCTCCGACCTGGCTGATGGTAAACAGGCTGCCCCTCCATTCAGCAGTGCACGGCTGAAATTGCTTCACACTTCCTTCTGCCGTCCGTCTTGGCGGAAATAGTCAATTTGGTCAGTTCTCTGGCCAGTGATACAGCAGTGAAGGCATTCGAGAAGAAAAGGTAAGTTGTTCCTAACACTGCCACATATTGATTTTGCATTTCTGCTCGGAGGTGTCCAGGTTTTTATGGTCTTTCTGTATTTAAACTTACAAAGACATTTGAGCTGCTGTCACTGCTTACACACTGATCAGTCGCTTAAGCCTGACTCAGACTGCAGGATCATCGGGCCGGCTTGAGGTCTGATTCCTCCTTCCCGACAATCGCAGGGTCGCTCCCGACTCAAGGCTTCTCGGACCCGATTAACTTCCCAGATTATCTTGTAGTGTGAGTCGTATAAAGATTTATTTCAAACATGTTTTATACTGAGAATTTAAAATCTTCACGATTCCGTCATGAGAGGGTCTGGCTGAAGTTGAGTGTGACTACAATAACTGAGGGAGACGAGGGAGGAAAGTAAGTGGACATACAGAAGTGGTGACCGGCGGCAGGAGGCAACTCGCACAGGTGCGCAGGACACCTGTTATGCTGATATTTAAAATCTGACCTCCAGCTCTCACTGAAGAATATACAGCCCATGTTGTCCGCATCTCCCCAGACATTTTTCCACCCAAAACAAAACCTTTTTTTCTGTGTTTTCCTCTCTGCACAAAGCATTTTATAATCGCAAATTTAACCACGGTTCCTCCATCAGGCACGATCATCTGTAGGAAATCCTGTACTCAGTGATGTGCCGTGATTTTCATATCTTGTAGTGTGTGCATGTTTGAGATTATGGAGAAGAATATCTGTTAGGATTATGCTGCTGCCCGAATTCAAACTCAGGAAGGATTTTAAAACTCCTGCAGTGTGAGCCGGGCGTTACCTTCTGATCCATGTCCGATAAAGAGAGTTGATACTGAAGAACTGAAACAAATATTTCAAGCAAACTGTTGAGGGACACAGATATGATAGCTTTTGTTTTATTTATGTATTTAACATAAATTCCACAGACAGGATCATAACATCAGCTCACTTATTGACTGGATTGAATTTTTATTTTGACATTCGGCTCCATTGAAAAATACTTGTTTTAAGAGTTAAGGGGCTTTTGCCTTTAAGGGGCTTTTGAAAGGTATATATATAAGGTTTATTTTGAAAGGTAAACTATAGACTGACTATAGACTGACTGTAAAGTTTGGGGACAGAGAGTGCGGATGACATGGACCAGACAGCGTCAGGATCAGGAGTCCAAACCTGTGACCTGTGCGATGAGGTTTGTAGCCTCTGTACACGGAGCGCCTGCTATATGCTTAATTTTACTTTAACACACTCCTGACAGGCAAACGGGAATTTGAATTTATGCAAACACAGTGATGCAGGGTCAAAATTTATATGCACCACTGTGGTACCTTAGTTGTTTTTTAGTTGGTCTTGGATTCTAGCTTAAAGAAGTTCTCATGTTTCAGGGCCCGAGGCTTTACATCCTTAAGGCTCTCTCCCCCTGACAGTTTCAGGTTGGATCCACAGTATCTGTTCACGGTACTCCACAGATAAACTACAGCAGTGTAATGTAGGGGGATTAAGATATTCATGATACTGAGGAAATAAAAAAAATAAAAAATCATTATAAACACTTTCTATGTCTCTGTCTATCTGTGACAGTATCTATTACAGCTCGTCATTCCTAAAAATGAACTGTACATCCACAATCTCCTGAAACTACTGTTTGTGTACTACAATAATTATTTTTGTCTTTATTCAGCTGCCCTCAATCTGAGGACGTGTTTGCACCGTTCCCCCTCCTCCTGAACCTCAGCCAGCCTCCAGGCGCGACCAGGACCTTCATCCTCATCGGACGCAGCTTCCACCAGTGGCACTGCAGCACAGAGCAAGGTACCAGCTGAAGCCAGTGTGAAACAAACTCTGTCCACAGAGGTCACTGAGTCCCTCAGCACAACTTACTTAACTTCACACTACACACAATTCAGAACAAGAACCGGCTATAAATCTCTATGTAGATATTTTATTTAAGCAGAGGAAATGAGCACAAGCCACCAACAGCTGCAACTTAGTCCAACCTTTTCTTTCTTCTGAACATCATTGAGTGTATGAAATGTCTTCACAAAAAGTCTTAACAATGAATGAATTTCATAGATGTTTTGAAGTCAGTAGGTTATCCTGTAAAGAAGCAGCATGATCTCTAACACATTTAAAGTTAACTTTATGCGTAGTGTAGAGGAAAAGGTGCCAGCGTGAATGTTCTGTGTTGGAGCTTGAAAACCTGCCGTCCTCTCTGCTGCACTTTGATTCTGTGTTTCTCTGTTCATGCTTTCAGCTGCCTAACAGAAGTGTGTCATTTTGCTAGTGTCTGCTTCCATCTGTGTGTGTCCGCTCTGTCTCACTGTCCATGCCTCCTTTGCTGTTTGTACCATTTCTGTTTGCCTACAGAAGACAGTTCAGATGAGGAACACTCCCCAGTGCTTAATAGGTTCACACGTAAGTTTACCATTCAGCTCCACAGCGTTGATGCTGATGGATGAAATACATGTATCTGTTTATCTTGAGTTAGAGTTGAAGTCACTGTCACATCTGTGTGCCAAAAGAAAACAACTGATTCAAATGATCAAACTTTTGAAAAACAAAGGGTTTTTAAAACCAGTGTTGAACTTGTCTAAACATTATTTAAAGATTGTTTAAGATGTACACTACCAGTCACGTGTGGACACAGCTGATAGAAATGTTATCATCTCAAAGACATTTCCATCTAAAGGCATGTGCTTTAATGTTTGACATGCGTTTCTTCTATTAATATAAATAGTGAAGGTTATGCTCACCTATGTTTGCATTTCTTTCCAAAACAAACATGAAAATGAAATGTTTTATTTTTATTGTTTTAATATCTACTATTATTCTAAAATGTGGAAAGTATTGAAAATAAAGAAAAGCACTTTTGTTAGTAGGTGTGCCCTAGATACAGCTTACAGCTATATTATAATAATATAGTAAACTGTATTATTAATAAAACTGTTACTGTTGTGTGTCCAAACGTTTGACTGGTAGAGTATAAGAGAACAAATGAACACAGTCTGAAAGTGGATAGAAAGATGAGTATCCTAACAGATTGGACGACCTGAGGTTGACCTTCTGTCCTCACACGGCTGTCTGCACCCAGCCAACAATCATCTGAGATAAACGTATCAGATGAGGGCGGAGCAGAGAGTCATGTGAGGTTTCAGGAATCTCAGTCAAACCACATCTGTACTGTAAGCTAATCAGATTTCAATCAGAACCTCCACATCTGTATTACTCAGCGTGTCTAATTCTAAGCTGGAACAGAGATGCTTTAGAGGCGGCTGTGGCTATGTTGGCAGAGTCGGTTGTCGCTCAACCGGGAGGTTGAGGGTTCGATCCTGCAGCCACATGTCCGATGTGTCCATGGGCAAGACACTTAACACCAATTTGCTCCCGCTGCTTTATCAGATGCGTGTGAATGTGTATGAATGGTATGAGTTATTTCTGATGGTCACTTTACACAGCAGCCTCTACCATCAGTGTGTGAATGTGTAGGTGTGACCTGCGGTGTAAAAGAGCTTTGAGTAGTCAGAAGACTAGAAAAGCTCAAGTCCATTTACCATTTAATATTTGTGCCAGCACCAAGAATGAGTTCAAGATGCAATATTGACATAAATGGTAACAACCGTTATTGGCAAAGCAAAATGATCAAAACAATCAACAATAATTTAACATATAAAACAAACAATACCCATAAACACATACAAAGATGCATTAAATATGATAAAATCAATTACAATGAAATAGTGACTAAAATAACTAATAAATGTAAAGAACTGTTTTTCTTATAAGGTGTCAGTTAGAAAGTCTGCGGCTGAATGTATACATTGTTCTCTTCTGCTAAACAAAGTCTCTTTATATCCTCGTGAGGCTCAGACCGCTCTGATAGCCTCAAACAGCGGGCGGATGAGGAGAAGGTGGACCTCTGTTTCTACTTGTTCCAATTTACTTTTTTTTTTATTCTGTCTTCTCCAGGTGTGATGGCCCGATTCAATTTCTTATTCATGATCGCTGAGTCTTAGAAGATGCTAAATAACTTATTAAAATACAACTTAGGAGAGTAACATTATCGAAACCTTCTGGGAAAATACTGTTATGCTTTCTGGTTTTAAAATCTAAATAATCTATCAGACCTTAAATCTTTAAAGTTTAAACACTATTATAGGGTTTTCACACTTTCGCAGTTTCTCCTGCCAGACTCCTAGTATTTTTCTGCAAGTCCGAGTGAGCTGATGTGAGAACGCTGCAGGATATTCTCCGGAGATTTAACCTCGAGCCAAGAGGAGGGGGAGTGAAGTTTATATACTGTGACTGCTGCATGGTGTAAAGAGTGTATACATGCGACCACTACGATCTAGCGTCGTGATGTAAAAAAACAATGCGGAAGTAGCGGACGAAGCAACTACTGAAGCTACTTCCGCATTGTTTTTTTACATCACGTCTTACCTCAGGAAATCCCCCGACCCCCCCTCCCCTCTGACAGGGATAGTCTCCAACTGTGAGGAGCATATGTGAACGGCTAGGTCAGGAGAATCTCCAGAGCAGTCCTCCTGAAATGATCTAGATATTTTCCGGAGTGCAGATGTGAAAACGGCTTACGACTTTTCTCTGGTGGTGTTATTATCTTTTATATTTACTTGCTAAGTTAGGATGGCCATAGTTTGTAAAGATAGAAAGTGGAATATAAAAAATATCCTCAACAAGACGTTATTGTGGAATGTTGAAAACAAACGACCATAATCTTCTCTATAGCTGATCATGGTAAGAACATGATGTCGCCTTCAAACGGTAATTCAGACTTTATTTAAAAAAGCCTTGGGAACTGTCAGACCATCATGTAAAGACCCTACAAACATTCCCCCAACAAAATGAGTGAAATACTACTCATAAGATGTGGAATGCACATTTCAAAGTAACAGTATTTTGCTCTTCATTGACTGTAATCCTACAGTTAAGGACGAAGCAGTTAGGATAGTTTGTAGGGAGACTTGCTAAGGCGTGCCTAACATGTCTGGCATTGACTTCTATCTCTTTTCCATGTCACTGAGTATCTCTCTCTTCTGCACAGCTCATAAGGGCTTCCAGCGCTTCGAGGCTCTGGAGCAGAGTGATGTGTTCAGTCCTATCCAGGCCGGGGCAGGACTGGCTCCCCGCCAGAGGTTCCTCTACATCAGCATCCTGGACAAAAAGGTGACTTGGCTTAAGGAAGGTTCTGGATTGTGAAAATCTCTAAGAGACAGTTTGGATGAATACATCAGGTCTGCTGGTTTCAGCTGTGGTACATCTTTGAACAATGGATCTGTTAAGCCCCGTTTGCACCAAGCACTCAGGTTTGGTGTAGTGCAGTTTGGTACAGTACACCCTGATCTTGCTTGCGTTTCCTCAGCCAAACATACCCTTACATATCACTTAATCACAGCGGCGCGACACAGTGTAGACAGCCAACAAATTCAACAAAGAAGAAGAACGTAACATAGTAAATAAAGATCAATGATTCCTTGGAGCGGTGGGGCGGTGCTACGTGCTGACAATACTTTTTCCACTTTTGACAGTGGAAACGCTCATAAATGTGTACTGTACCAAACCAAAGTGAACCGGACTGCTTTGTGGAAACGGGGCTTTAAATGGTTGCTCCCTGAGTCTTGCTTACCTCAAGTTTTGTGTAATAAAAGTATAAAATAATAACAATTTTGCAATAATAAAAGTATATCCATCTGAACTACATTAGCCAAACTGGCTAAATTGTAGTTTTTGGAGGTAGTATTTGTGAATATATAAAAAAATCAGGACATGTCCGCCTTTTAACTCAGGTTTTGACTGAGCCTTAGAAATCTGGAAGGGCTCAGTTGTGAGAAAATGGAAAAACATGTACATGTGATGGCTACACTAGTGTTTAAATTATCTGTGTATATTAAGAAAAGTGCTTTACAAGCTCAAGTCCATTTACCATGTATGAAGAATATAGAGTTAAGAAAGATATTTTAGTTTTGCACATATTTAACGATAATGCTGTCGTAATGTCTTAGTAAATATAATGCTCAGTCTTAAAGGTACAGTATCACTCCTTTCAATGTGGCATTGTTGTATTGAAGAAAGGTATAACATGCTAAATGTATTTGTCATTTAAGGCTTACAGAAAATAATCTGAATTGTTAATGTAAGCAGCCTTTGTGTTTTTAACATTTTGTATTGTATCCTTTTACCTAAGGTGACTCTATACAGCTATAACTGGTCCGTGGACCTCGGCGCCTCTCTGAACCGTGATATCATCCGCCTCGTTAAGTGGCAAAATGCAAGGGCTCATGTTGTCCACTGTCTGCTCAACCAGAAGATGGGCCTCTTCCACCATCACTGCTTCTCTGATGCACCCTTTCACGAACTGGACTCCAAACAGGTACAGACCCTTGATTTTATGTAAAACAATGCTGACAAGTTACCAGCAGAACATTCAGCAGTACTGCTCCCTAAACGACATTGAAAATACCTTAAAGACATGCTGATACATGTGTGGCTGAAAAGCTGCTGGAGTCACTTCTGTTTTATGGGCTGGTAGTTCAGGTGGAATCAACCCGTCATGGCAGCATCTGGGTTTACACTGCTGCAGAAACTGGCAGGTCCAGAGGCAGACTTCACACAGCTGTCGTATCGTGAGGAGGAACTGTAGAGACTTCTTAGTGAGCACGATGGGATTACCTGTTACACGAGCAGCCTGTTTGAGCTTCATGGTCTTCACAGGATGTCTCTCTAGAAACCTAATGCTGCAATTTCTTCACTAGCGATTTCCTAACTGTGCCAGTCCGCTGCTGGTGTTGACCTGATACACAGCGGGCGGCTGTGGCTCAGTTGGAGACGACCGACTCTCCAGCAGCAACATGTCTGATGTGTCCTTGGGCAAGACACTTAACCCTAAATTTCCCCTGTTGCTTCGTCGGTGGCTTATGAATATGTGTGAATGTGATCTGACGGCCACTTTATATAGAAGCCTCTGCCATCAGCTGGAGCTGGGGACCGAACCTCCGACCCTCCGGTTGAGGGACCACAGACTCTACCAACTGAGCCACAGCCGTCCCGTTACCCTCATCATTTCTTTGAAAGGTCATTCTGATATGACGACTCCTTGTTACTAAGATATAGAAATGGACCTGTGACTACAATGACGGCATATCCTTTTTTTTTATTATCGGTAGAGAACACAAAAGTTACTTTTTTCCTCCCTCACCAATCGGTGTTAAAGATGTGTTTTCCATCATTCTTAACATCAACGCCAAGTACAAGGACACATTACTGCAAATTTCCCTAAACCCTGCATGCAATCTGTTTCTAAAAATAATCTTCTAAAAAGAATTGACAGACATATTGCTGCCTTTCTAAGGATCTTTATGTCATTAAATGTTAAACAATCAACCCCTCACTGTGAATAGGAAAGCAGGGAGTGAGCAACAGAGCTGTTTTGATTTACTTCAACAGTCCAAATATCAAAGTGAATGTGGGGAAGTTATAAATGAATCCCCTCCCTGGCAGATCAGTCTCGCCATTGTTGCATTTACTCAGACCAATTTTATGCAGTTTTATTTTTACATTTCAAAATACAGACAAATGTAATGCACAGTGTTGTTCCTGCACTGCTGTGTTGAAATGGCTGTAGTAGAGACTCATAAGAGCAGAGCTTATGCACAAAAGAAAGACACCAAATGGCCTTTGAGCCTCCTCCCTGGGGCCAATTTACAAAACAAGCTCAAAGAATAAGAGATCCAAACTTTTTCCTCTCCGTTCAGTGACCCCGCTCATCATCGCTACATAACTAATGAGTCCAGACAGAAGGCAGAGTCAGAGCAGCAGAAAATTTGCCTGAACAGAGCTTCATCTGTCATGGTCCTGATGAGAGGCAGAGGGAGTACCAGTGCACATTTGACCCCCCCCCCCCCCCCCAGCCTGTGGGCAAGGTGCAGCCATCTCTGCCACACTGGGGCATCTGGGCCTTGAGCTGCTCCACTGAACAAAATCACTCAAAGTTCTTCTCCACATCCACCATGGCACACAAACAGTCTTCCAGAAGTATCCGACTGTAATAACAATAATGATACCCAGCAACACAAATATATATGCAATATATAATATTTATTCATTAGTCCACAACACAGGGCAGTTCAAGAAAGGGCGAGGTATAGTCCCTTTGTATTACACAAACAGAATAAGTGAGAACAGAGGACAGTTCTCTGTACTCTGGTGATACGGACATGGATATTACTGTGTGGTTCATAAGGAGGCAGCAGGGTGTACAGGCAACTGCTGGAGTGTCTTGTACTATCCTTTGGGCTCTTGTCAAGCGCCTCACGTTAAAATCACTTTCGATTGGTCGACAGGTTCCAATGATAATGCTCTCAGGTTTAAATCACCTGCTGTAGAGCCTTTTTGTCTTTGGCCGCACACATACGATTTGTAATGTTTGAGATCAGGATGCATCAGTCTTGCGAGTGCATCGAGAGCTAAGCCTCTGCAAAGATGTGATTGTAACAGTTTCTGATTTGTGATGCTGAGTTAGGCTGAATCTTGCATCATCTGTTTATTTTCATGCGACTGGACATTAGCCAGGAGAGCGGTTTGTGGAGTAGCCTTAGGTCCAAGCTGGGTTTGCTTAGCTCTTGTCTCTGCCTTTTCGCCTCTCTTCCTGGGGCGGTCACACAGCTTGCTCTGTGTTATGTCTGGCTGGGTAGTTAGAAGATGTTACGGGCAGTGATTGTCTGAGGGTTCAGTTGAACAGGTTAAAGAGAAAGGAGAAATAAATACACAAAAACAATCATTTTCATTTTAGTCTAACAAGGAGAATTCTTATTATAAAGGACCCATTTCCTCTGCTGGTGATGACGAAGCCCATACTTAAGTGTTCTCTCTTTTCTGTCTTTTGTTTAGGGTTATAATCCGACCTTTGAAGTGATGTCTTCTCTTTTTTGACTGAATGTTTCTTTACTGTCCATTTGTCTTTACAAGGATCCCAATCCGTTCCTAAGCCCTTCCATGGAGCCGGATGCTTTGCTGCGCAGCACAGTTCCTCCTTTGCCCAGTAAAGAGCAGGGCAGGCTGGGAAGCTCTGGTCGAAGTCTCGCTCCACTCCACTTCCCCTCTGAGTTGCTCCCCTTTGACGAGGCTCTTAGGGACGTCTGCACCATCAGACCCTTGATGGACGGGGATGTGGTGGCCCGACATGGATCTCAGCTCCTGGAGATCAAGGCTGCTGAGCGTAGAGGTTAATACTGCTGCTTCTTATGAAATTAATCATATATAGGATAAGAATCTTGAAAATACATTTGTTGTCCAATGGCCTAGTTGCATATTGGATGGAAGGGGTAATGGCCTTGTCTTTATCTCGACAGAAATGGAGAAACAGATGAAAATCGAGAACCTGTTTGTGACTTGGCAGCAGAGGTCAGCACAGTCAAACATGCCAATTTCAGTAAGTAACCCGAGAAATTCTACTTAAGCCAAATTCAGACAAAACAAAGAAATATCTGAAGTTTCAATCATGTTTATTAAAGGTGCACTATGGAGTTTAGGTAGATAAATGTGACAGTTGGAGAAATGTACAGATTCTGTGTTTAATGTTCATAACTCAATAGACAAACTGTCCTCAGAGGAAAATTTGGTCCCTGGAACTGTTTGAATATAAAATGCTATGCAAGAAGTTATGGAGGGGGGCCCGCTACAGTGAAACCGTGACTCTCCTGGTAGCTTTTTAGCTCCAAACAGTGTCCATGAACCCAGTTTTTCTTTGAATAAAGTTTGAGTATTCAGTTCAGAAAATATAGCATAGAATCACTGCTCCAACTTTCAAATTTCACTACCAAATCTACATAGTGCAAATTTAAACTTTAGGGTGAATCTATTAGTAGTTGTTCAGGCCAATAGTTGATTAGTCGTCTGTTGGGATTTTAATATAATATCTTAATATTTGTGTTGGGTAATCAGAAAACAGTTTCAGGTCCCAGAAAGACCTGAAACTGTGATACATTAAAGAGAACTACAAAACTTGTATAATGAGCCCTTCACGGTCAGAATTTTAGAAGCCTTATTTAAAAGCGACGTATCGTCCTCCTTTCCAACCAGTTTAAATAAGTCTCAGATGTTCTAAAAGCATTACTTACCACAAATCCACTTTGATTCTGTATTTGATCATGCATATAAACCCCTCTATTTCAGCCCTGCTCAGAACAGGCTGTTTCTGTGTCTGTAGCTTGTTACCTGTAAAGGTTAATGCTAACAATTCTAAATGTTTTTAAAACAAGGATCAAGGAGACTGACAAAGTATTTAAATAGTTCTCCTGTCCCTGGAAACTTAAACCCGGCTTGTACCAAAGCTAAGCTAACCTGATTATTAAACCATCACTTTCAGCTTCGGTCCACTAAAGTGTAGTTAAGTTAGTTGCTTTTGATTGGCTCACACCTGGTAACAAACTAACTGACTTACTGACAAACTTTCTAGCTAGCTAGATTTTTCCCTTCTTTACAGACCAATGAAAATTTGGTTCAACTAAGACTCATGATGCGTGTTAAAGTGTAACACATTACACTCAATATTCTTGTACCACTCTAAGCCAGGTATTATGTACTTACTGTTCATCACAGCATTATAAGGGAGTTCTAAGGTCAGCCTCAGTTGTGTGCTGTGGCATGAATGTCAAATAATTAAAAGTCAGGTATGGTTTTGTTTCTATTGGAATAATTTCACATAATGAAAGGTCCAAATTGGTATTCAATATTGGACACATTGGGAAACAAATGAGCAATCTAACAACAAATTGGATCCTGATCTGTCAGAATATTGTTTTAAATTTCTGATCAGACTTGCCTAAACGTGGGGGAATGCTTTCCCTCACCACTATAGCTTTGAGGACAATTCATGTTCATTCCTCCAGGAAATCAATTAGTATGGGCTTGAGGTGGTGAATACCTGAGTTTCTGTCTGTCGTAATGACATCTCAGGACGGGTTTGTAGTAGGGTTATATTTGTGAATATAATGTTCCAATGGACCCCCAAATAACTCTTCAACTTAGGCACATCTAAGTGGAGGTCTACAACCTGACCTGGGCCCATCAGTGTCCACAGGCATTCAGTTAAAGATGTGTTGTTATTTCACTGGAAAAATAAATTTGACTAAGAGATGTGATCTGAAGGCATCAAAGTCAGGTTGTCCCCAAAACACCAAGTTTATAGTACATCTGCCAAATGTTGATGTCAGTTCTACCCATAAGTATTAGCAGTGTCACCATCTTATACTAATGGTTATAATACCCATGGATGTATTTACAGGGGGCAGATTTGGAGACCCTGAAACAGTCATCTAGGCTAGTCCACTATTGTGCAACCCCTCTCCTCTTTGACCCCGTCTTCCGCAAGCAGATCCAAGAGGAACAAATTGTTCAGCCTCCAGTAAAGGTAAGCTTACAGTTTGCTATATTACTCAAAGAGCCACAAATAGGAGGGTGTCTCAATCAGTCGTGATTTTAGGAAATTCAGCCTTTTGGTGAGCATCCACAAAGTCATGGTGATGTTGAGCAATGCTCATTTTACGTGGTTGTAATGTTAAGAAGATCTATCTTTCATCCATCATCCATCCATCCATCTGTCCATCCATAATCCATCTATTTATCTATCTGTCGTGGGAACCTGGGACTAGGTTGTTGTGGTCACTTTGCTGACATGACAACCAGGGTACAGTTTTTAGAGCAGCCCGGATGTCTTCTTCCTCAGGCATATGTCAGCCTAATTTTACTGTTTTCAAATCCTAAAACAATATTGAAGCTGTTTTTAAATTGCTGCTGTTGCAAAACAAACATTTCATAATGTTCCTGTTAGAAATTAAAAAGTTTGCTGTGATGAAACTTGTAAAGGTTTTTACTGTGAAGGTATTTCATGAAATGTTGCATGTTGTCAACAAGTTGGTAGAAAGTCATTTTTATTGCTGTTCCTAAATCCAACATGGTTGGCACAATTAAAGAAAAGTGAGCCAGCTTTTGCCAAAGATACTTTAGAGCAGGGGTCTCAAACTCAAACTGGCATGGGGCCACTGGGAGTACTGTCGACTTAAAGGAAGGCCACTACAAAGTTCAAGCACCACAAAAAGGACTTTATTTTTGCAAATGTACTTTTTGTTTCTGCAAAATTTTGTCACACATCACTAATACAAACAGCAGTTTATATACATTTTTCAAAACATCTGCTTTCATTTAGTAGTGCAAGTCTTTTGTGTTTGCTTTATAACTAAAATAACTTAATCAAATAATAAATAAAACCTGCACTGCACTGAAAAGATGCAGTTACTCAAAATACCAGTACATTAATCCTGCATTCTATTTCTTGCCAGACACCTGGCAGCGCTTCTGCTCACACAGATGAGCCACATTTACCTTGATGGAGGTCACAGTTGAAACCCTGAGTACAGCTTCAAGGTGTGCATCACTAAGCCTGGACCTGTACTTGCATTTATTAAAGTTCATTGTCGAGAAAAGTTTCTCACACAGATATGTGCTTCCAAAAAGGCACATTACACGACTGAACAATTTGGATAGCTCTGGGAAGGATGCAGGTAATTCTCTTAGAAACTGTCCAGTCAGGTCTGCCTTCCCCTGTGCCTCTCTGAATTTATTTTTCAGTTCACTGTTACACTGCAGGTCAACAAGTTCCATTTGCAACACACTTGGGACACTCTCAACATCAGCTGAAAAAGGGTCTGCAAATACCTGGAAAGTGACCCGGTGTTCCTTGAAGTCAGCAAAACGCTGATCAAACTCCTGCAGAAGATTGTCAATAGCAGAGGCATATTCATCACCTCTGTACCAGCACTACTAGTCCGTTTTTTTTGCCTGTCATGGACGGGGCTCCGTCAGTGGTGATGCCAACCAGTCTATTCCATGGCAAACCTGTGTGCTCAATCGCGTCAGAGAGCTGCTGAAAACTGTCCTCAGCTGTAGAGCGGCCGTGCATTGCGCACAAACTCATCAACTCTTCAGTCACTTCGAATTGGTCATTAATACCCCTGATGAATATGGACAGCTGGGCAGTGTCCGTTTTATCCGTGCTTTCATCAAGCGCCACAGAGTATGCAGTGAAACGTTTTTCTCTGTCACATAACTGGTCATAAATGTCACTTGATAAACTGCTAATCTGCTCTGCTGGTTTCCCCGTTCTGGCAATTAATTCACTCAACACGTAACTTGCTTCAACAGCAGCATCGGCCTCCTTCTTGGATTTGTGGAAAAGACTTTGCTGAGAAAGAAGTCCTCTCTGTAGCTGCGTGGCACGCTGTTTCCTCTTCTCTCCCCGGTACTTTTCATACTGCTCTCCGTGTTTAGTGCAGTAATGACGCTTGAGATTGTACTCCTTTAAAATGGCAATTCTTTCCTGACATACAGTGGGTACGGAAAGTATTCAGACCCCTTTACATTTTTCACTCTTTGTTTCATTGCAGCCATTTGCTAAAATCAAAAAAGTTCATTTTATTTCTCATTAATGTACACTCAGCACCCCATCTTGACAGAAAAAAAACAAAAATGTAGAAATTTTTGCAAATTTATTAAAAAAGAAAAACTTAGATATCACATGGTCATAAGTATTCAGACCCTTTGCTCAGTATTGAGTAGAAGCACCCTTTTGAGCTAGTACAGCCATGAGTCTTCTTGGGAATGATGCAACAAGTTTTTCACACCTGGATTTGGGGATCCTCTGCCATTCTTCCTTGCAGATTCTCTCCAGTTCTGTCAGGTTGGATGATGAACGTTGGTGGACAGCCATTTTCAGGTCTCTCCAGAGATGCTCAATTGGGTTTAGGTCAGGGCTCTGGCTGGGCCAGTCAAGAATGGTCACAGAGTTGTTTTCTGAAGCCACTCCTTTGTTATTTTAGCTGTGTGCTTAGGGTCATTGTCTTGTTGGAAGGTGAACATTCGGCCCAGTCTGAGGTCCTGAGCACTCTGGAAGAGGTTTTCTTCCAGGATATCTCTGTACTTAGCCGCATTCATCTTTCCTTCAATTGCAACCAGTCGTCCTGTCCCTGCAGCTGAAAAACACCCCCATAGCATGATGCTGCCACCACCATGTTTCACTGTTGGGATTGTATTGGGCAGGTGATGAGCAGTGCCTGGTTTTCTCCACACATACCGCTTAGAATGAGAGCCAAAAAGTTCAATCTTGGTCTCATCAGACCAGAGAATCTTCTTTCTCATAGTCTGGGAATCCTTAATGTGTTTTTTGGCAAACTCTATGCAGGCTTTCATATGTCTTGCACTGAGGAGAGGCTTCCGTCAGGCCACTCTGCCATAAAGCCCCGACTGGTGGAGGGCTGCAGTGATACTTGACCTTGTGGAACTTTCTCCTATCTCCCTACTGCATCTCTGGAGCTCAGCCACAGTGATCTTTGGGTTCTTCTTTACCTCTCTCACCAAGGCTCTTCTCCCACGATTGCTCAGTTTGGCTGGACGGCCAGGTCTAGGAAGAGTTCTGGTCGTCCCAAACTTCTTCCATTTAAGGATTATGGAGGCCACTGTGCTCTTAGGAACCTTGAGTGCTGCAGAAATTCTTTTGTAACCTTGGCCAGATCTGTGCCTTGCCACAATTCTGTCTCTGAGCTCCTTGGGCAGTTCCTTCGACCTCATGATTCTCATTTGCTCTGACATGCACTGTGAGCTGTAAGGTCTTATATAGACAGGTGTGTGCCTTTCCTAATCAAGTCCAATCAGTTTAATTAAACACAGCTGGACTCCAATGAAGGAGCAGAACCATCTCAAGGAGGATCAGAAGAAATGGACAGCATGTGAGTTAAAGATGAGTGTCACAGCAAAGGGTCTGAATACTTATGACCATGTGATATTTCAGTTTTTCTTTGTTAATAAATTTGCAAAAATTTCTACATTTCTGTTTTTTTTCTGTCAAGATGGGGTGCTGAGTGTACATTAATGAGAAATAAAATGAACTTTTTTGATTTTATCAAATGGCTGCAATGAAACAAAGAGTGAAAAATGTAAAGGGGTCTGAATACTTTCCGTACCCACTGTATCAGGCAGGTTGCATGTCCACTAAACTCAAACTCTCACTAAAAATACTGTAATGTCCATCGTTCTTGAAACTTTCTGTGTTCATTGTCAACTTTCCTTTTTGACTTAGAAAGCGACATCTTGGTCGTAAGCAGCCAAACAACAACACTTTTGCGCCAACTGCTCTCACTCCGTGAACCTCTCTGGGCATGTGCGGGTACCTTTGGCCTTTGACTTACAACCTTGTCAAAATAATTTTTATTGAAGTACGTTTTTTTTTTTTTTTTTTAATTTCATAAGAAATTGTATTTTTAATTAGCATGAAGAAACGAAAAAATAAAATAAATACATTTAATTTAAAAGATATTTTGCGGGCCTGACTACATTATGTTTTTAACATGCGGGGCGGGCCGGGGATTGGGGGGAGGGGGGCCGTACATGGCCTGCGGGCCGGCAGTTTGAGACCTCTGCTTTAGAGCTATGATCATCTCGGGGCAAGTGTTTCACACAGGCCTTTGTCAGAGACCGATAATCTTCCCTGCAGAGGGTCTCGATTGCTCTTAAAGTTTTTTCTCATTGTGTGTTTGCATGTTAAAGAAATTGTACAAGATATCAGATTTGCACACTTTGAGGAACTTAAATGTTAACGTGACGTTCCCTGTGATACTAATGTGTGTGATTGTTATATGTGTGCCAGAAACGGCATTGTTCCAGTGACTCCACAGCGTCAGGACGGGACCGAAGCTACAGCACTGACTCAGGTGATATGCTTCCCAGCCGACTGAAGGAAGAGCCCTGGCTTCTGGAAATTTCTGGCACCTTCCTCCAGCAGTACGTCCAATACCTGCAGAGCATGGGCTTCATTTTGGTTCAGGTCCGGCCTCAGTCTCCAGCTCGCAGGTCAGTATCTACATTGCTTGATTATCAGCATTTGTTATGAGGACTCTTGAGGCTTCCTTCTGGTTTTGTTCTTAAAGGTCATATATTACGCAAAATGCACTTTACCTTGTTTTTCGATCACTGATACGTGTCCCTAGTCTTGAGCTGAAAAGTGGAAAATGTTTTAACTTTTATGCCCAAAAACCGCTAGGAAAACGTGTCACACAGACAGCAGAGTAGAGCGCAGTACCATAGGAAAACATTGTTTTGCTAGCAACGTTTTTCTAGCAATTCGTCGAAGTGTTATCGGGCCCTCAGAACTCTTAATCAATGAATCATCATTTGTGTTTTGACCGTCCTCTGACCTCTGACCTTCCAGCACAGCAGCCCCATGGCTGATGCAACAGGAGCAGATGCAGGGCAGATACCTGTCCTGTGTGCCGGTCACTTTCTAGGCTCGTACGCTGTGACTCTATCAGAATGATGTATTATGAGTTCGTTTATGCTGTTGGTGTTCCTTCAGCCCTTGACCATGCCTGGTTTAAACCCTAACTGCCCCCCCTCCCTCCCCCCGCCATCTCTTACAGCATAGCCCGTGCTCGGGCTGCGATGCTGAACTCGATGTCATCAGAAGGGAGAATGTCTTTTTCTTACGTAAAGCAGAAGAGCGAGGACAGCCCTAAGGTGAGTGTTTACCTTAGATATACACACACACACACACACACACACACACACACACACACACACACACACACACACACACACACATTTTTAAATTTTAAGGAACGTGAACAGTTTGTAAGGTTTGCTCTTTGAATTGGTACTTGGAAGGAATCTATTCTCAAATGTGTTAAAGGAGATATTAAAGAAGACAAGGACTAAAGGAAAGGTGTAAAAGTCAAAGAAAACACAGATTTGTAAAAAGTGGGCACAGATTATAAACTGCCCACAGATTTGTAACCTGTGGTAATGGATTCACACACAGCTCTGTATTTTCTCTCACCTGAGCACAGGGGAACTCCATTGGAAGTTATGCTGATTAATCTTTGTTTCAGTAAAAACACCAATATTTACCAAAAGAACTTTAGAACTTTAAAAAAATGAATGGCTCAAGAAACTGCGTCCTTTATTTATTTATTTTGTGTAAATTGCCTTTGCAGACTACGCTTTCTGCAACCACCGCATACCACCTCCAGAGGGCGCTACCAGGGGGCATTGTATTGATGGAACTGGCCTTTAAGGTAAGAAAATATTAATTCACTAAAACGCTGTCCTCTGCATTTTTCTAATAAGGTCCACGAACAGAAACGTGTTCAAACTAGGATCAATATTGGAGGTGTTTTTGAAAAATCGAGCCAGGTTTCAACACAGAAAGGTTTACAGACCGACGCAGAGCTGGCTAAACACTGAAGCTTCAGTGTCCACGACATGGCAACCTAAGTGAGCATCTACTAGAGAGGAGGGGGCGGGGGGACACAGCGCTCTACAATGTTTTGAATTTGGACTGCAGTACCCATTTTAAACTCTAGGTGCCAGTTACATATTGCTCCTTTAATTGAATACCAATATACATTTGTACAAGTCATTTGTAATGGATTGCATTTTAAACACACAGCAATGTTGGGCCTGATGTGAATGTCAACTGTTTTCAGAGCATTTGGGCTTTGCAATCCAATCTAAGTCATGTGTGATTATATTTCCATGTTGTCAAAGTAAAGTTTATTTGACCCCGTTCACCCTGCCTTTGTGCTTCTCCTGTGTGTATCTCAAGGCAAACATTCCCAACAAGTTTCCTTTTGTATGATTTTTTTTTTCTTCCTTTCTGCTGTAGCTTCTGCGTCTTCAGGCAAACATAAATCCTTTATAACAATTTATATGTTTTAGCTCGTGAGAATGAACTTGCTAGGCTGAATCAGTCAGAAGTTTTTTTTCCTCTCCTAATAATCTTACACACCTAGTGTGATTGTGTGTGTGTGTGTGTGTTTTTGTATGTATACCTACAGTATGTCATATATCAATAACCATGTATTTTCCATGGATTTCATCTTGTTCCAGGGGTGTTACTTCTGTGTGAAGCAGTATGCGCTGGAGTGTTCACGCATCCCCATGGGACAGACGGTCAACTCTCAGGTAAATATGATATATGCATATATGACGCCTTTTCTTTTATTGGATATTGTGGAGACTTTAAGCACGAGAGAGAGCACAAAGAGTGTAGACAAAAAACACAATACAAACATATTCATATGCAACATTTTCACCTTTCTGAAGGACCGTGTGCTGACTTTCTTTTTAACTAGTGGTTTTACAGTTTGGTCCAGGAATGTTCAGAGGTCTTAGGGAAGGTTTGGAGTTCAAAGGGTCTTCTTGGAAAATGTTCCTCGAGGACCATAGGGTTAAAAGTATGGATGTTCCAGCCCTCGTACTGTATTTAGGAATATCAAAGTTTTCTTATTCTGATACTGATTAATATTCCCAGAAAGATTGTTGTGCATCCTCTGACAACACTTTGCTCTTATGTATTTCACCTGATTATTTAAAAATAATAATAATAGTGTTTTAGATTAAATCATGTGATGTCTTTCATCTTTTGTATATCAACCTTTCTACCTGTCTCTTTGCACACAGTCTGCCCGTGTTTTGAGTGCACATGGCCAGAGGCTTCCACAAACTAGAGCTAGAGAGTTATTGAAGGAAAGTAACATGTGACAGCTAGATATATTTAGGGCACACTCACACTAGGCAAAGTTGTTCCATACCGTGATTGAGCATGATTTTTTTTTTTTTTTGATGGTATTGATCTGCTTCAGTCCTTTCCCTGCCTTCCCATTCACTTGCTTTTCACTAGTAGTAAGGCCGTGAAAGTGTTTTGGAAATGGTTTTGCCATTTTTTTGTTTCAAACTTTCAAAGAAAGGCTAGTTTAATCTCGAAAGGAAGCATTTGTGCATTTGTGCATTTGTGCATGTGTGCGTGCATGCATGTGTGTGTGTGTACAAAAATTCTGCTTAGTTAGTCCCTGCAGAACATTTTTGCTAGAGTAAGTATTTGAATTAACCAGAGTTTGCTCTGTAGATCTCCAGGGTTCAGCATATTGAATCTCCTAAAATGAGACCAGCTTTGAAGAAGAGATGTATATTTAGAAGCGCTAACTCACGTCTTTAAGGCTCTAGATGTTTTTCCCAAGAGCATTTTTTTTGTTTATCTCTTGTCATATCCTACTACCAGCTCAGGAAACATATAAACCATATACACACACCATAAATGTAAATCAGATGTCATATTGTTTAGTCACATTGAGAAATGCCTTGGTGCCACATCCTTATTTAAAAAGCCAGCCGGCAGAAATGAAGGCGTCTCTTTTGATTTTCAGCTTCACTTCGAAGCACACTTTAAAAATGTTGCCAGTCATGCTTCCTCCTGTTTGTACCATCTCCAGAATAAAACCAATACTCCCACTGGCACCTTGAAAAAGTCGCCCACAAACTCATCTTCTCAGGACTTGATTACTGTATCTCTCTCCTCTCAGACATACATTACAACGGTAACACATTGCCATAACTACTCACTACTTCCACCTCAAGGAGGCTCTCAATCAATACTAAAATAACAAGAGATGACGTCGAGGCTAGCGGGGAATCATGGGAGTTCTCTCTGCTACTTCCCCGCCCCCGTGAAAATGAACTCTGCGTTAATGTAGTGAAGACGAAGAGGCGAAACCGACCTGAGGAAGAGAATATGTTTACTGACGAGCTAATGTATCCGTGTATAATTTACATGAATTTTATCACAGCAGCACATACAGCAACAGTACAGCAACTTTCAGTTACAGCTCATGCTTCCTTTTGTAGCGGTCTTTGACATAACATCTGGTGTTTCCACGGCAACAATACACATTCTGTCTGTCATGGCGGCTATGTCTTGGTGGTCGCCTTGACAAGACACTTCCCGTTACAACTATAAAATTATAGATTTCTCTGGCTTTGATAACAGACAAGAACAAATATTCCTCAGCGCACCGCTTCCCCTCCTACCCAACCCCTCCTGAAGGGTTCCAACCCAGTTCAGATGTCATTGGACCGATCATAGACCAGTTTTCTTTGTGTAAACAAAGTTCCAAACGGACACAAAAACAAGTTAGATATGTTAGTCATTACTTCTATCGCACTTATTATTTAGAGGATTGGTCCAGATATTTTTGTCATTGTAAATCATCTCTTCCACTATCCACTGGTGTATCCCTTTTTAGTTTTAAACATGCACAACAATCATCCTTCTTTAAAAAAACGTCCCTTGATCCTACTGGTTTCAATCATTTTAGTCTGATCTTCAAGCTGTCCTTTTTATCCCGTATTTTAAACAAAGTACCGGTAGTCCCCTCACAGCTGACAACTTCATTTGTCAGCTGTTCATGACTTAAAACATTATCTTTGACAGATTTCAAAAAGGTTCTCTTTATAGCATAGAAACTTCTTTGGTTAAGGTCTCAAGTGACCTACTCCTTCACACAGCTGCAGGTTTTTACTCTGCTTTCATCATTGGCACAATCAACCACAAAATACTACTCTTCCGGCTTCAATCTTTAGTTGATGATGCCAGCCTACTGAGCATCGGACTGGTTTGTTTTATCTAAAAAGTCTTAATCAGTTTAAAATGATGGGTCCCTTTTTTTTTTTTCAAGCGCCCTCTCCACTTGTGGGGTTCCACAGGGTTCCATTTTTGGTTCTCTGCTGTTTTATTTCTATAACCTCTTACTTGGTTGGTTAAACGGTAAACATAATGTTCATTACCATTGCTTATCATCCTTTCTGGCAAACTACAATGCAAGGTTGTGCTCTTAGTGGGGCCCGGGGTGGTCGAGTGTTTGCTATTGAGGCCCCCCTGCAAGCTCATTCTGGGTGCTAGGATCTTCATCTGAAAAGTTGCACAAATCAAGTGTGACTAACACAAACTACAGCAATACTGGATGAGATAACAAATGAAGAAAATAAAAAGTAAACAGCACCACTGAGTGGATAGTTAGTTAAGCTAGAGAGTCTTGATTGTTAGCATTAGCTTGCTAACAGTGGGGTGCTAGTTAACTGGATAACAAACAAATAATAGGCTTGGTCTAAAGCTGTACATGGAATGAGCTGTGCATAAGTGACTTGTTCCACAACTATTTCAGTCACTGATGAGACATCATGACTCCAGTGGACATGTGACTGTATTGATGCCTCCTTTTCTTCCAAAACTAGCCGGTCTGTGACTGTGGAAGGCATCAATCAGGTCAAACCGTTTCCAATTCTTCCTGTGAACGCCATTTGGGCTGTTGTGGTCTCAGTTCTATTGGTAGTGGCTCCGGATCTTTTTTTTTATTTGGTCCAGCACTGCTCTGATATCTGCACATCCCCTCTGTAGCCACCCTTTGAGAAAGAAGCTGGAACACTTTCTCGTTCCTAACGATGCCATCCAGTTCCCTCTGCCCATCCTTTTTACCAATCAGAGGTCGTCCATGGGGCTACTTGCTGACATTCGCAAAAAAGCAAAAACAGCCTTGATATAACTCACTCAAAATCCATATTTGAATATGGCGTATTTTGTGTTTGCTCTTTATTACTGCTGTCACAGGGAAAGGGATGATTCTTTTGACCAATCAACAGACGGCAGAGTGTCTCTCCACCCTCTAGGGTTAGATCATTACGCTTGGCACCCCAACAGAAGGGTAGCAAAAAAATATGACGATACAGATCGGTTATTTTGGTACCATTCCTAACTTTTGACAGTGGAAACCCTGATAAGGACGTACCAAACTGGACCGCTTTAAGGGAAATGCGGCTAAAATGTGACCCGGCCTTTACTGTTCATACTCTAATCTTTGAAGTTCCCTGTCAGAAGATCTCCAATAAGTCGAGTCTTAAATGAGACTCTGATGTGTGTATGTCCAGTGTGCCTCATACATGTGTGTGTTTGTGTATTAAAAAGGTTTGAGGAATGATGTTCTCATTTATTCTTGTAGTACCTTTTTGAGTCTCTCTTTCCATCCATCTGTCTGTGTGTCTGCCTAGTCCCACCACATGTCATCTCTCCATCAGGGCAGCCTCCTCACCAAACCTCGTTGCAAGCCGTTCCCCGATGCCACCCCAGTATCTGACTGTGCGGTATGTCCCAGATATTCTCAAGGGAGGGGTGTATCACTACAATCAGGCTTCACCCCTCCCTGCCACTCTGCTTGCTGCCATCAGTCCTGGTCTCTTCCTTTTTAAATCTTTATGTTTGGGATATGGTCTCTTCAGTAATGAATGGGTTTTTTATTGAAGTGTGCTTTCAAGCTGTTAGTTACCCAGTTGCACCAACATACAGCTTAACATTTAGAAAGCACCTTAGTAAGGTGGATGTAGGAATTCTTCTTTTTTTATGGATCAGGCCTGAGTCAAGCTCCCATGTGATTTCTTTTCCATCCTTTACTTTCAACAGGCTGTTTGTCTCCATGCTTGCTGGTTTGGGTGCTGTGGGTGTCTCAGCTTATGATTTTTTCTTTTTTTTTAAATATCCACGCAACCACTGTTGTCCCCTTTGCTATTTCTTTGATCATCTCAGTGTAATTCCTCTTTCAACTTTGGTACCTTGGGGATGACTGGAGCTGTTTTCTTTTTCTTCCAGGATTCTATCATCATAAAGTTTGTCTTTGAGTTTCAATGGTTGATAATTCAAATTGTGACTGAAAACTGCTTCAGCTCTGCTAGCCTTAGATGATCACGTTACTGTAAACTCACATTTCATTTCTTTAGACTGAATTGGTTAAAAACTCTTAATTATCAAGATTACTTCATTTAAGGGCTACTTATCAGAACTAAAGAGTGATTATGTGGAGTTACTCAGAATTCAAATAAAGAGCCTCAAAACATTTCTCTGGGGCTCAGATCCCTGGTGTTGGTGTTGGTGTTGGTGTTGTGTTGTTGTTGTTTGGTGAACTGTACACAGGTTTGTATTTGATGCAGGAGAACAACTTTAATATAAACAGTAATGTTTGTTTCTTTGTCTTGTCTTTTATCAACTGTCTTTAATTATTTTCCTTCTTTTGTGACCCTGAATGATTACAGCTTCTCAGATCAATGTAGCCTCTCCTCTCAGTGAGATGGACAGTAGACAAACTGCTGCCCTGAAACTGAACATGACCGTTTCTTCTCATTCTCATCATTATTTCTCCCTCTGTGGCAGAAGAATTATATTCTTATCTCTGTGAACATGATGAGGGTGAGGATGGTTTCTGAGTAAATATTAAGACAGGAAAAGGTGATGATTGATTTCAGCAGTGAGGCAGCTAGCTAAAATATTCTTTGTAGTTTTTCTTGCCTCTTTGATTCCACCATGCTTAAGCGGCAACCGGTCTTGAAAAATGAAGTACATGCAGAAGTACAAAATCCGGTGTCCACTCGAGGCTGGCTCCAGGAACACCAGAAGTCAGATACACACAACAGGCGAAAAAAAACAATTTTTTCAGCATAAATAAACATGTTTACAGCCTGGTGCGAAAAACAAAATAGGTCTGATTAGTTATTGTCATCACTGGCACACACTGTACAGAAGGTGAATTTTTTTAAACATCCACGTTTTGATTTAGAAAACGATACTTGTTATCTATAGTTAGACGCATAGCTGACATGATTGACAGGTGGGCGCAATTTAACGGTTCATCAAGAGGCTTAAAACCCGCCTCAGATCCAGCCTGTCTCTAGGTTGACTGAAAGTTAGGCTGAGACAGGATTTGCTGCTGCCGATGACCCTCCAGAAAACGTGTTTTGCTGTGACTGTCCACTCATCAATCTGTGCCTTTGGTGACTGTCCTATTGTCTGTTTTAGCTCTCCATGCTCTTCACGGAGGAGTGCGATAAGGTGCGCGACCTGATGCATGTTCACTCCTTCAGCTACGACTTCCACCTGAGAGTGGTTCACCAGTACTTGGTCGGCTGCCACATGACGCTTAGACAGGGCTACCAGCTCACCGACTTCTTGGACGACTTCATTTCCCATCACCCGGATATTCCCAAGTTTGGCCGCAATCATGTTTTTCAAGGTGACCGAGGCTTACAGTAATATTTAAAGTTATCTTGTAACTACAGATGTTCTAATTCTTACCAAATGATCTTTCAACCCATTTTTTAAAAAGAGCAGGTCTAGGCTGTACTCCTCATTATATATTTGATATTACACCATTGCACGTTGTACTGTTATTAACCCAGAAAAAGTCACTGTTATGAAAGAATCCTCCTTCCCATCTGACCCCCCCACCACCCTAACCAAACAAAGCTTTTTGTCCTGCTACGAGTTGCATGTGTGAAAGACAAAATATCTGAAAATATCAGTCCCTTAATGTCTTAACATGATCTAGAATATTTCAGGAGTGCATTCGTGAAAAGGACTGAAGACACACTCAGCTTGGATCATAGTTGTGGTCACAGGTTTAACAGACCTTGTAACCTGTAGAGGTCAGCACAACAGTACTTATCAAACCTTCATTTTTGATTTTGTTACTGTGTCAGAGCATTTTGTAATTCCACATTCAATACAGGGCTCACTGCACAGAACACTAAAAGAGAGTCTGCAACAGAAATGAGATGAGAAGCAATGAGGTGATATTCTTAAATTTGGTCCCTCTCTGTATCATGTATTTCTGGCTCAACCCCAACTCTCATTTTTTTCCATCCCAGCAAATCTTTCAGAGTATTTGAAGGTTAAAAGACACTGTTCATGTTTTCACATAAAAGGATTCAAAGCACTGTTCCTAGTCAGGAGGATCTAGGATCTCTTGTGTTAACCTTTCTGAGAGTCTCTGATCATTTTGTACATCAGGGAGCTTCTCGATCTCCACGGGGATGATTACCGCTCACCAGCTCTACAACTACATCACTGACCACACCAGCACCTACGGCATGAAGCCCCTTCGCATGTCCAAGGGTCCAGCTACCAATGATAGTAAGAAAGGAACCCCTGACCTACATGAGTATGCACTTGTGGCTCTTTGGAACAGGTAAAAGTATACCAGATCTCTAGAATATTTATGTTCTCCATTACATGGGCTGCTTTATTTTAATATTCTTCTTTTATTATCCTCATTTGTCAAAGTTCTGGCTCTTACAAGGATCTGGAGGGCCTCCACCACCATGATGACTTTGACGTGTCCATGGTTGTGTGCCATAATGCCGCCCCATTTGAGGAGCAGTCAGATGGGGAGAGGCATTTGCTGAGGTAAAAATGATGTCATATTAAAGTCTAATGTCACAGTTTTCATCCTGTCATTGGTGAGCAATGTGTTTGCATGCAAAACACTGAGGGCGTGTTTTTCACTTTTCTAACCTAGGTTGCTTCCTTCAATGCTGAAACTACGGGTACTTGTTGATCAGTATGTTTCGGCCAACATTTGAGATTTCTGTTTCTGACCTGTCTGCATTAGCGGCTGATTTCTGTTAGTATCATTATGAAATTAATATAATAAAGGAGCAATATGTAACTCTGACACTCAGTGTTTAAAATGGGTACTGCAGTCCAAATTCAAAAGCTGTCTCCCCCACCCCTTTCACTCTAGAGGTGATGTGTACGCAGGTTGCCATGTGGTGGACACTGAAGCTTCAGTGTTTATCCAGCTCTGTGTCGGTCTGTAAACCTTTCTGTGTTCTAACCTCTCTCCATTTTTCAAAAGCATCTCCAATATTGATCCTAGTTTGAACACGTTTCTACTGGTGGAGCTTATTAGAAACATGCAGAGGCTTTTAAGGTCGGGTACAATCACTTCTATCTGAACCAGTTCTCTTTCCCGCTTCCACCGCTGCAACACCTGTTGGTTTGCCTTTTGCCTGAAAAACTGAGGGCGTCCAAAACGGCCTTAAACCGCCTACCTTCTCTGGTCCAAACAAATCCAGAGCATTCAGGACCAGAATATAAAGTTAGAAGGAGGACATACTGGCTGCTGCATTGATGTCAGAGAAGCCAGCACTTCAACATAACATGTTTCCTTTATGTCTGATCATACAGTGAGGTCGGTTTATCAGTTAATTCAATAGATATCTTACTGATTGGACCTTTAAGGTTTTAGGTCCAAAAAACATTTGGGTTATGCATGTTTTTTAAAGTAGCCCTAATTATGTTTTTATGTTTCTTTATATCTATTGTAGTTATTTAAGCCTATCCTAAAGAAGGATTGTTAATGATACTGGATAATGAGCTTGATCCAAATAGTGAAGAGTTTCAAACCAATCTGACGTTTCTTATTTACCTGTGTGCAGGTTGCGGTTCTATGTAATCATGACCAGTCAGAGAGAGCTCTTCCCACGCCTCACTGCTGACATGCGCCGTTTCAAGAAGCTTCCTCAGATCCATCGAGAGCCTGGCGAACTGGGTGGCCGGCTTCCCCCGGATCGAGCTGAGGCCGGTGGATCCCATGGAGCTGAACAGGAACTTTGGGAGGAAACATCGTCTGAAGCTGCAGCTGCCTTGGCCCCCTGTTATAGCAATGAGTTTTTCCCTCTGGCAGGTTGTGGGGCAGAGGCTCAGAGGCTGCTGTATCCCTCCCCTCTGTTCCCTCTGCTCAATAATGAGGTAGCATCAGCCCGCAGGCAGATCCAGACCAGTGTGGAGCAGGCCATGGGTCATGCCGCAGGGATAACCTGTGGAGGAGGCTGTTCCATGGAGAGCATCTGGCACTGGACAAACTGAAGCTGACCAAACTGTCGTTCAGTGAGCTGGAGGAGCTGCTGGAGGCTGTGCAGAGCCGCTCGGTGGGGGAGATCGACCCACAACTGGTAAGATTTCCACTTCAGCCTTTCATTGTCTTACTGTATGCTTGATACAAACAAGGGTAACTCATGTTGGCTTATTACAACCAGGATCTTAGACTACATATTTATTTGTATAAAGTCAAAATAGAGAACTGGCTCTGTTTCCAATGAATCAGAGGGATTAAGGTTCAGTTGAAGTTTCTAAAATAACAATTGAACTTAGAGGCAGAGGTGGTGATTTCAGAAAACTAGCATGATTTTGAAAGTAGCATTCCCTCGTTGCTCTGTCTACACACAACCCCCCTCCCCTCTGTGCTCCCTCAAAAGACACATTTTCATTCTTGGCTAGTCTTGTCAAACCATATAATCACACAGGAAGCTCAGGCTTTTAAAAACATGAAGCTCAGCTTTAATGATAATAGTTCTATAAACTGTAGTCGTAGAGAAAGATTTACTATCCAGAGATGATGTAAGCATGAGAGACAGGCAGCTTTGCTTTAAAAGAAGTGTTATGTGTTTCCCGCAGGACTGTTTCCTGACCATGAGTCCAGCTTGGTACCAGAGTCTGATCAAAGTTCTTCTCAACCGCTTCCCTCAGAGCTGCAGACACTTTGATGACAACGGCATTCAATATCTGGTGAGAAGATGTTTTATGTATATATCTGTTCTTTTTTCATGTCAGAGCAATTTAAGCAGAGTAAGACAAGAAGCTAACGTTGCTGGATCAACCAAAGGGGATTTTTAACTGCTAATTGTTTTGTTTTTTTGCTTTTTTTTTTTGATGTGCGAAGTGTCACAGGTCAGTAAAGTAAGCCTCAGCATTTCTGACTTCAGCATGTGAAATACAGGAAACTGTGGGCTCCATATTTAAAGTCTAAAGAAAAGACTCCAGGGGACTCTATCACTAAAATAATGCTACATCTGGGGTTTTTTTTTGGTTATGGCTTTATTATTGTTAAGGGGGCAGCAGTGGCTCAGTGGTAGAGTTGTTGTCTCTCAACCAGAAGGTTGGGGGTTCGCTCCTGCAGCCACATGTCCTTGACAAGACACTTAACACTTAGTCTCTTTTGTCATATTTACATTTTTAATGCTCCAAACATTTTTAGTGGATGACGAGGACTGCAGGGGGAGACAGTTTATCACCTGGACTGAGCTGCTACGCTGTTGAAGTAGATGCAGGATGTGGTTTGATGAAAAAAGCATGAGGCCTTTCCTAAAAAAAAAAAAAAGGCTTACAATTCAAAATGGGCTTATTATTTCCCCCAAAAAACTGAATTTCTCAGTTTCAACATTTTTCACAAATGTTTGTCCTTTGTGCAGTTTTGAATCAAATATGGAGTTTCAGTGTTTTGCAGACCGCATTCTGTTTCCATTTACATTTTGCAAAGTGTCGCAACCATTTTAGAAACAGGGTTTTATTTAAACATTGCTCAAAGTGTAGACTTCTGTGTAAATAATGTTCAGACGTGTGTTATTGAAACTACTGTCAGTATTCACCATGTGACCTTTTCCACTCAACACAGGCTGTCCTGAACCAGAAGTTCACAGACTGCTTTGTTTTGGTCTTTCTGGACAGCCAAGCTGGAAAAACAGTAAGTTATTACGCTGACATGGTCTTTATTAAAGGAAGAATGTGCAACTTTTTGATCCAGTCGATGTCGCCCTGGAGCACCAGCATGAAACCAAAACAAACTTCTGTTTGGAGACACCTCGCCACACTGAATCCTCGGCTCTCTTTAATAATAATTCCATTCTCTTCCTTTAACAGAGTCTTAAGGTTGTGTTTCGTGAGCCGCTGCCGTCGCAGCAGCAACCCAGCAGCAGTCCTCCTCCTCAGCTGGTGTCAATGTACCATCACCTGGAGTCTGTCATCAACACAGCCTGCTATAACCTCTGGACAGGACTGTTATAGAGCAGGTCACAGCTGGACTCGGCACACTTCATAGCCATGTGACTGTAGCATGGAAACAGTCAGCAGTCGAGGTAACCACAGGACAACAAGACGCTTGAAGGAGTTTGTGAAGAGGTAATGACCAGTCTGACAGAGCAAAGCTTCATCTCAAACAGGGATGTTACTGTGCATTGGATGTGTATAATAGACTCTCAGAAGATAAATACCCACCTAAAAGGAAAACTGGTCAGCTCTCAGTATTTAGTCCTCCGTTGTTCTCAGCCTGTTGCTTCTCTCTTGGAATTAGTGATCCGTTAGCCTAAACAGACGCTACACGTTTAATTGTGTTGTTTGGGATATTTGAAAATATTCCAGTATCACCAGTGACAATCACACACTGATCTGCCTTTCAATTATCCAGTAAGATTCAGTAATCCTGACTATGCAGCCGCAGCATGAACAGTACAAAGTGAAAATACTTCTCACAGCTGTTTGTCAGTGTACACCGAGTAAAAGATGGATACATCACAAGTATGTTTCTGTCAATACAAGTCGTTTTTCTCTGTGGTGAAATATGAGGGGAAAAGCTCCTCTCTCACCACGCGTTATAATCTGCCTCTGTAGATGAGTGGACCAGCCACCATTTATAGAGGTTGCCCTAACTTTGGCACAGAACCCCTGCTCTGTTAGGTACGTCGCCTTTAAGAGCTAGAACTGGAGGATGCAAACTGTACTGTGTCTCCTCTGCAGCTAGAGGCAGCAGAGTCAAATGCTTTGGCCACAACATGTGAAACTTTCCCAGTAATGCAGAAAGAATCTCACCAACATTTAATCCAGTACATCCCTGAACGTCTATTAACCTACAGACCCTGCACACACTGGGTTCAGAATAAGTGAAGGAAAACCAAACACGGTTAAAAGGTTATTTTCTTTTATCCCACTTAACGACTCAAATTTAAAGTGCTCTGCGTTGCTATTTGCTAAAGTCAAAGGCGCACTACTTCTTTACCATTTACTGTCAGGAGCATGTTATGCACATCAAAAGGTGAACCTGCATTCACAACACGTTGACACTCTGCTTGTCTCACACACTGGCCTGCAGCAGTGCACCTTATGCCCAGCTACCTCCTCACACCTCTGTGGTACCTGAAGGAGCTCCTTTGGATTCATGCTAACTTTGGCATCGGTCTGTTTTTAGCATCCAAACAGTGGATTCAGTCCCTCGTGGTAATGTGTGGTTTTTTTTACCTGTCGAGTGGACATACCAATATTTTGTTTTCCACATTAAGGCTTCAAAGTATTTCTGCAGTATTTCTTTCTTCATTAATATGTCGAAGTGATCTTGAAGTGTGTGCCTTCTCAAAGCATTGAGCTCCTAATGAAGAGAGAGAGGGAGAGGATGTCAGTGTGCACAGTGCTTAGACTTTAATGCTAAATTTCAGTGTCAAAACGTGTTACCCAACTGCCGTATCAGACGCCCTGAAGTGCCTTTCCCTGTTTAATTTTTTTTCTTTTTAATATTTTCCAAACGTATGACGGGATGCTGTTGTTGTTCCATTAGCTCTGCATAGATGATCTGTTAAAACACTCATCCTTGATGTGTTGCAGTGAAAGTGCCTGACTCAGTTTAGGGAATATCAAAGTAACTGACTTTTTATGAGAACAAAAAGGTTTTGATGACTTACATAATGTAACGCGACATGTAATCAGAGCTGAGTGTTTGCACAATGATGAGCTCTGCGTGTGTTGTGAAACGATGTGGCTGATAATCAGAGCTCATGAGTGTGTGCTGCCCGCCTGATACAAACATGAAGGCTTCATGACCATTACAACCTCCACTAATGTCTTCACTAGACACTCGTAGATTTCTACACATTTTCAATGGAAGGATACCGAATGTGTTTGAGTTTCTTAAGAAGGAAAACGAACGACATGCTGGGCAAACTGCTCAGAGGATTCAGTCTGAATGTGACACACTGGAGATGACGCAAACTGTGAACTGCAATAAAGAAGCCCTCGGCATTTTCACTCTGTAATATAGTCATTGCACTGTTGTTGTTAAATGTATAATATGTATATACAGAACAATTTATACAGTATGTCAAATGCTCAATAAAGCCCTGGAATGAATGAAAAGATTTTGAATCATTTTTGTATTTGGGCATTTTCTATGGATTAAAGTCTTCACAACACATGACTTAAAGGAGCAAACTGTCAGATATCTACTGAATACTTACTATATGATCAGACATTAAGGAAACATGCTATGTTGAAGTGCTGGCTTCTCTGACAACAATGCCTCCTTCTAACTTTAGATTCTGGTCCTGAATGGTCTGGATTTGTTAGGTAGGCGGTTTTAAGGCATCCCCACACGGCAGTTTTGGACGCCCCTCAGTTTGCCTGATATGAGACCAGTTATCAGGTCAAACCAACAGGTGTTGCAGCGATGGAAACAATATTGTTTCTAAAGCTAGGATCAATATTGGAGATGCTTTTGAAAAATGGAGAGATGTTAGAACGCAGAAAGGTTTTCAGACCGATGAAGATGCTGGCTAAACACTGAAGCTTCAGTGTCGGGATCATAGCATCCTGCATGAACATGGACTCTGGGGGGGGGGGGGAGGCAGCTCTCTACAATGTTTATCATTTAGACTGCAGTACCTGTTTTAAAAACTAGGTGTCAGTTACATATTGCTCCTTTAACTTTGCTCAAAGCTAGAAAAAGATTTTAACAGTGAACACTAAACAGATAAAGTTATTTTTGTAAGAAATATATATTTTTAAATGAGTCCTAAGGAATATTAGGGGAAATGTGAATTCTGAGATATTCAACTCGGGAAGAAGATATCATAATATACAATAGTTGAGAGTCAAAGGAATGATTGAACCTGGCTAAGTTCATGTTAGCCACACTGGAAAATATCCGTTATTTAAAAAAAAAAAGAGCCCAAGAAATGGGATTCCTGTCGAACAAGTAAAAACTTTATTCATATTAAAGAGAGAGGACACAACTACAAAGTGCAATTTAATACAAAAATGTTCTCAGAATTCTGAGATTAAAGTCAGAATCCTAAAATAAAATCAGAACCCCCAGAAAACTCATTTCAGTGGACCTAATCCTCTTCCGTAAAAAATAGTGTAGCAAAGTTAAAAAGTACGACAGGCCTGCAGGCAGCACACAGGACAACTCTCTGTAGCGGGACACCACACGTGTGCTCATCACTTTGAGCAGTAATCTTTGATCCAGCCCAGACCTTCCTTTGTTGAGCCTACAGCAAACAGAGATGATTTTGTATCATTACTTCACATGTGCTTCTGTTATTTGTAAAAAAAAATTAAAAAAGGCTCTTACCTGATGGTTTGTATTCACAGCCAATGTATCCCTGGTAGTCGTGTTGTTTTAATGTGTTGAACAGGTAACTGTAGTTCAGCTCTCCAGCAGTGTCAGGCTCGTTCCTACCTGGAACCTGAGCAATCTGCACATGACCTGAAGAAGACACGACGACACTCCTTACAGAGATGGTATGTTTATAACTTCTGGAGGCATTATTCTGTCAAAGACCTGCTTCACTTAATTTTACAAAGAATTTAAAAAAATGTTTTAACACTTCCAAAATCAATGTTCCTGCGTTTGAGCTAAATTACCAGTAGCTTTATTCTACAGTCAGACATTTCAGTGTTATTTTATCTTTCTCACCGATTATTGGGAAATACTTTTCAATGTTTTGTGTGAGGTTTCCATCCATTATTTGCCAGTGAAAGATGTCCTGAAAGAGTTCAGAGATACATTCAGTTAACAGATGAACTTTTGTTCCTCCTCCATATTTTCATGTAAGAATGAAGACTTCCAGGACTCGTACCATCTGCAGCTTGATATTAGGCTTCCCAACCTTCTCCAGTATTGCAGCAGCTGCAGATAAGAAAACAACGATCAGCTGAAAAACAACCGGCGGCACGTAGCCAGACGTTGTTAGCAGAAACATATCAATGTATCGTTCCTATCACAGTCAAAGAGAAAGCTCACTTTAGATTTACTACTGAACTCTCTTACCCTGATGAGGAGAGTCCAGAAAATACCTGGGATCAGTCACTCTTGTGTTGATTGGTTCAATCATACCACAGATTCCTTCCTAAGAAAAAAACATTTAGCAACGTAAGGATGTGTGAATGAGTGCTTCAAAAGGTGGAGGGGGTAAATGGGCCTTCACATGTATAGCACTCTACAGTACATGTCACATTCACAGCACACACACGCTGATGGCAGAGGCTCTAATGTAAAGTGCCCATACACACATTCACCCGCAATTTGGGGTTATGTGTCTTGCCCAAGGATGAATCGACATGTGGCTGCAGGAGCTGGGGACAGAACCCCTGACCTTCGACCTGAGAGACGACCGACTCTACCACCGACCCACAGCCAGTAAGAAAGGTTAATGCTGTGTTGATATCAACAGAGAGTGCTGGATATGGCCAAGCCGTCTCCACACTTCAGATTTACTTGATTGCTATATAAGTTTTGATGGTAAGGCTGTGGGACGACGACCCCTTGTCAGTGGATTTATGAAGGGTGTCACCTACCTTTGAGAGGACATCAGCAGCGTAGGTCAGGTTCTGTACAAAAACAGCTTCCATGTCCTTGGCAACCAGTGCTCTGTTGGAGCCCAAAGGAATCCTTCCAGCCATCAAGTGGATCCTGTTCATCACAAGGACCTGTTAGTGTTATCACAACCATAGGGGGTCAACTGGGCTACCCTGGACTCAACCCCACACATGAAGGCAAACTTTCCCAGAGCTATAGAGAGAGGGATCTGAATGAGCTGCTTGTGTTAGTGTCTTTAGACAGGACGTTGTGGTGTCTGTCATGGCAGCCGCCGCAACAAGACACAATAAACACAGCTGTAACAACTATAAAATTAAGGATTTCTCTGGCTTTGACAACTATTGCAAATATTTGAGGTAATTTAAGTACTCAACAACCAATTATATATAACATAGGTTTAGTTAAGGTCTTATTAATTTAGATATTTTAGTGTATCTTTATATCTTTGGATTCACATTTAGAGTTAAAAAAAACATTTTAAAAATCAAATAATGTTTGGTTTGCACCCGAACTGAAGCTGGCCAAAAAAAAGTTGATTCAGTTAAAGTTACTGCACCTTCTCTTTTCTAAGGAAGCTGAAACAATAGATTAGAAATGCCCTGAAACACGTGTAAACAATGTTTAGCTCAATTGAAGTTTCAAGTTGGACTGAAAACGACGTAAAAACATATCCACTAACATTAACCTAGTGATGGCTCACCTTTTGCATTCCAAAGCTTTGGCATACTTTAAAGCCAGGTCCAGACCCTCTCTGAATTCTGTCTCTCGTCCTGGTACTGCTCCAAGACCAAGATCACCTGACTTAACATCTCCTGCAAAAACACACACACACACACACACACACACACACACACACACACACACACACACACACACACACACACACACACACACACACACACACACACACACACAGAAACATCAGCAGCAGCAAGGATACTCTCTGCACACACAAAGTCTGGTTGATGTTAAGAGCTGCTGTGTCAGTGTGTGGTGCGGGGGGGGGAGTGGGGGTTGTAAGCAGATGTTTGTTTACCAGGCGGGGTGTTGATAAGAATCACCTCAACACCTGTAGCACCTCTGGCATTCTGCAGCTCCTTCAGGTCACACTCGTAGAGCCAGGCTGCCTCCACGGCTTGAAAGCCAGCCGAGGCGGCCGCATATATCCGCTGACTAAAGTCTGGAAGCTCCGTGAACAGCCAGGAAATATTCGCACAGAACTTAAGCGAAGACATCTCTGAGCTACAAGCCGACGACCCTGCGTGCAGCTCGTCTGTACTTTGGTCCTCACAGCAAAGCGGAACACGAGTCAAGCTGCATACATTCAGATAGCGTTAGGACGGAAACAGAAAGAGTCAACTTTCAAAACAAAAGCCCATTTTCAACCAAAGGTCCCCAGAACTAAAAAGTTCAGACTTCTCTTCAAGGACCTAAAAAGTTCAGACTTCTCTTCAAGAACTAAAAAGTTCAGACTTCTCTTCAAGGACCTAAAAGGTTCAGACTTCTCTTCAAGGACCTAAAAGGTTCAGACTTCTCTTCAAGGACCTAAAAGGTTCCTTTGGCCCATATGTCAGCGTTTCCACCGCAGCCTGAACTCCCGGGAAGATTATGCAGATCAGGCTGTTATGCTTTGCAAATGGTTTAATGTTGATTAACAATAAGGAAACGAGTGCTGATCTTAGTGTGTCATTAAAAAAGGAAAGAGTACTCTCATGAAAATGTTAGAAGAATTTAACTGGAAACCTTACATCCCTCATTTCTTCAAACACATAAGAAACACCTTTTAAGAAGATAGATGATATTAACGCCTGTAATGAACAATAGGCTAATATAATGTTTTAACCTTCTTGCGTCATGATTTTGAATATTTGTGTTGCTTCGTGATCTGCTTTACTTTGAAAATATCCTCAGACGTATTGTGTTTAACAGAGAATTGACGACAAGCTGAGTTTTGTAATTGTCACATGATCAGCAGCGTGTTTTTATTATTTACCGTCTGCGGTGCTTTTCGTCCAGTGAAGCTTGTTTGTTTTGCTTCCCTCACATGTTTTGTACTGTTTAAGGTCCAAACTGCGCAATGTATTTCATTCAATAAACCTGACTGGTTAAAAACATTTGGTTCGTGATTTCTTCTCAGAGTTGGTGTTGGGTCCTGAGGCTGGACGACTTGATAACAACAGCTTAAGAGCAACTCATTGGGTAGGCTACATCTCAGTTTTCTTTAGTCACATCCTAACTTTCGTCTTATTTTAATGAGGGGTAAAAAGAACCACGGCGAAACATAAAACAAAGAAGTGTTGTAATTGAAAAATCAGAACTGGTTCCTCTCTTTTGTCTAAGAGGAACTGCAACCCTTTCCACTGGCAGAATGTATATATCATCACAATGTATCTGAATTAGGCTGCTTTATGATTCTTACATCCATATTCAATAACCCAGAATATGATGATGGCGTATTTAAACAAAGAGGTTGAATTAATAACAATTCTTACCTTCATGTTTTATGTAATGCACCTGATGTGGGTTGGATTGTTTA